GCCTGTGACCTGTTCTCGCCAGGCTGGCGAGCTACAAACTCGCCGTGTGTTCAACCAAGGGCGAGTTTTTTTTTAGAACTTATAAAATGAATTTCCCGGGAGCTTCATTCAATGTCCCAGGCTAATGTCCACTCACCTGCTGGGAGCTCGATGAAGAAGATTACTCTCCCCGTGCTGACCAACTGGACGCAACGGGGACATTGTTGGCACACACATACACAGCACAGCACACCACACACACACACACACATACAAACACACTCAAGAGAAAACACCCAAAGCAGACGACAGACTGTCTAAATATAGCTCTAGACAACAAAACAGATAGTGCTTAGATCGGTTCACGATAAGAAAAAAACAAAATTTTTATTAATTCATAAAAAAAATAATTAGGCATCCAATCAAGTCAAATTTAATATCATAATGCATTGTCTTCATGGCTTTACCCACATTCCAACTACGAACCGTATCTGTCAGTTAGAAGTGCCAGTAATTTCGCTCGGGCGTTTCGATCTAGACAGACTGACGAGAGACTGACGACAGACAGAGGAAGTGAGTTAAATAAAAGCTTGTAAAAAGTGCTTATTCCAGCGGTTGTGCTTATTTCGTCTTACGGAAGAGAGAATCTTATATGATCTTAAGAGCTGTCGAAGGAACAATTATTGTGCTTATTTCCTCACATGGGTCAAATATGACTGAAATGTCTAAAGTCAAAACTCCGCATTGACATGTAAACGGAAAAAAAAAATTTTGATAATTAATTTTTCTTAATCTTCTCTCTGATAAAGAGCTTTAGTATCATTAGTGTAAGACTAACGCTAATTTAGATGTAATGGAATTGTTTTTAAAACTATAGTATCAAACCTTGCGATTTTTTGCCGCTTGCTTTTTTATTTTGACAATCATCACAGCTAACATCGACACGTGGCTTTGACCCCGAGATTTACGTGAGATTATTCCCAAATTAGAAAAAAAGCGCGTTGCTTATTTCTTCTACCGTAAATCGAAATAAGCATATCCGTAATTATCGAAAGATTTTTTAAATTAAACAAACTAAGGGAAGCTACTCGAGAAATTCGCCAATTCTAATGTTATATTTGTGTTATCTCGCCTATATGTATAAAAACTTGAGAAATTTTAAAATGAATGAGGAATTAGTCGGATTATCCAGCTATCAATGTGGGGTTGGGGGGGGGGGGGGGGGCTAATACCTGGAGAATATTTAACCCTCAACTTGATGTCCTGGCTTTGTGCTTGGATGTCCAAGACATGAGGCACCAAACATAATGCTTAGCATTCTTTTTGCCCGTAACGGCCTTGGTCGATACAGGTGTTACGGGGCTTTTGTAGGTTAGATAAGAATAGGTTAGAATAATCTAGAACGTAGGGGTATTTAGGTATTATTATCCCAAGGTCGTACACGGATATAAAAGCGGAGAGAACGATTGTTATGGAATTTTTTGATAGCGACTAGCATCGGGTATGTTAGGTTGATTTGTGGAAAAAGATGAAATGAATAAATTATATCTACTTGAAAGTCATCGTTGTGGACGTCATTGTATGACTCAGGTGTGACTCATGTGTGACTCAGGACTGTCATTGTGCTACTCAGGTGTGACTCATGTGTGACTCAAGACTGTCATTGTGCTACTCAGGTGTGACTCATGTGTGACTCAGGACTGTCATTGTGCTACTCAGGTGTGACTCATGTGTGACTCAGGAATGTCATTGTGTGACTCAGATGTGACTCATGTGTGACTCAGGACTGTCATTGTGCTACTCAGGTGTGACTCATGTGTGACTCAGGTGTGACTCAGGATTGTCATTGTGTGACTCAGGTGTGACTCAGGAATTTCATTGTGTGACTTAGGTGTGACTCAGGAATGTCATTGTGCTACTCAGGTGTGACTCATGTGTGACTCAAGACTGTCATTGTGCTACTCAGGTGTGACTCATGTGTGACTCAGGACTGTCATTGTGCTACTCAGGTGTGACTCATGTGTGACTCAGGATTGTCATTGTGTGACTCATGTGTGACTCAGGAATTTCATTGTGTGACACAGGTGTGACTCAGGTGTCACTCAGGACTTCATTAAATGCCCTGGTGTTGCACTAAGGTTTTCATTTCTAAAGGTGCGCCCACTGTCTCCTAAGACAAAAGAAGTCGTATCTATAAAGCAGCTCGTAGTTTTCTTTTTATAATAGCATACGTCAATAAAAACTAATCTACAAACCTGGATAATCGAAACACCTTGATCACTAATACATTAAAAAGCAAATCTGTAACAATTTAAAACATTTTATGCCTGAAAACAATTATTTATGATTTTCGCAAGCTTTTATTTAACTTGCTTTCTCTGTCAAAGCCTGTCAGTCATAGATTGAAACGTTCGAGTAAAACTTCGGGCACTTGTAACAGACAGATTCGTTTCAAAGTTGGCTGTCATTGTGTGACTCAAGACTGTTATTGTGTGACTCAGGTGTGACTCAGGGCTGAGTGGGTCAAGACATGAAGACAATGCTATCTGACATTAAATTTGACTTAATTGGATGCCTAATTAATTTTTTATGAATTAATTAAAATTTTGTCCAAATTATTAGGCAATCTATTCAATTATTCCGCACTATTTTACGCGCGTTAGCATGTTCATAAGGTGCGCAATTATTTTTAGTCATGCAACTCTATTTAATTTTTTAAAATTTAGAGTACTGAAAAAAAAGCGGGAGTTATCTCCCCTAAACTATCTCGAATATTCACCAAGCGAACGGCAAGCAATATGTGTATAATAGTGCGGAATACTAGTACTGTATAAATTCGTATAGGGTTTTTTTTGTGTGTGGAGAAATCGGAAACAGCGTACAGTACTACTTCCGGTCAACGTAAATAGCTCAAAATTTGATAGAAGGCAGAAAATTAAATCTTTTACTTGTATATGAAATTTCATTTATCTGTGAGAAACAGTACTCAAGTTACAGGCTTTTGAAAAACTATAAGTAGAATAAGTTCCACTTGTAATCATCGGAAATAACTGAAAAGTTGTTACAAAACTATAAATTTCATATAATACTTGTATATATGAAATTTCATCAACCTAGCTGTAACGATACTCAAGTTATCGTGTTCACAGACATACATACATCCACACATACAGACATACGGACAGAATCGTAATGCCCAGTTTAATCGATTCGATTACGCATAGATGGCCGAAATTTTGTATCACCTGCATTTATAATTATTATTTTTGCCCGATTAAAAAAAAGTCCCCTATACTCCGTATATGATAAAGTATTAAGGTGTAAAACGCTGAAAACTATCAATATTTCATGGAAATAATACTTTACGCTATTTACGATTTCTCAAAACACTCATATGAATTTATAAACTAATAATAATAGTCCGCACTATTATACACCTATTGTTTGCCATTCACTTGGTGCGCAATTCTTTTTTTTTTCTACCAGATTCTATTCTATTTTAAAAAGATTAAGAAATACAAAATGGACTAAAAATCATGTCTATATCCCGAGGTGCCTTCCCCCGTAGTGTTATATAAGAATATTCGAGAAAGTTTAGGGGAGATCACTCCGGTTTATTTATTCTTGTGTTTATGTTGTGGTTTTTAGCGCAATTTCCATACTGGCAATTGCGTTTAATAATGCGTCATTTCTGGATGGATGGATGGATGTGTGGATGTGTGTCCGCAGCTTTAAGTCGTATCTCCTCCTCAACGAAGCAATATCGAGGACTAGTTCCAAAAGCAAATATGTTAAGCTAAGCAAGTTCCAAGGATGATTATGGGCCAAAAAAAATTCCCGGAATTCCTTCCTGGATTTCCTGGAAAAGCCAAAAAACCTCGAACAAATGCAGTTTTTGGCCCATATCTCGGCAACCAGACCACTTAGCGACTTGAAACATTTACCAATCGATTCCTGCCATAATTTAGAACAATATTGCCGAAGAAAGTTTTCAAAAATATCCTTTCGTTCGGTCACAACAAAATTTTTTAAATTACATAAACACCTACAAACCGATCGTTCTCCTAGCTTGAACGCACCCAAACTTGATCACTATCTATTTTTAGACAACATAAGGAAATTGCGCTTAAATTGTCACTAGACTTTTTATTAACTTTTTTTAAATTTTTTTTTATTTTGAGGTATTGTATTTTTGTTACGTAGAGAAAGTGTAGTGTTATGATGAACATGTTTATATTTGCGTTTCTCTAAGAAAAGGCACTAGTCTAGCACGTAAATAACCAAGTAAACGAAAACGTTTTTACCTGTTTTGCGAGTAAATTGTTTTATTCTGCTGTGACTCAGCAGATGCTAAAAATGCAATCAATTCTACCGTGTTTTAACGTCATGGTGCACTGTAATGGGGGGGGGGGGGGGGGGGTGGGGGATATACTTTAACAAATTTTTTTATCAATGAACGCATACCATTTTTCCCACGTTTTCTTTAACTTGCTTTCTCTGTTTGTTTTTCCAATCAAATCTTGTGATCGAAATTTCTGGCACTTCCCAGTTAGCTAGCGCGCTGAAATTTTCAGGGAAGCTTTCTTTTGGATGACCATAGAATATTCAATTGTTATTATTACTAAATTGATCAATGGAAACATTTTATTGAGCATTTTAGACCGCTATATAATCTATATATATAATTCTCCTCTGCGAGCCATTAGAAAAAAAAACGAGCGACGCGTAGCTCGCCTCTCTCTTGCCGCGCGCAGTGACGCGAACGATCCCACGTCGCGACAGGCTTAGGGGCAGATAATTTAGTTTGAACCGACTTTAAACTTACATGAGGACTCTCGATTCGATTGAGACAGCTAAAAAAGGAGCCCGAAAAAGTCTTTGGCGGAGTTAATGTAATTGTATTTGGCGATTTGATGCAATTACGCCCAATAAAGGCATCATTTGTATTTAAGCAGCCAGCCAGATTTCAGCCAGCTCTTCATCTTTGGCATCTATTCGGTCTAGTCGAATTGACAGAAAATATGCGTCAGCGCGGTGATACATCTTTCGCTGATCTCCTAAATGCATTACGAGTTGGCGAGCTCAAAGGTCCTCATTTCGAGCTCTTAATGACGAAAACTCTTAAAGAGCCAACTGGAGAATTTGCACTAAATAAGGCAATCAGAATTTATCCGACAAGAAAAATGGTCGAGGATCACAATAATTCTGTTTTGCAATATTATCGATCGCAAGGCATTCGAATATACAAGATCGAGTCTCAGGATCGAATCATTGATTCTGGAAGAAACGCCGACAAAATCGACATGAGCAAAGTTGTATCCAACGATATAAATAAGACTGGAGGATTGCAAAAGGAATTGGAAATATTCCTCGGCGCTAAAGTGATGTTGAGAGCAAACATCATCGTTGAAAAGGGACTGGTTAATGGCGCAATCGGCAACATTACAGAAATTCATTGGCCAAATTTCAGACGCGACCAGATTGATAAAGACATTCCCGACTTAAGCATTGACTTTGGACCAGATGGAATCCATCGGATTGAGCCGAGATGCGTAGAATTTGATGGAAAACTGAATTATGGAAAAGTCGAGCGAAGACAACTGCCCATAATTCTATGCTGGGCATGCACAGTGCATAAAATGCAAGGCTGCACAGTTGATCACGCAGTTGTCTATTTAGGACCAGCGCTTTTTGAAACGGGCCAGGCGTATGTTGCGCTCAGTCGAGTACGATCACTCGAAGGCGTACGCATTGTGGAATTGGATTGCAGCAAGCTAACAGGAAAAAAACCCTGCAATGAGGAATGTCTACAGGAGATGGAAAGAATGCGTCGACACGAACCTGCAGCTGATCCTGAATAATAAGCGTGTCATGCCTGGTGTAACTCTTGGTGTTCGTCCTTTGTGAGTATTTGTCTTCTTTTACCCAAAACAAAAGTGAATGCGAGAAGATAAAATCGATAGCAAGATTTTAATACAAACAAACAGACAAAGACTAAAAAGTAGAAAATAATAATCATTAAAAAAGTTTTAAAAAAACCCACGTTTTCTGATTGAACTAAAAAGTAGAAAATAAATGCTATACATCACAATAATGCAAGCGATCACTCTACTATAAGCGATGAAAAACGTGGGGCGCCGTGATTTTCTTACAGTTTCGAATACTGTTGACTCTCTACAAGCTCCCTAATAAAAGTCAATAGTATTATCTAATCAATAGTAATATAACTTTTACTTCGGCGCCCCACGTTTTTGATCGCTTATAGTAGAGTGATCGCTTGCATTATTGTGATGTATAGCATTTATTTTCTACTTTTTAGTTCAATCAGAAAACGTGGTTTTTTAAAAACTTTTTTAATGATTATTATTATTTTATTTACTCTTCACAAAACTTGAAATTTTTTTAATAAGCTCAAGTAATTTATTGTCTTCTTCTTCGTTCTTAATTTTTAGTGTTGGAAGGGATCGAGAACTATCTGCCAGAGGGTTTGAACTCGAGATTTTTTCGAATTTATCAACCATGAGCTTTTGCCGACTCGACTACGCCTCCATCACAATTACCGGATACGTGTCAACTGGTTATTCGCAATTTGACTCCGATTTCAGCCTACTTTTCTTTTTGGATTTGCTTCCATAGCGCCTTTGTCCAATCAAAAACAAACTACAAGGCAGCAGTTGCTTGATTTTGGAGTTGTCTCTCCTAGAAGAGTGGCTGTCCCCAGCTAACGAGCCTCAACTGCCCGAGGGTACGAACTCGAGACTTTTCGGTTTAGCAGCCATGAGCTTTATCGACTCGACCACGCCGTTCCCGGTAATTTATTGGACATGATCGATAATTTAAAAAAAAGAGAGACAGAGAGAGAGAGACATACTGTTGAACTGAGATTTATTATTAAAATGGGAAATAATTTTTTTTAAATCTATGAAATACACTCGAGTACCTATGTTCGGGTTACATCCCCTATACAACACCACCACAAAATGGTTTTTCAAAGAAAGTGTGTTTGAACTGGCATCAGGTCAGAAATACGAGGTGAGCAGACTTGAAAAGATTTTGGTTCAAATGGAACTGAACATTGATTGCATCAATACACCCTCTGCTTGACGTATACGCAGTTTTTAAATGGAGACAGAATTTATATATATACATATATATATATATATATATATATATAATATATATATATATATATATATATATATATATATATATATATATATATATATATATATATATATATATATATATATATATATATATATATATGTATATGTATATATATATATATATATATATACATATATATATATATATATATATATATATATATATATATATATATATATATATATATATATATATTTATATATATTTATATATATATGTAACTAGGGTAGGCCTAGCTACTAGTTACAAATCTGATAACGAACGAGAAGCCGAGACGCAGTATTACAGTCTGATGCAACCGATAGCAGGTGGCTTATTGGATCGGACTGATAACAATCTCAAAGCCAACGCGTGCTATTTTGGGAAACGGTACGAGGGGATTCAGACGGCCTGTCAACTTTGATTGATAGGATGCAGATGTTTATGACACGGACTGTACGTTAGAACTGCGCAACTAGTGGTCGGAGACATCGAGTACAAGTATCGATTACGGAGGAATACAAGTACGAAGATGAGTACGAATACAAGGGATAAATAGGAGGGGACGACTGAACTCGTTCTCTTCCCTCTTCATCGCTCGCTTTAGATCAGTCAGTCTGTGTGACATATCAAGTTGGTTATATTGTGTTAAGAAGGACAATAGACATGTGGATTCAGTTATATGAAGCCTAGTGAGGACTGTTAGGGGGTCAGTTGATTCAGACTATTATTGTGAAACATTTCTGTTGATTCATTGTGTTATATTGAAGCATTTCTTGATTCATGTAATAAAAGGATCAATAGCGAACCTGCATCTTCGAGTCTTTCTACTGTAATCGATGTTGTGTAGCATGAGTGGTTCAACTCGTTACAATTGGCGTTGTCGGGCAGGATAGACTCGGGGAAGGTTACAATTGGCGCTGCGAGCAGGGTCACATTTGGCGCTGCGAGTAGCCTAGGTCACAATTGGCGCTGCGAGCAGGATGAATTCAACTAGACTTGCCGTTTGAGGCACCCATAGTCAACCTTGTGCATAACTGTGTTTTGTGTGTATGTGAATTCGGACATTCAGGAACTGTGAAAATTGAGGAACGAGGAAAAATTTTTTTCATATACACACGGTAAGAAAGAACTCTTTTGTTTTACTTACGGAATAAAATGTCTACTCTGGACGAGAAGCAGACCCATATAGTGGTCCTACCCAGAGAGTCCCACATTAACAAATTTTACGGGGACGGTGATCCAACTTTAACCAACAGGTTCAGTGAAGAGGTCAAAGCGGCCTGGGCCTCGAGAGGCATGTCACCAGAGGAACGATTAAGACTGCTGATGGGCAGTATAGGAGAGACGGTTAGGGCAGAGGTCAAATGCCACGATAAAACCATCCAATCAGATCCAGATAAGGTGCTGGATCTGATTATGGAGACCTTTGGGGAGAGACGGTCGGGATCGCAACTGCTAGCAGGGTTCGTAGGCTTAAGGCAGAGATTGGCGGAGAGTGTGATGGAGTACTCACACCGGATGAACAGGGCCTTTGATTCGGTAAAGGTCAAAACACCTGACATTGATGTGCGCCTACTGAGGGACCATTTCATCGAGGGGCTGGCAACCCCGATCCTAAGAAGAGAGTTGAAAGAGGAGGTCCACAAAGACCCGCAGTTGACCTTCCTTCAGGTCAGGAACTCAGCGATCCGCAGGTCCGAGGATGAGGACCAATCGAACTGTTCGGTGGACAAAGTCTCTGTGCCTGAACAGAGACAATCCCCACCCACAGGGGCCGACACGATGGAGACCATGATGGCTCAACTGTTGGCCCACCTAGATAAGGTTGACCAACGTTTGGAGAGGTTAGAAAGCAGGTCAACAGCTGAGAATCAGGAAAAGAACGGGACAAAACAGGGACGGGTTGGACGGCCGCGTCCTGCCAAGCCATCACTCCAATGGACGGCCGACGGTCGACCAATTTGTTTGTCTTGTTCACAACCCGGACATATGGCACGGTACTGCCAGGGAAACGGTCGTCCTCTGTAAGGCAGGGCCAGGCTACAGAGGGGCGAGGTTATGGCCCAAGAAGCAAAATGATGGGAGTCTGTCCCGAAATGGTGATTACGATTGGGGACATCGCGGTGAAGGCAATTGTGGATACAGGCTCCCAGGTGACGACAATCACGGAAAATTTTTACACCAAATGGATGAAAGGAAAAGACCATAGGTTGAGGTCTGACACATGCATGCGCCTGACGGCAGCTAATGGACTAACCATTCCATACTGTGGTTATTTTCTGGCGGATGTCGTGGTGGCAGGACATAGGTTGAAGCAGGTTGGGGTGTTCGTTACGAAACACAACCTAGAGACAAATGTGTCAAATATACCTTGCCTGTTGGGCATGAATATTCTTGGCCAGTTGCCAGAATTTCTTACAAATATTGTCGGATCGACCACACCAGGTCGGGGATCCAAGTTGGCCAGGTTTGCCAAGACCAGAGGAAGGACAGCAGTCCCGGCAAACACGGTCAAGGCAATCACATTACAAATTGGTGATAGAAGTGTGAATGGTGATGTGATGATAGAACCATGTGGCGCCGCACTGAGGGCAGGCGTCGTGTTACTGCGGACATACACATCAGCGGAAAATGGACTAGTTCAAGGATTAGTGGCAAATGTTTTGGATGAGGAAATTTTTATACCGCCTAATACTCTGGTAGGAGTACCACAGAACGTCGAGGTACTAAGGTCGGCACAGTGCATCGAACTGAGCAATACCAGCAGTAATGAAGTAACAATTAGGTCGGTCATTGTGACGGCCGAGGTAAAGAAAGAGGATGGCCGATCATATACATTCCCGGAAACTGAGGACCCAAAACTAAATGAATTGCTGAATAAATACAGTGATATATTTGCCTCGTATGAGGGTGATTTGGGGTACACGGAAGTAATAAAACACCAGATACCCTTACTACAAGACAAGCCGGTGGCGCAACCTTATCGAAGATTACCACCGAGTCACTACTCGGCGGTGAAAGCACACCTGAATGATCTACTAAAAAAGGGAATTATTACAACCAGTACAAGCCCGTATGCGGCACCGATAGTAGTGGTAAAAAAGAAGTCAGGGGAGATAAGACTGTGTTGTGATTACCGGAAATTGAACAATATCACAAGAAGGGATGCATTCCCCTTGCCTCGTATTGATGAATGTCTTGATGCGTTGGGGGGAGCAAGATTTTTTTCTACCTTGGATTTGGCTAGTGGCTACCACCAAGTGGCCATGCACCCCAACGATCAACATAAAACTGCATTTATTTCTCCACTGGGACTGTACGAGTGGACCCGTATGCCGTTTGGTCTAACTAATGCACCTGCTACATTCCAGCGAGTAATGCAGAGTGCTATGAGTGACTTTCTATTTCAAATAATGTTGGTGTATTTGGATGATATTCTAGTTTACTCAAAAACTTGGGAGGACCATCTAAAAAGATTAGAACAAGTGTTTCTCCGTCTTAGGGAGATAGGAGTAAAGCTGAACCCAGACAAATGCTGCTTTGGTCTGAAATCGGTACATTTTTTGGGTTATGTGATTTCGTCGGATGGCATCGCCACTGACCCAGATAAAATTGCAGCTGTTAAAGAATGGAAACAGCCAACAACTACAGTAGAGGTCAGATCATTCTTGGGCTTTGCTTCCTATTATAGAAAATTTGTGCCTGGTTTTGCAAAAATTGCCGCACCATTGCATGACTTGGTAAACAAAATGACAAAGAAACACAGTAAGGAGAAAAAGAAAGGTAAAACACAACTGATAGGTGAATTATGGACTGATGAATGCCTGAACTCGTTTAAGCTCTTGAAAAAGGCTTTGACAGAGGCGCCGATATTGGGATACGCGGACTTTGACAAACCATTTCGGTTAGAAATTGACGCCAGCTCTAAAGGTCTGGGAGCTGTGCTATCACAACAACAAAAGCAAGGTTTCAGGGTTATTGCGTATGCCAGTCGAGCTCTGAAGGGATCAGAGAAGAACATGACAAATTACAGCGCCATGAAACTAGAACTTTTGACATTAAAATGGGCTGTGACTGAGAAATTCAGGGACTATCTATTAGGTGCTAAATGTGTGGTATACACTGACAATAACCCCTTGAGTCACCTAAAGACAGCAAAGTTGGGATCCATCGAACAGCGATGGGCAGCAGAATTGGCACTCTTTGACCTAGAGATAAAGTATCGCCCGGGGCGGTCCAATGGCAATGCGGACGCCTTATCAAGGAATCCTTACGAGAAACCGGGTGATGAGGAAGAAACGCTGACAGGAATATGTGAGGTCAGAGCGTCAACAGATATCCCTCATGGGGTACAAGTGATGCAAAACGGGCAGACCGGGGTGGAGCACATATCCACAGAGCCCGGACATATGGACAGTAGTGATTTTAATTGCCTTAATCACAAAAAGATAAGAGATGCCCAGAGAACGGATAGTGGCTTACAACCGCTATTGAAATACGTCCAGGAACAAAAATTCCCAGGAAGAAGGGAAAGGGAACAATTTGGTCGAGAAACAAAGAAAATACTGAGTCAGTGGGACCGTCTCAGTATAGAGGATGGTGCTCTCATGCGGAGAATTCATGACCAAATTGATGGGACAATACACCAGGTGGTGGTGCCTGGACAGTTACGAGAAGAAGTGCTAAGGTTGGCACATGACAGGGCAGGACACCAGGGTCAGGACAGGACGCACAAAATATTACGACGGAGGTGTTACTGGCCCAATATGGAAATGGAGGTCAAACGCCATTGTGAGGCTTGTGTGAGGTGTCAGCATGCGAAAATGCCAGTTGTCAAAATGAGACAGCCATCAGGACACCTACTAGCGACAAAACCACTAGAGATTGTGGCTATGGACTTTACGTCGTTGGAGCAATCATCGGATGGGACGGAACATGTGTTGGTAATGACTGATGTATTCACCAAATGGACGGTGGCGGTGCCCACGCGAGATCAGACTGCCAAAACAGTGGCAAAGGTCTTAATAGAACATTGGTTCATCAAATATGGCATACCAAGACAATTACACTCTGACCAAGGAAGGGCCTTTGAGTCAGAAGTAATTAACCAACTGTGCAGCCACTACGGGATCAACAAATCTAGAACAACCACATTTAATCCGAAAGGAAACGGACAGTGTGAACGGTTCAACCGCAGCATGCATGATTTGCTGCGTACCCTAGAACCTGAACAGAAAAAACGTTGGCCGGATTTTCTCCCAGAGTTGGTATATCTATACAACTGCACACCCCATGCCACAACCGGCTTTTCGCCACACATGTTGCTGTTTGGACGGGAGGCTCGACTCCCTCTTGATTTGTTCCTAGGAAAAAGAGAGAGTATGACTGGCTCATACACCGCACTGGAATATGTGAATGAACATATGAGAAGAATTAGAGGAATGTACAGGGTAGTACAGGAAAGACTAGAACATGAAGCACGGCGAAGGGAACCGCCGGTACAGACAAAGGACCCGCCACTCAAACTGAATGACAGGGTATTACTGCGTAGCCACCCGTTAGGCAGAAACAAAATCCACGATCTCTGGGGACAGGAGATATGGCAAGTCATGGAGATGCCTAAAGTAGCAGGTGGCCCCTTTAAGATAAGACCCATCGATCACGCCAAACCGGATCGGTGGGCGAATATTGCTCAATTAAAGAAATATTGGAATAGGCAAGAAGAGCAGTTACACACAGGGAAATCCAAGACAATTAGGGAACCGGAAACTATAACGGAAATTCACATACCCATCCCGGAACCATATCACCATCAACAGAACAACCGCGATATACAAGTGGAGGATAACGGCAACAAAGAGGATCCCGTTCCTTCCAGAAGCAGAGAGACAGTAGACCATCAGATAAGTGGTCCGCGGAGAAGTTTGAGGAACAGAAGGAAGACGAAATTTTTTGTCAGCAACCATCAAGTCTTTCATGGTCGCGCTGGTATGAGAACAGACGGTTCAAAAAAGCTATAAAACTGAACTGGTGAAGGCACCAAACGAAAAGGGTGGATGTGAATTCTAGAACTGTTTTGTGTCTCAGGAAGACGATGTAGACACAGTTGATATGTGAAATAGGTATAACTGTCAATCGTATACGAATGGAACGTCGTGGACAGTGAGTGGAACAATAAAATTTTTTTTTACGATTGTGCGATTGACTTTGGAGGAGTGCACCTGCCAGGCGTTGTTTGTGGTTGAAAACACACAAAAAAAGCAGGGGTGGATGTAACTAGGGTAGGCCTAGCTACTAGTTACAAATCTGATAACGAACGAGAAGCCGAGACGCAGTATTACAGTCTGATGCAACCGATAGCAGGTGGCTTATTGGATCGGACTGATAACAATCTCAAAGCCAACGCGTGCTATTTTGGGAAACGGTACGAGGGGATTCAGACGGCCTGTCAACTTTGATTGATAGGATGCAGATGTTTATGACACGGACTGTACGTTAGAACTGCGCAACTAGTGGTCGGAGACATCGAGTACAAGTATCGATTACGGAGGAATACAAGTACGAAGATGAGTACGAATACAAGGGATAAATAGGAGGGGACGACTGAACTCGTTCTCTTCCCTCTTCATCGCTCGCTTTAGATCAGTCAGTCTGTGTGACATATCAAGTTGGTTATATTGTGTTAAGAAGGACAATAGACATGTGGATTCAGTTATATGAAGCCTAGTGAGGACTGTTAGGGGGTCAGTTGATTCAGACTATTATTGTGAAACATTTCTGTTGATTCATTGTGTTATATTGAAGCATTTCTTGATTCATGTAATAAAAGGATCAATAGCGAACCTGCATCTTCGAGTCTTTCTACTGTAATCGATGTTGTGTAGCATGAGTGGTTCAACTCGTTACAATTGGCGTTGTCGGGCAGGATAGACTCGGGGAAGGTTACAATTGGCGCTGCGAGCAGGGTCACATTTGGCGCTGCGAGTAGCCTAGGTCACATATACATATAAACTATATTTATTAAACCCCCCTCACACACACACACACACACTTTGCTGTCCCTGTAATATCGCCAGTGTTTGAATGTATGTTGGCCTCCTCTATTATCAGTGATACAAAGAAGCGCAATAAGACGTGCTAATGATTAGTTTGCCAATCCTTGACGCTATAGTTCCTGTAGAATGTATTGCTGGCGTCTGGGCCAGAGACTAATATAAAGATAACCGCAGTTCTAGCGCGTGTGAGAGTTTTCGGGTGCACGTTCACCGGTAAATCAAAGCATAGGAAAAAAAAATTCCTAAATAAAATTTTAAACTATATTTAAGGTCGGATTTTTGGGCCCACTAATGTCCTTAAACCCCCCCCCCCCCCCCCCCGTTGTCACTATCGGGCAAATCTCCGTTCGGAAAGTAATTTACTAAGACAGGCAGTGCCATTCAATTATTAGCACCGGATTTCAGTATGGGTTGTTATAGATGCTGGAGTTTATCCCCCCCCCCCGCTGGTCTCAGGTACAACACCCCTCGGTCACCACCCAAATGTCAGGGGTGTCGCGGGGTGACATTGGGAACCACCGGTTAACTACCGAATGGGCGCGGGGTGCAACTTCTGGCTCAGTTCAAACATAGAATGTAGTCGCCTTTTGTCCCCCTACTGTATGGTGCTCTTTAAATATAACGTAGGCGCTCATAAGGTAGCGCGAATGTTACCGGTTCGCCCCTGTTGCAGACTGCCCGTAGAATCAAATCTTACCAATAACCCGACATGCAGCCCCCCCCCCCCCTAACCGTTGGGCACCTTGTGCTATGATGAGGAAGTTGGTGTATTAACTGTACACTACCGTCGGGGTACCGCCGCTCCAACATTTCAAATAACTGTTTTAGTGTGTGCTCAGCCACCTTACTCACTTTCATGGTGATCGGATGAATGTGTGCGTGTGCGTGTAGCGTGTGTGTGTGTGGTATAACATCAGTCACCATAAGAACCATCACGTGTGGTATAACATCAGTCACCATAAGAACCATCACGAACAACGTGAAAGAAGCACACGAAAGCCTGAGTGATTCTCAACCATTTAATTCATCAATAGAGTCAGTCACATCTCAGAAACCGCAGGTGGCGTTGACCTTGGCCAAGAGAGGGGTGAGCTCTGTCGTATTACTGGGGACACAGGTGCCCAGGATGTTGTGGACGGGGGTGTAGACACACGCCTGGTTGCAGAACAGGTTGATGAACCTGAAGGTGGTGTAAGACAGGTGGTTATTGGCAGGTGGTTAGTAGCAGGTGTGTAGTGGCAGGTGTGTAGTGGCAGGTGGTTAGTAGCAGGTGTGTAGTGGCAGGTGTGTAGTGGCAGGTGGTTAGTGGCACGTGGTTAGTGGCAGGTGTGTAGTGGCAGGTGTGTAGTGGCAGGTGTGTAGTGGCAGGTGTGTAGTGGCAGGTGTGTAGTGGCAGGTGGTTAGTGGCAGTCGGTGGAAGACAGGTGGTTGGTTAGCTGTGTACAACAGATGTAAACTCACGCGATGAAGAGGTCGAGCAAATTGTTGGCGTCGGTGGTGGTACCAGACAGACAGCGGACAAAGGGCGGGTACTTGTCGAAGATCCAGTCAACGTTGGCGTAGAGGGCGTCCAGTTCTGTGGCGTTACACGCCCCTAAGAGGCTCCCAACATTGGAACACTGGGAGCTGGCGCCTGGTCTGTGAGGGATGTTCACATGGTATACATGGACACAAAATAAGGGATGTTCACATGGTATACATGGACACAAAATAAGGGATGTTCACATGGTATACATGGACACAAAATAAGGGAGGTTCACATGGTATACATGGACACAAAATAAGGGAGGTTCACATGGTATACATGGCCAGTCCACAAAATAAGAGAGGTTCACATGGTATGGGACGGAGTGGTCTAGCGTAAGTCTCGAGTTCGAATCCGGGTTCCAATCAGTAGACCGTCCCTGAGTCCACCCAACTCTGATGGGTACCTAACTCAAGTTAGGGAAAGTAAAGGCGGCTGGGCATAGTGCTGACCACACTATCTCTTCATATGCCGAGGTCACAGAAACACGTGAACTCTACTTCACTTGCCCCATAGACCGTCAGGTTTGAAAGGGAATCTTTTTACTTTACACGGACAGTCCACAAAATAAGGGAGGTTCACATGGTATACACGGACAGTCTACAAAAAGGAAGGTTCACATGGTATACATGGACAGTCCACAAAATAAATGCATGTATCAGGTGACTTAATGCTCTCTATATCAGTCACGAATCTCATAAATGAACTTAAATTTATTCATAACGCTGCCACGCCCCCTCATGCCCCTTCTAAAGTGTGTTCGAGCGAACAATATCCAGCTCAACAAAATGGCTGCCGTCAGTATTGTGTAGACAATAATAATCTCGTAATTTGTACTCCAAACTTTGACGATAAAAGTTGTAAAGCGAACTATGCTTTAAAAAAAAAAAAAAAAAAAAAAAAAAAAAAAGCACACAACCTAGTTAAGACATACATTATAATTTATTATTATAATATATTCACTCTTTAAGTGAGAAAATGGGGAAATTTGTTTTTGTTGGCTTTGTTATACGTTTGTTTAGATACCGAAAATATTAAAAACATCCAGCACAGTAAAGTCCAACAAAAGCCACAGTTGTTTTTTATAACCACACCCTTATGGTAACACAGCCCACAATTTAAAAAACCATTGAATGAACGGGCAGAGGATGTTCTTTGTGTTTTAAGTGCCCGATTACATAGTGCGGAGAATGTTAAGTGCCCGATTACATAGTGCGGAGAATGTTAAGTGCCCGATTACATAGTGCGGAGAATGTTAAGTGCCAGATTACATAGTGCGGAGAATGTTAAGTGCCCGATTACATAGTGCGGAGAATGTTAAGTGCCAGATTACATAGTGCGGAGAATGTTAAGTGCCCGATTACATAGTGCGGAGAATGTTAAGTGCCCGATTACATAGTGCGGAGAATGTTAAGTGCCAGATTACATAGTGCGGAGAATGTTAAGTGCCAGATTACATAGTGCGGAGAATGTTAAGTGCCCGATTACATAGTGCGGAGAATGTTAAGTGCCAGATTACATAGTGCGGAGAATGTTAAGTGCCCGATTACATAGTGCGGATAATGTTAAGTGCCCGATTACATAGTGCGGAGAATGTTAAGTGCCCGATTACATAGTGCGGAGAATGTTAAGTGCCAGATTACATAGTGCGGAGAATGTTAAGTGCCCGATTACATAGTGCGGAGAATGTTAAGTGCCAGATTACATAGTGCGGAGAATGTTAAGTGCCAGATTACATAGTGCGGAGAATGTTAAGTGCCCGATTACATAGTGCGGAGAATGTTAAGTGCCAGATTACATAGTGCGGAGAATGTTAAGTCCCCGATTACATAGTGCGGAGAATGTTAAGTGCCAGATTACATAGTGCGGAGAATGTTAAGTGCCCGATTACATAGTGCGGAGAATGTTAAGTGCCAGATTACATAGTGCGGAGAATGTTAAGTGCCAGATTACATAGTGCGGAGAATGTTAAGTGCCAGATTACATAGTGCGGAGAATGTTAAGTGCCCGATTACATAGTGCGGAGAATGTTAAGTGCCAGATTACATAGTGCGGAGAATGTTAAGTGCCCGATTACATAGTGCGGAGAATGTTAAGTGCCCGATTACATAGTGCGGAGAATGTTAAGTGCCAGATTACATAGTGCGGAGAATGTTAAGTGCCCGATTACATAGTGCGGAGAATGTTAAGTGCCCGATTACATAGTGCGGAGAATGTTAAGTGCCAGATTACATAGTGCGGAGAATGTTAAGTGCCCGATTACATAGTGCGGAGAATGTTAAGTGCCAGATTACATAGTGCGGAGAATGTTAAGTGCCAGATTACATAGTGCGGAGAATGTTAAGTGCCCGATTACATAGTGCGGAGAATGTTAAGTGCCAGATTACATAGTGCGGAGAATGTTAAGTGCCCGATTACATAGTGCGGATAATGTTAAGTGCCAGATTACATAGTGCGGAGAATGTTAAGTGCCCGATTACATAGTGCGGATAATGTTAAGTGCCCGATTACATAGTGCGGAGAATGTTAAGTGCCCGATTACATAGTGCGGAGAATGTTAAGTGCCAGATTACATAGTGCGGAGAATGTTAAGTGCCCGATTACATAGTGCGGAGAATGTTAAGTGCCAGATTACATAGTGCGGAGAATGTTAAGTGCCAGATTACATAGTGCGGAGAATGTTAAGTGCCCGATTACATAGTGCGGAGAATGTTAAGTGCCCGATTACATAGTGCGGAGAATGTTAAGTGTCCGATTACATAGTGCGGAGAATGTTAAGTGCCCGGTTACCGAGTGCGGAGAATGTTAAGTGCCCGGTTACCGAGTGCGGAGAATGTTAAGTGCCCGGTTACATAGTGCAGAGAATGTTAAGTGCCCGGTTACATAGTGCAGAGAATGTTAAGTGCCCGGTTACAGAGTGCGGAGAATGTTAAGTGCTTGACCACAGATTGTTCTACAAAATACAACTAACAGGTGGGAAGTATAGTGGCCACATGTGTAATGTTGATAGGAGAAGCAGAAAAATGCAATACATTATGTTTTTCCATTATTTTTAGAATAAAGTGAGCTAAGATTTGCGTTTTAGCAAAACTGTCACAATACAACTAGGTCAAGTATTGTAAAACATAGTCCCGACACAAAACTGTCACAATACATCTAGGTCAAGAGTTACACAACGTGCACAGGGTCAAGGACTCACTGGTTTTGTATGACGTTCCTGGTGAAGGCTCTCTGTAGCATGGCGTCAGCAGGCGACAGGCCGGGGTACTCAGCCTGGATGGCCGCGATCAGCTTACCGCCCTGGCTCACTGGGGCCAGACCCATCACAGTGTTATTGGACAGCCAAATGGGATCTGGTGGACAGCAAAAACAAGTAAACGTGTTGTCAGACAGCAAACATCAAGTGTGTTGTCAGACAGCAAACATCAAGTGTGTTGTCAGACAGCAAACATCAAGTGTGTTGTCAGACAGCAAACATCAAGTGTGTTGTCAGACAGCAAACATCAAGTGTGTTGTCAGACAGCAAACATTAAGTGTGTTGTCAGACAGCAAACATCAAGTGTGTTGTCAGACAGCAAACATTAAGTGTGTTGTCAGACAGCAAACATCAAGTTAACGTGTTGTCAGACAGCAAACATCAAGTGTGTTGTCAGACAGCAAACATCAAGTAAACATGTTGTCAGACAGCAAACATCAAGTGTGTTGTCAGACAGCAAACATTAAGTGTGTTGTCAGACAGCAAACATTCAGCTAGTTTGGTGGCCAGCAATTCACTGACATGCAGTTCATTTACCGTAACATTTGTGTATCAAAGGTCAGCTAGTGTGCAATAACGTGTCACAGGTCAGCTAGTGAGTACTCGTGTCAAAGGTCAGCTAGTGAGTACTTGTATGTCAAAGGTCAGCTAGTGTGTACTCACGTGTCCAAGGTCAGCTAGTGTGTACTCACGTGTCAAAGGTCAGCTAGTATGTACTCACGTGTCAAAGGTCAACTAGTGTGTACTCACGTGTCAAAGGTCAGCTAGTGTGTACTCACTTGTCAAAGGTCAGCTAGTGTGTACTCACGGTGAGCGCAGTTGATGCCGACGGAGATGCCTGGCAAGAAGGGCGAGTTGATCGTGCTGGTCAGGTTATAGGGCACGAAGGTCACTCTCAGGCCACACGAGTCAATCTGGCCGGTGGGAAATGTGGGTCAGGTGCCACTCAAATTACATACAAACACACGCACAAGCACACACAAACACATAGTAAAAAACACAACTATAGACACACATATGCACAAACAGACACATACACAAATACGAAATGCGAAATATTTAAACATAAGGACACGCATACACATATAAGCACACAAATATACAGACAGACAAGGGGGAGGAAATGCCTATGGAAACGCACCTGGAAAATGTTCTGTTGTGTGGTGGGCTCAAAGTACTGCAGGACCTTTACGCTGGGTGGGGCTGTGAGGACAATGGTGGGGGTGGTGGCCACGGGAACAACGGGGGTGAACGGGCCGTCGCAATTATAGAAATTGTTTCGCTCGGTTGTCGTCTGAACAGAGATGGAAAAAAGATATGGGTGTTTAATGCCATCGCAAAACTAGCATCATTCCAGCCTTGTTTTAACTCCTGTTGACCCAAAAGATATTTTTAGCAATGACGTTTAACTAATTCTATCTGGAGTGCCGCAGCCAATTTAAACTCAGTCCAACTGTTAAGGCACACAAAGATTACAATATTTGTAGCTGCAACAAAATAACCTCATATTGCAATAATAATAATAATAATAATAATAATAATATTGTTAGTAATATTAATAATATTGTTAATAATATTACTAATAATAATATTAATATTAATAAAAATAATAATAATAATAATAATAATAACAATACTAATAATAATAATAATAAAAATTAATAAAACAATTTCTTATGTTCAAAATGTTGTTGATTTGGGGTAAATCAATTAATATCGACCACGTCTATTGCAGCAACCTTATCTCGGAAAGTGTCAAGCATCTCATTTTTAGCCTATTCAAATGTTAAATTAATAATGTAAAAATTTATGTGACTAATTACCATATTTAAAAACAATAGGTGTTGGGGGGGGGGGGGTACAACAATACAGTAGCGTAGCAAGGGGGCGGGGGGGGGGGACATATGTCCCCGGGCGCCGATTTTAGGGGGCGCCAAAATGGGTTGGAAAAATAAATTGTAAGGTTGAGGGGGGTGCAAATCGAAAGTATGAGGGGGGGGGGGTGCAAATCGAAAGTTTGAGGGGGGGGGTGCAAATCGAAATCTTGAGGGGGGGGGGTGCAAATCGAATAGTTTGTCCCCGGGCGCCGGGAAGGGTCGCTACGCCTCTGCAACAATGTTAATTGTTTGTCATTTTACACACTTTCTCTTTAGTAAAAGCAGTGGTTGCTAAAATGTGTAAGCCATTTCATTTACGACCAATAGTTCTGCTGAAGCAAGGGGTCTCCAAACTACGGCCCTCGGGGTCCTCTCATCTGGCCCGCGGGTATCTTTTTGTCCACGGGAATAGTTTTTGTTGGAGGTGGCTGTGGAACTTTGCCCAGAAAATTTAAAACAATTTGAAAATGTAGCTTTGGGTGCTAATACCATTGCCCGCCGTGTTGCAGACATTGGTGAAAACATCGTGACTCAAATAGCGAAAATGCAAGCAAGTTTCGCCATTATTCAATATCAAAGGTTGAGTCGCTGGACAACTGTTCCACCTCTCAACTGCTTGTGTTCATTAGAGGTGTGGATGAAGACATGAACATAACACAAGAGCTGGCTTCCCTACATAGCATGTATGGCACTGTTACCAGAGAGGATATATTCAATGAGTTAAAAAAACATTTGCTGATTATAACTTGACTGGACTAAGCTCAGTTACCTGACTTTTGATGCTCGAAGATACATGAGTGGCATAAAGAAAGGCTTGGTTGGACAAGCGAGTGAGAAAAACATTTTACAACCAATGTCCCTGCACTGTATTATACACCAGCAAGCTTTGTTTGCTAAATATGTGGACATTAGCGGTGTAGGCCTACTGAATCCTGCGGTGAAGATGGTGAATTTTAATAAGGTCACATGTGCTCAACCATAGATAGTCCAGAGACATGTTGAAAGTTACAAACACAGAATCGCAAGATATACCATATTACACAGCAGTAAGTTGGCTAAGTTGTCAGTAAGTTCTGAGCTGAGTATTTAATTAAGAAAGGAAATAGGTGACTTCCTGGAAAGTAAAGTCAAGCTACAGCCATTATTGTCTGATGAAGAGTGGATATAGAAATTGGCCTCTGCTGCAAACATAACTGGTCAATTTAATTTTCTGAACCTAAAACTACAAAAGAGGGAAATCTAGTTTCTGATCTCTACACCCACCTAAAGGCCTTCAGATTCAAACGTGTCATGTTGTTGCAACAAGTACAAGCCAACAACTTGACACACTTTCAGCAGTGTGATGTCCTCATGGCTGAAGTAACAGCTGAGTCCCCCGGGTCATTTGCATGCGAAATCATCAAAGACCTCCAGCTGCAGTTTCAGTAGCGTTTTTTTTAATTCGATTCAAAGGCAGAAGAAGTGAGATTGTTTCAAAACCCATTTGAAGCAAATGTGGCCAGTTGCCCAGATGAACTGCATCTGGAGGTCATTGAGTTGCAAGCAAACGACCTCTTTAGAGACAAGTTCAAAGAAGGGCGGGTTGGTTTTTATAAGATTTTGCACAAGGAAGACTTGACGTTTATCCGGGGGGGGGGGGGGGGGGAGGCACCCCGAAGAAACTCTGGCCTTGAACTGCTATTTGATAGTTAATGCGGCCCTCTGGCTGAAAAGTTTGGAAACCCCTGTAATTTATTTTCTTTCGTTATTTTCAGTAGAATTTAAAAGCTTAATAATATAAAAGTTTTGGTCTAGTTGTTTATTACAGACTTACCGAGCCGGCTTCGCCGTATGTGGTAGTGGAGAGACTAATTGGGCTGGGGGTGTTGCTGTTGTAGGTCAGCTTGACCGCCAGTTGGTACCCGCGGCTGTACAGCTTACCTTTAGCACGTGCGTTGAAGCCGTAGACCTAAAACATGTATGATACAAGTTAGTCTACAGCTGTAGAGGACCTAAAACATGTAAGATACAAGTTAGCCTACAGCTGTAGTGGGCCTAAAACATGTATGGTACAAGTTAGCCTACAGCTGTAGTGGACCTAAAACATGTAAGATACAAGTTAGCCTAGAGCTGTAGTGGACCTAAAACATGTAAGATACAAGTTAGCCTAGAGCTGTAGTGGACCTAAAACATGTAAGATACAAGTTAGCCTAGAGCTGTAGTTGACCTAAAACATGTAAGATACAAGTTAGCCTAGAGCTGTAGTTGACCTAAAACATGTAAGATACAAGTTAGCCTAGAGCTGTAGTAGAAGTCATGGACCCATGACCCAACCGAATCTTGCAGTGATCAGTGACCCACCTGAATTTGACCAATACCAACCTAAAACTGACCTGACCCCTGAAACTGACCTGACCCATGAAACAGACCTGACCCCTGAAACAGACCTGACCCCTGAAACAGACCTGATCCCTGAAACAGACCTGACCTCTGAAATTGACCTGACCCCTGAAACTGACCTGACCCCTGAAACTGACCTGACCCATGAAACAGACCTGACCCCTGAAACAGACCTGACCCCTGAAACAGACCTGATCCCTGAAACAGACCTGACCTCTGAAATTGACCTGACCCCTGAAACTGACCTGACCCCTGAAACTGACCTGACCCATGAAACAGACCTGACCCCTGAAACAGACCTGACCCCTGAAACAGACCTGACCCCTGAAATTGACCTGACCATTGAAACTGACCTGACCCCTGAAACAGACCAATGACCCACCTTTAACTCGCAGTTTCCAATGACCGACCCTCCAGACTTGAGCTCCTGCTTGACGTGGGTGATCATGTAGCGGCAGGGGTAGGGGAAGTTGACCGTCTCCTCATTAAACGTCGTCAGGGTCGGGTCATTCCTCACCTCAGCGTCCACGGTGTCTAGTTGGACAAGAATTCAGTAAAAAACGTTATGTTGGGATCACTCATGCACTCTAGAAAAGCCGAGCAGCTTCAGGACTGTTAAACTTCGGCAAGTGATGGGCATAACAGTCAGCGGCAAGTAATGGGCATAGCAGTCAGCGGCAAGAGTGAGAGATGGGATGGGTGGTCTAAACAACGTCTTACTGGTTACTGACTTTTTATTGAGCACGTAAATACAAGGCTGGAGGCAGAGATACATCTGCTGACTGCTGTGACATTCAGTCACGTGCTGACTGCTGTGACATTCAGTCACGTGCTGACTGCTGTGACATTCAGTCACGTGCTGACTGCTGTGAGATTCAGTCACGTGCTGACTGCTGTGACATTCAGTCACGTGCTGACTGCTGTGACATTCAGTCACGTGCTGACTGCTGTGACATTCAGTCACGTGCTGACTGCTGTCACATTCAGTCACCTGCTGACTGCTGTGACATTCAGTCACCTGCTGACTGCTGCGACTGTCAGTAGAGTAGCGAGACGAGTGTGTCACGACAGGTACACAGTTTTGAAATCCCACCCATTCATCAAATGACCTTTCATCGTTTGGCGAGAACAGAGCACAAATCTGACAGTACGCCCATTAGTTTTATTCGAATGTTTACCACAGTGTTACAACTTTTGACCCCAGTTGAAAAGATTTGTCAACAAACATGAGTTATTCTGTGTACCGAACAGTGTAGGCTACACCATAACTATGATATGATCAAAATGTTCCAAATAATATGAGATAGATATAATTATATGAAATACTTAAGTTAATTAAACCAAGTGTAATTAGCTAAAACCTACTTTGTCTGTAGCAACCGAAATATCCGTCTCCCCTGACGAAGGGCGGGTTCTTGCAGGTGCAGGTGTTGTTGGGGGCACAGAAGGCCTCCTTGATGCAGGCCTTATTACCACAGATGACTGCGTGGGTGGGGAGTGGTAAAAATATTTAAATTTAGCTTGTTAAATACTTAAGGTAGTGTACATAGTTAATTTGGAAGAGTTGAATTAAGCCCTATTTTAACGAACCAAAGTGCTATGAAGCTGTTGTTGAAGGAGTTAAGCCCTATTTTAACGAACCAAAGTGCTATGAAGCTATTGTTGAAGGAGTTAAGCCCTATTTTAACGAACCAAAATGCCATGAAGCTGTTGGTAAAACTCTAGCCTACCCTGTGACATGACCTGGCCGACGAAGGCACCAAGCAGCAGGACGATCAGGTAGCCAGACATTTTACCTGGAATTAGAAAACTTCTTTAATTGGTTAGTAAATGAAAACTTGACTGTGCGGACGCTATACTCGGTTGTGGGTGACGTTGTTGGCTCTAGTAATTAGCTTTAAAAAAACCGGAAGTTGAGCATGTACCACTTCCGTTTACAGGAAATCGCTCAAAAGTTGTTACAGAACTACAAATTCGATCTAATACTTATACTTGAAATTTCGTTAACATAACTCAAACGGTACAGAAGTTATCGTGTTTACAGACACACAGATATACAGACTAACAGACACACAGACAAAATTGCAAAACCAAGTTCCGGCAGGATTTAAAACGTCAAAGTTTGTCAACATCTCTTTTAACATTATTCGACAGGTACTTTGGTTAGTTGCTAAGTTATTTTAATGTATAGCTAGATCGATGGCTTAGACCGTGAACTCACCAAATCGATGTTTCGATGAGCTTGCTAATAGATATACGTACATCCAAAAATAAACCGGGAGTGATCTCCCCTAAACTTTCTCGAATATTCTTATATAAAACAACAGGGGATGGGGACTCGGGCTATAGACATGATTTTTAATCCATTTTAAATACTTAAAGTTTTAGAAATAGAATAAAATCTCGTAGACAAAAGAATTGCACACCAAGTGAACGCCAAATAAAAAAGTGCATAATAGTGCGCAATATTATTAGTTCGTTAAAAATTTACATTAGTTTTTTGAGAAATCGGAAGTAGCGTAAATTACTACATCCGGTCAACGGAAATTACTCAAAATGTAACAGAAGATAGAGAATTAGATCTTTTACTTACATGTGAAATTTCATTTATCTATCTGAAATAGTACTCAAGTTATAGGTTTTTGAAAAATTCAAAGTAGAAAAAGTACCACTTCCGGTTATCGGAAATCGCTCAAAAGTTGATACGGATCTACGATTTTGATAAAATACTTATATATAAAATTTCATCAACCTAGCTGTAACGGTACTCAAGTTATCGTGTTTACACATGAACAGACACACACACACACACACATAGACACACAGACATACGGACAGAATTGCAAAGCCCAGTTTTTCAGACTGGATTACGCATAAAACCTCTTAATTTTGATAAATCTGGATTGATAATTTTTGCCCGATTAAAATAAGTCCTCTATACTTCGGATGTGATGAAGGACTGAGGTGTAATACGGTGAAAATTGTTAAAATTTCAAATGATTTTTGTGCATGATTACAATACTTTCTCTATACTTCGTATATACGAGAAAGTAAAAACACCAAAAAACGGATTTTTAAATAATTATATATATATATATATATATATATATATATATATATATATATATATATATATATATATATATATATATATATATATATATATAGCTTCGCCCCAAAAGAAAATAACATCCCAACAGACCAACTAGCAACTGCTAACCTAAAGCAAACAAGAGAGATCACTCACCTGTTGACTAGTGGAGGTTATCTGTTCACTGTGCTCCACCAGCCAATAGTTATATCATCTGACTGGACCTATGCACGTCACTAAAGTGCTACCATGTCCCATCATGCAACTCCCGTCAAAATGTGACATGAATCAGTGAGAGCGCCATCTGGTGACGAATAATTTAACACGGGGGACCACCTCAACTTTGATCTCGGCTCACACCCTCATGTCGTTTGTTGCCGGCTCCATGCGGCTCGATGACCGGAGCCACAAACCCATCAAAGCAAGTGTATCACGTGACGATAGCCAAGCAATCAGGTGCATTTCCTTTTAATAAAGTAATCTTCACATCAAACTGTGAATCCCCCAGTCCACAGATTTGCCACTTAGAGAATGTAAAACACAAATAAAAGTCAGCTGATTAATTTTTCCAGTCCAGCTTTGGACTCTACAACTGTCACATTACAGTCATCAGGCTCGTGATGGTAGATACGTGGCCCTTAGGTGTATCTTACTACACTGGTGACCTTAGATGGCCCTTAGGTGTATCTTACTAGCTTGGTGACCTTACATGGCCCTTAGGTGTTTCTTACTAGATTGGTGACCTTAGATGGCCCTTAGGTGTATCTTACTACATTGATGACCTTACATGGCCCTTAGGTGTATCTTATTACATTAGTGACCTTACATGGCCCTTAGGTAGATCTTACTAGATTGGTGACCTTTGATGGCCCTTAGGTTATCTTACTAGATTAGTGACCTTTGATGGCCCTAAAATGTATATTACTATACTGGTGGCCTTCTATAGATGGCCGTGAAATGTATCTCCCTAAAGATATTGGCCGTAGTTGGATAGCCATTATGTATATAGCCCACCCTTGTTATGTTTGTTTAATGTACAACAATAATTCAGGAAAAAATAACTGCCGCTTTCAGTTTTTGATGACCTCTTCACCTTCTTCTCCTTGACCTTGTGTCGGTTGCTGTGATTCTTTAAAAAGGACAACGTACAAAGTGTTATGAACTGGTAAATATCTACAACATAGACATTTCTTGGTCCTCATCATTAACATAGGTCTTTTTTTACCAGAGGAAGCTGGGAGGGACCTTGAGAGTTAGCGGTAGGTAGAGGCAGACAGAAGAAGTTAGAGGCATGTAGAGGCAGATAGAGGCAGGTTGGGGCACTCATACACACACTCATACAAACACAATCATACACACACCCATACACGTCCACTCATGCAAACACTATTGGAGTAATTGACATATGGATGAAGTCAAAGACATTTTAAAATCGGGATTTGTGTGTTGGTGGGGAGATATGTGTCTGGTCTAACAAAATGTTAGATTATGTTTAGGGTTCGGGGTTGGGTTCAAGATTTCATATTTTCCTGTGGTATCATTTGTCCTTGATGTGTAGCATTTACTGCAATGTTAGTAAAAAATTCCTATTTTCAGAGACAAACATATTAAATAGACACTATTCAACCAGCTACCGTAGCGCAAAGTTGTAAATTTGCAACTTTTGCGTTTATTTGACAGTAATAGTTCCGTTTGTTTCATTTAGATGTTTATTAAATGTATTTTAATAGCTGCTTAATTATCCACGTCACAAACTAATTTGGTCCACCCAGTCATTTTTTAAGGCACGTTGGAATAAAATGTTCCTCAAATTACCGCTGATGTTTCTTTTAGTTTACTTTATAAGAAACATTGAAACAAGGAAAATTTTAAACCAGTTCATTGGACTTTGTATTGTATTCTTATATGTGTTTCATACAACTCAGATGCCTTGTCAGTCAAATACAACTTTTATTCCATTAACAGCTTTTTAACATATGAATGGTGAACACAATTTTAAACACAATTACTTAAAACGGTAGAATTTCGCAAATTTGTTTATTTTTAATAACCATTTCAAGACCAGCAACCAGCAAAGACGTCCCACTTCATCCATTCCTCCCCAACATGACGTCCCACTTCATCCATTCCTCCCCAACATGACGTCCCACTTCATCCATTCCTCCCCAACATGACGTCCCACATCACTTCATCCATTCCTCCCCAACATGACGTCCCACTTCATCCATTCCTCCCCAACATGACGTCCCACTTCATCCATTCCTCCCCAACATGACGTCCCACTTCATCCATTCCTCCCCAACATGACGTCCCACTTCACTTCATCCATTCCTCCCCAACATGACGTCCCACTTCATCCATTCCTTCCCAACATGACGTCCCACTTCATCCATTCCTCCCCAACATGACGTCCCACTTCATCCATTCCTCCTCAACATGACGTCCCACTTCATCCATTCCTCCCCAACATGACGTCCCACTTCATCCATTCCTCCCCAACATGACGTCCCACTTCATCCATTCCTCCCCAACATGACGTCCCACTTCATCCATTCCTCCCCAACATGACGTCCCACTTCATCCATTCCTCCCCAACATGACGTCCCACTTCATCCATTCCTTCCCAACATGACGTCCCACTTCATCCATTCCTTCCCAACATGACGTCCCACTTCATCCATTCCTCCCCAGCACCATAAAGACGTCCCACTTCATCCATTCCTCCCCAGCACCATAAAGACGTCCCACTTCATCCATTCCTCCCCAGCACCATAAAGCCGTCCCACTTCATCCATTCCTCCCCAGCAAAGACGTCCCACTTCATCCATTCCTTCCCAGCACCATTAAGACGTCCCACTTTATCCATTCCTCCCTAACACCATAAAGACGTACCACTTCATCCATTCCTCCCCAGCACCATAAAGACGTCCCACTTCATCCATTCCTCCCCAGCAAAGACGTCACACTTCATCCATTCCTTCCCAGCACCATAAAGACGTCCCACTTTATCCATTCCTCCCCAACACCATAAAGACGTCCCACTTCATCCATTCCTCCCCAGCACCATAAAGACGTCCCACTTTATCCATTCCTCCCCAACACCATAAAGACGTCCCACTTCGTCCATTCCTCTCCAGAACCATAAAGACGTCCCACTTCATCCATTCCTCCCCAGCAAAGACGTCCCACTTCATCCATTCCTTCCCAGCACCATAAAGACGTCCCACTTCATCCATTCCTCCCCAACACCATGAAGACGTCCCACTTCATCCATTCCTCCCCAGCAAAGATGTCCCACTTCATCCATTCCTTCCCAGCACCATAAAGACGTCCCACTTCATCCATTCCTCCCCAGCACCATAAAGACGTCCCACTTCATCCATTCCTCCCCAACACCATGAAGACGTCCCACTTCATCCATTCCTCCCCAGCACCATAAAGACGTCCCACTTCATCCATTCCTCCCCAGCACCATAAAGACGTTCCATTTCATCCATTACTCCCCAGCAAAGACGTCCCACTTCATCCATTCCTCCCCAGCACCATAAAGACGTCCCACTTCATCCATTCCTCCCCAGAACCATAAAGACGTCCCACTTCATCCATTCCTCCCCAACACCATGAAGACGTCCCACTTCATCCATTCCTCCCCAGAACCATAAAGACGTCCCACTTTATCCATTCCTCCCCAGCAAGATGTCCCACTTCATCCATTCCTCCTCAGCACCATGAAGACGTCCCACTTCATCCATTCCTCCCCAGCACCATAAAGACGTCCCACTTCATCCATTCCTCCCCAGCACCATAAAGACGTCCCACTTTATCCATTCCTACCCAGCACCATAAAGACGTCCCACTTCATCCATTCTTCCCCAGAACCATAAAGACGTCCCACTTCATCCATTCCTCCCCAGCACCATAAAGACGTTCCACTTGGTACTCAGCTGTATATCTCCACTGCCTACGGAGGCTCCGCCCCCTAGGATGGAAGCTAGGCTAGGAAAACAAAAATAAACCAATTAACATTTTTCTTAAAGTAATAATTGTCGTAGTATAAATTGAAATGTTTTCGTAAAGTAATAAATGTCGTAGTATAAATTGTAATGCTCCCTAGATAAGTGTCTTAGCTATAAATCAAAAGATTTTCCAGAATTTTTTTTAGATATAAATAAAAAGGTTTTTCAGATAATTGTTTTAGCTATAAATTAAAAGATTCTTCGGATAATTGTTTTAGCTATAAATGAAAAGATTTTTCAGATAATTGTTTTAGCTATAAATTAAAAGGTTCCAGAAATAACTGTCTAAACTATCTTTGGACACAACCGAGTTCACGAGAAGCCTCCAATAATTTGTTGACATGGGTATCAGTTTTGTTAATTTTGCATTTATGATGTCAGTAACTAAAAAAAATATTTCTAAAACCTTAATATGTCTTTAAAAATTCTGAAATATTAAACGTTATAAAAGTTGTCCATGCAGGGAACTTAAAATGTGTAATGTTATAAAAGTTGGGAATGCAGAAATCTTGAAAATATGTTTTGCGTTTAATGCTACATTTCTATTTCTTGACATGAAGTCTGGTCACAAGATCTGTTTTAGTAAGACAAACGTTCATTGGCTGAATACTAACTCTATGTGCACATTTCTATAAACTCCACTTTTTGTTATTTTTTATTTGAATCTTTTGCTGTAAGAAATTGGTATAATTTGGTATAAAATTATACTTTTCCAACAATATGACCTAGTTATACAGATTTTTTAAAATAATTAACGAAATATTCGAGACTTTTCCCGGTGGAAATTGAGTTTTATTCCCAGAGATATGGCTGGCATTTTGGGTAAGTGGGGACACTTTCAAATTACTTCAACTATCACGTTTTTCTTTTTCTTTTTAGAATTGTTTTCTATTTAAGAATTAGCACGGTAATCTAGTGATTGTATTCTTGTGGTACCCTTGTAAAGATGCCTTGTTACATAATTTAACATGGTCGTTTCAAAAAAATATGACTTCATGTTCCTTTGTTACTTGAAATATTTCAAAAATCAATATTTATAGATTTCAAGCATGAATGTTGGTGTCGTGGGTGGAATAAACTAAACAAATGTACACCACTGACTAGATGAAACATGATTGTTTAAAAAAAATGTTTAGAATAAACTAAACAAAGGTACACCACTGACTAGATGAAACATGAAAGTAGCCTTACGTTGTCTCCATCTCCTCCAGTAAACTAAGGTACACCACTGACTAGAGGAAACATGAATGTACACCACTGACTAAAGGAAACATGAATGTAGCCTTACGTTGTCTCCATCTCCTCCAGTAAACTAAACTACACCACTGACTAGATGAAACATGAATGTAGCCTTACGTTGTCTCCATCTCCTCCAGTAAACAAATGTACACCACTGACTAGTGGAAACATGAAAGTAGCCTTACGATGTCTCCATCTCCTCCAGTAAACAAATGTACACCACTGACTAGAGGAAACATGAATGTACACCACTGACTAGATGAAACATGAATGTAGCCTTACGATGTCTCCATCTCCTCCAGTAAACAAATGTACACCACTGACTAGAGGAAACATGAATGTACCCCACTGACTAGATGAAACATTAATGTAGCCTTACGATGTCTCCATCTCCTCCAGTAAACAAATGTACACCACTGACTAGAGGAAACATGAATGTACCCCACTGACTAGATGAAACATGAATGTAGCCTTACGATGTCTCCATCTCCTCCAGTATCTGAGAGTCAGGGAATTCCCTCAAGTAGAAGTTGATGTAGTGGAAGGACTCGATGTAGCCCATGTATTCTTTCAGCGTCATGTTGGCTGTCATCTCGATGTTATCGAATCTGGGAAGTTAATGGTTTAGGTCAACCTACAGCTGTATTTGATGAAACTTGAGTATCGTGTATTTGTTTAGGTCAACCGCTGTATTTGACGAAATGGAAACTTGAGTGTCGTGTATTTGTTTAGGTCAACCGCTGTATTTGACGAAATGGAAACTTGAGTGTCGTGTATTTGTTTAGGTCAACCTACCGCTGTATTTGATGAAACTTGAGTGTCGTGTATTTGTTTAGGTCAACCTACAGCTGTATTTGATGAAACTTGAGTGTCGTGTATTTGTTTAGGTCAACGTACAGCTGTATTTGATGAAACTTGAGTATCGTGTATTTGTTTAGGTCAACCTACCGCTGTATTTGACGAAATGGAAACTTGAGTGTCGTGTATTTGTTTAGGTCAACCTACCGCTGTATTTGATGAAACTTGAGTGTCGTGTATTTGTTTAGGTCAACCTACAGCTGTATTTGATGAAACTTGAGTGTCGTGTATTTGTTTAGGTCAACCTACCGCTGTATTTGATGAAACTTGAGTGTCGTGTATTTGTTTAGGTCAACCTACAGCTGTATTTGATGAAACTTGAGTGTCGTGTATTTGTTTAGGTCAACCTACCGCTGTATTTGATGAAACTTGAGTGTCGTGTATTTGTTTAGGTCAACCTACAGCTGTATTTGATGAAACTTGAGTGTCGTGTATTTGTTTAGGTCAACCTACCGCTGTATTTGATGAAACGTTAGTGTCAGCTCAACCTACCGCTGTATTTGACGAAATGGAAGCTTGATTGTTGTGTATTTGTTCTTCATGATATCCATCCTCGACGTCAAATATTTACCAAACACTTTATTGCGCATCTAAAACAAAGAAAAAAAATTCAATTTGTTTTATTTTGGCCAGACAATGTTGTAGGATAGAACACCACTGCTAAGTGCTTGTACGGTATATAAGACAAGTCTACCCTTGAGAATTCGGGAACACTCGTTTCTTTCAGGCGTTTTTTAGGCTTTTCTTTCAGACGTTTCTTTCAGGCTTTTCTTTCAGACGTTTCTTTCAGACGTTGCTTTCAGACGTTTCTTTCAGGCGTTTCTTTCAGGCGTTTCTATTGGTCATCTATCTGGGAGAGGAGAGTACTGTAACCCCCCCCCCCCCCCCCTTCCTCCCCAGAATATTTCAAGCGCCTCTTCCCTGCTCCCTCGGAGAAAATATTAAATTTTTACACAAAATATACTCTTTCCTCCTCCCCCATACCACACGAATTTCAAGTGCCCCCCCCCTGAAAATCTATTGTTCAATGTTACTCTAAACATACGCAGGCAGGTTAAACCTTGACTTAACGTTAATCTAAACATATGCAGGCAGGCTAAACCTTGACTTAACGTAACTCTAAACATACGCAGTCAGGCTAAACCTTGACTTAACGTTAATCTAAACATACGCAGGCAGATTAAACCTTGAGTTAACGTTAATCTAAACATACGCAGGCAGGCTAAACCTTGACTTAACGTTAACCTAAACATACGCAGGCAGGCTAAACCTTGACTTAACGTTAATCTAAACATACGCAGGCAGGCTAAACCTTAACGTTACTGTGTGAGCTCACATGTTTCAAGTACGTGTCTGCCTCAACATTGTCCAGCTGATCAAACCAGTAGCTGTAGGCGGCAAAAGTCCCGTCTGGCTTCAAGACTCGCCGGACTTCCGAGAAAAACCTGCAACAGGAGGAGAGGAAAACAGAGATCTTAGGGGAGAGTAGAGGAAAACAGAGATCTTATGTGAGAGTAGAGGAAAACAGAGATATTATGGGAGAGTAGAGGAAAACAGAGATACTATGGGAGAGTAAACTAAGATCTTATGGGAGGGAAGAGGAAAACAGAGATACTATGGGAGAGTAAACTAAGATCTTATGGGAGGGAAGAGGAAAACAGAGATACTATGGGAGAGTAAACTAAGATCTTATGGGAGAGTAGAGGAAAACAGAGATATTATGGGAGAGTAGAGGAAAACAGAGATCTTAGGGGAGAGTAGAGGAAAACAGAGATCTTATGGGAGAGTAGAGACAAAAAAAGATCTTATGGGAGAGTAGAGACAAACAAAGATCTTATGGGAGAGTAGAGGAAAACAGAGATCTTATGGGAGAGTAGAGGAAAACAGAGATCTTAGGGGAGAGTAGAGACAAAAAAAGATCTTATGGGAGAGTAGAGACAAACAAAGATCTTATGGGAGAGTAGAGGAAAACAGAGATCTTATGGGAGAGTAGAGGAAAACAGAGATCTTAGGGGAGAGTAGCTGGGTAGAGAAAGATTTTCATCAGGGACTCTAATCTACCCCGTGTTAGTACAAATCTAGCTAAGACCTGGGGGGGGGGGGGGTAGTTACTCCTGACCTTAAACTAGATTTGTTTTTAAATCAACAAATCATAAATATAAATCTAGACATTAGATAGATTTTGACAGTAACCAGATTGGGCGTTACAATGTTGACATTAACCACTATGGACTGATGTTACAATGTTGACATTAACCACTACGGGCTGATGTTACAATGTTGACATTAACCACTATGGACTGATGTTACAATGTTGACATTAACCACTATGGACTGATGTTACAATGTTGACATTAACCACTATGGGCTGATGTTACAATGTTGACATTAACCACTATGGACTGATGTTACAATGTTGACATTAACCACTATGGGCTGATGTTACAATGTTGACATTAACCACTACAGGCTGATGTTACAATGTTGACATTAACCACTATGGACTGATGTTACAATGTTGACATTAACCACTCTGGGCTGATGTTACAATGTTGACATTAACCACTACGGACTGATGTTACAATGTTGACATTAACCAGATTGTGCTGATGTTACAATGTTGACATTAACCACTATGGACTGATGTTACAATGTTGACATTAACCACTATGGGCTGATGTTACAATGTTGACATTAACCACTATGGGCTGATGTTACAATGTTGACATTAACCACTATGGACTGATGTTACAATGTTGACATTAACCACTATGGGCTGATGTTACAATGTTGACATTAACCACTATGGACTGATGTTACAATGTTGACATTAACCACTATGGGCTGATGTTACAATGTTGACATTAACCACTATGGGCTGATGTTACAATGTTGACAATAACCACTACGGACTGATGTTACAATGTTGACATTAACCAGATTGTGCTGATGTTACAATGTTGACATTAACCACTATGGACTGATGTTACAATGTTGACATTAACCACTATGGGCTGATGTTACAATGTTGACATTAACCACTATGGGCTGATGTTACAATGTTGACATTAACCACTATGGACTGATGTTACAATGTTGACATTAACCACTATGGGCTGATGTTACAATGTTGACATTAACCATTATGGACTGATGTTACAATGTTGACATTAACCACTATGGACTGATGTTACAATGTTGACATTAACCACTATGGGCTGATGTTACAATGTTGACATTAACCACTATGGACTGATGTTACAATTTCGACATTAACCACTATGGGCTGATGTTACAATGTTGACATTAACCACTATGGACTGATGTTACAATGTTGACATTAACCACTATGGGCTGATGTTACAATGTTGACATTAACCACTATGGGCTGATGTTACAATGTTGACATTAACCACTATGGACTGATGTTACAATGTTGACATTAACCACTATGGGCTGATGTTACAATGTTGACATTAACCACTACAGGCTGATGTTACAATGTTGACATTAACCACTATGGACTGATGTTACAATGTTGACATTAACCACTCTGGGCTGATGTTACAATGTTGACATTAACCACTACGGACTGATGTTACAATGTTGACATTAACCAGATTGTGCTGATGTTACAATGTTGACATTAACCACTATGGACTGATGTTACAATGTTGACATTAACCACTATGGGCTGATGTTACAATGTTGACATTAACCACTATGGGCTGATGTTACAATGTTGACATTAACCACTATGGACTGATGTTACAATGTTGACATTAACCACTATGGGCTGATGTTACAATGTTGACATTAACCACTATGGACTGATGTTACAATGTTGACATTAACCACTATGGGCTGATGTTACAATGTTGACATTAACCACTATGGGCTGATGTTACAATGTTGACAATAACCACTACGGACTGATGTTACAATGTTGACATTAACCAGATTGTGCTGATGTTACAATGTTGACATTAACCACTATGGACTGATGTTACAATGTTGACATTAACCACTATGGGCTGATGTTACAATGTTGACATTAACCACTATGGGCTGATGTTACAATGTTGACATTAACCACTATGGACTGATGTTACAATGTTGACATTAACCACTATGGGCTGATGTTACAATGTTGACATTAACCATTATGGACTGATGTTACAATGTTGACATTAACCACTATGGACTGATGTTACAATGTTGACATTAACCACTATGGGCTGATGTTACAATGTTGACATTAACCACTATGGACTGATGTTACAATTTCGACATTAACCACTATGGGCTGATGTTACAATGTTGACATTAACCACTATGGACTGATGTTACAATGTTGACATTAACCACTATGGGCTGATGTTACAATGTTGACATTAACCACTATGGGCTGATGTTACAATGTTGACATTAACCACTATGGACTGATGTTACAATGTTGACATTAACCACTATGGGCTGATGTTACAATGTTGACATTAACCATTATGGACTGATGTTACAATGTTGACATTAACCACTATGGGCTGATGTTACAATGTTGACATTAACCACTATGGGCTGATGTTACAATGTTGACATTAACCAGATTGGGCTGATGTTACAATGTTGACATTAACCACTATGGACTGATGTTACACTGTTGACATTAACCACTATGGACTGATGTTACAATGTTGACATTAACCACTATGGGCTGATGTTACAATGTTGACATTAACCACTATGGGCTGATGTTACAATGTTGACATTAACCAGATTGGGCTGATGTTACAATGTTGACATTAACCACTATGGGCTGATGTTACAATGTTGACATTAACCACTATGGACTGATGTTACACTGTTGACATTAACCAGATTGGGCTGATGTTACAATGTTGACATTAACCACTATGGGCTGATGTTACACTGTTGACATTAACCAGATTGTGCTGATGTTACAATGTTGACATTAACCACTATGGGCTGATGTTACAATGTTGACATTAACTAGATTGGGCTGATGTTACAATGTTGACATTAACCACTATGGACTGATGTTAAAATGTTGACATTAACCACTATGGGCTGATGTTACAATGTTGAGATTAACTAGATTGGGCTGATGTTACAATGTTGACATTAACCACTATGGACTAATGTTAAAATGTTGACATTAACCACTATGGGCTGATGTTACAATGTTGACATTAACCACTATGGGCTGATGTTACAATGTTGACATTAACCACTATGGGCTGATGTTACAATGTTGACATTAACCACTATGGGCTGATGTTACAATGTTGACATTAACTAGATTGGGCTGATGTTACAATGTTGACATTAACCACTATGGGCTGATGTTACAATGTTGACATTAACCACTACGGACTGATGTTACAATGTTGACATTAACTAGATTGTGCTGATGTTACAAAGTCGACCAGATTGGGCTGATGTTACGACAACCACTCACTTGTCCAGGTTCACCCACTGCAAACTGGTTGCTATGGTGACGAGGTCAACAGTTCCAGACTCCAGGAAGCGCAAATCTTCAGCGGCGGCCACTGCGGTTGTTAAATTCTGTGCAGCTGGCACCTTGGATATCAGGTCCACGCTGACGTCACTACCTACAACCTTGAGATAGGGGTGGGATGAATTCTTTAAATATGCGTCTTGCTAGTTTTTTTTATTCCCCTCCCCCATTCCATCCCAGCCTCTCCTATGACCCTCTCAAAATATCTCTACTGGATCCTTTGATTCTCCTGATCTGGGCTCCATTTTAACGTTTATTATGTGGTGTCCTCGGGGGAGGGAGTCGTTGCTCCCCTCCCCCTAAGGGAATCGTTGCTCCCCTCCCCATGAGGGAGTCGATGCCCCCCTCCCCTCCATTTGTGCTGTACTTTCACTTAAGTTGGTTTACGCTGTTTGTGATATTGTTGAGCAAAACGATGAAAATACATTCGTTAAAGCTCTTTAGGGATTGATAAATACAGAAAGATTGCACCTGAAAAATATTATCATTAAAATACTCGGAATCTTCTGCAACACAATCTACAAAGGCGAACATGACATTACCTCCCTTGAATTCACCCGTTCATTCTGGGCCACCCACCCCCCACGTGACGCGTCTGGTGACGCCTCTGTTATAGTTATTTGATCACGTCATAATGTAATACCCATCCCACCCCAATGGTTGCCTAATGTAGCTAATACAGAAGTTGTATAAACCTTGCCTAATGTAGCTAATACAGAAGTTGTATAAACCTTGCCTAATGTAGCTAATACAGAAGTTGTATAAACCTTGCCTAATGTAGCTAATACACAAGTTATATGAACCTTGCCTAATGTAGCTAATACAGAAGTTGTATAAACCTTGCCTAATGTAGCTAATACACAAGTTATATGAACCTTGCCTAATGTAGCTAATACAGAAGTTGTATGAACCTTGCCTAATGTAGCTAATACAGAAGTTGTATAAACCTTGCCTAATGTAGCTAATACAGAAGTTGTATAAACCTTGCCTAATGTAGCTAATACAGAAGTTGTATGAACCTTGCCTAATGTAGCTAATACAGAAGTTGTATGAACCTTGTCTAATGTAGCTAATACAGAAGTTGTATGAACCTTGCCTAATGTAGCTAATACAGAAGTTGTATGAACCTTGCCTAATGTAGCTAATACAGAAGTTGTATGAACCTTGCCTAATGTAGCTAATATAGAAGTTGTATGAACCTTGCCTAATGTAGCTAATACAGAAGTTGTATGAACCTTGCCTAATGTAGCTAATACAGAAGTTGTATGAACCTTGCCTAATGTAGCTAATACAGAAGTTGTATAAACCTTGCCTAATGTAGCTAATACAGAAGTTGTATGAACCTTGCCTAATGTAGCTAATACAGAAGTTGTATGAACCTTGCCTAATGTAGCTAATACAGAAGTTGTATAAACCTTGCCTAATGTAGCTAATACAGAAGTTGTATAAACCTTGCCTAATGTAGCTAATACAGAAGTTGTATAAACCTTGCCTAATGTAGCTAATACAGAAGTTGTATAAACCTTGCCTAATGTAGCTAATATAGAAGTTGTATGAACCTTGCCTAATGTAGCTAATACAGAAGTTGTATGAACCTTGCCTAATGTAGCTAATATAGAAGTTGTATGAACCTTGCCTAATGTAGCTAATATAGAAGTTGTATAAACCTTGCCTAATGTAGCTAATACAGAAGTTGTATAAACCTTGCCTAATGTAGCTAATACAGAAGTTGTATAAACCTTGCCTAATGTAGCTAATACAGAAGTTGTATGACCCTTGCCTAATGTAGCTAATACAGAAGTTGTATGAACCTTGCCTAATGTAGCTAATACAGAAGTTGAATGTGACCTTGCCTAATGTAGCTAATACAGAAGTTGTATGAACCTTGTCTAATGTAGCTAATATAGAAGTTGTATAACCTTGCCAAAATATGTAGCTAATACAGAAGTTGTATGAACCTTGCCTAATGTAGCTAATACAGAAGTTGTATGAACCTTGCCTAATGTAGCTAATATAGAAGTTGTATAAACCTTGCCTAATGTAGCTAATACAGAAGTTGTATGAACCTTGCCTAATGTAGCTAATACAGAAGTTGTATGAACCTTGCCTAATGTAGCTAATACAGAAGTTGTATGAACCTTGCCAAAATATGTAGCTAATACAGAAGTTGTATAAACCTTGCCTAATGTAGCTAATACAGAAGTTGTCTGAACCTTGCCTAATGTAGCTAATACAGAAGTTGTATGAACCCTGCCTAATGTAGCTAATACAGAAGTTGTATGAACCTTGCCTAATGTAGCTAATACAGAAGTTGTCTGAACCTTGCCTAATGTAGCTAATACAGAAGTTGTATAAACCTTGCCTAATGTAGCTAATATAGAAGTTGTATGAACCTTGCCTAATGTAGCTAATACAGAAGTTGTATAAACCTTGCCAAAATATGTAGCTAATACAGAAGTTGTATGAACCTTGCCTAATGTAGCTAATACAGAAGTTGTATGAACCTTGCCTAATGTAGCTAATACAGAAGTTGTCTGAACCTTGCCTAATGTAGCTAATACAGAAGTGATATGAACCTTGCCTAATGTAGCTAATACAGAAGTTGTATAAACCTTGCCTAATGTAGCTAATACAGAAGTTGTATAAACCTTGCCTAATGTAGCTAATACAGAAGTTGTATGAACCTTGCCTAATGTAGCTAATACAGAAGTTGTATGAACCTTGCCTAATGTAGCTAATACAGAAGTTGTATAAACCTTGCCTAATGTAGCTAATACAGAAGTTGTATGAACCTTGCCTAATGTAGCTAATACAGAAGTTGTATAAACCTTGCCAAAATATGTAGCTAATACAGAAGTTGTATGAACCTTGCCTAATGTAGCTAATATAGAAGTTGTATAAACCTTGCCTAATGTAGCTAATACAGAAGTTGTATAAACCTTGCCTAATGTAGCTAATACAGAAGTTGTATAAACCTTGCCTAATGTAGCTAATACAGAAGTTGTATAAACCTTGCCTAATGTAGCTAATACAGAAGTTGTATGAACCTTGCCTAATGTAGCTAATATAGAAGTTGTATGAACCTTGCCTAATGTAGCTAATATAGAAGTTGTAAGAACCTTGCCTAATGTAGCTAATACAGAAGTTGTATAAACCTTGCCTAATGTAGCTAATACAGAAGTTGAATGAACCTTGCCTAATGTAGCTAATACAGAAGTTGAATGAACCTTGCCTAATGTAGCTAATACAGAAGTTGTATAAACCTTGCCTAATGTAGCTAATACAGAAGTTGTATAAACCTTGCCTAATGTAGCTAATACAGAAGTTGAATGAACCTTGCCTAATGTAGCTAATACAGAAGTTGTATGAACCTTGCCTAATGTAGCTAATACAGAAGTTGTATAAACCTTGCCTAATGTAGCTAATACAGAAGTTGTATAAACCTTGCCTAATGTAGCTAATACAGAAGTTGTATGAACCTTGCCTAATGTAGCTAATACAGAAGTTGTATGACCCTTGCCTAATGTAGCTAATACAGAAGTTGTATAAACCTTGCCTAATGTAGCTAATACAGAAGTTGTATGAACCTTGCCTAATGTAGCTAATACAGAAGTTGTATGACCCTTGCCAAAATGTGTAGCTAATATAGAAGTTGTATAAACCTTGCCTAATGTAGCTAATACAGAAGTTGTATAAACCTTGCCTAATGTAGCTAATACAGAAGTTGTATGAACCTTGCCTAATGTAGCTAATACAGAAGTTGTATGAACCTTGCCTAATGTAGCTAATACAGAAGTTGTATAAACCTTGCCTAATGTAGCTAATACAGAAGTTGTATGAACCTTGCCTAATGTAGCTAATACAGAAGTTGTATGAACCTTGCCTAATGTAGCTAATACAGAAGTTGTATGAACCTTGCCTAATGTAGCTAATATAGAAGTTGTATGAACCTTGCCTAATGTAGCTAATACAGAAGTTGTATGAACCTTGCCTAATGTAGCTAATATAGAAGTTGTAAGAACCTTGCCTAATGTAGCTAATACAGAAGTTGTATAAACCTTGCCTAATGTAGCTAATACAGAAGTTGAATGAACCTTGCCTAATGTAGCTAATACAGAAGTTGTATGAACCTTGCCTAATGTAGCTAATACAGAAGTTGTATGAACCTTGCCTAATGTAGCTAATACAGAAGTTGTATGAACCTTGCCAAAATATGTAGCTAATACAGAAGTTGTCTGAACCTTGCCTAATGTAGCTAATACAGAAGTTGTATGAACCTTGCCTAATGTAGCTAATATAGAAGTTGTATAACCTTGCCAAAATGTGTAGCTAATACAGAAGTTGTATAAACCTTGCCTAATGTAGCTAATACAGAAGTTGTATGAACCTTGCCTAATGTAGCTAATACAGAAGTTGTATGAACCTTGCCTAATGTAGCTAATACAGAAGTTGTATGAACCTTGCCTAATGTAGCTAATACAGAAGTTGTATGAACCTTGCCTAATGTAGCTAATACAGAAGTTGTATGAACCTTGCCTAATGTAGCTAATACAGAAGTTGTATGAACCTTGCCTAATGTAGCTAATACAGAAGTTGTATGAACCTTGCCGAAATATTTGGTCAGGGGCAGAGTACTCTGACCTGAGCCGCAGCAAACATCAACAGCCAACTGCTGGTCGCAGGGGAGAGAATCATGCCGCTCTAGGTGGTAGCTCATGATGTGATCGTACACTTCTTGCGGGTAGCTGGGCCTGTAGGCGGCGTACTTGGTGGCGAACTTCTTGCCGGTGTGCAGACTTTGTAGGAGTTTGTCGTTCTCAGTCATCTGATGAAGTAGGATGTCTTAGTCAGTCATCTGATGTAGTATGTCGTACTCCGTCATCTGATGTAGTATGTCGTACTCCGTCATCTGATGTAGTATGTCGTCTTCCGTCATCTGATGTAGTATGTCGTCTTCCGTCATCTGACGCAGTTTTTCGTCTTCCGTCATCTGATGCAGTTTGTCGCACTGTCCTCTGATGTAGTAGTTTGTCGTTCTCAGTCATCTGATGAAGTATGTCGTCTTCCGTCATCTGATGCAGTTTGTCGTACTGTCCTCTGATGTAGTAGTTTGTCGTTCTCAGTCATCTGATGAAGTATGTCGTCTTCCGTCATCTAATGCAGTTTGTCGTACTGTCCTCTGATGTAGTAGTTTGTCGTTCTCAGTCATCTGATGAAGTATGTCGTACTCCGTCATCTGATGTAGTAGTTTGTCGTACTGTCATCTGATGCAGTTTGTCGTACTGTCCTCTGATGTAGTAGTTTGTCGTTCTCAGTCATCTGATGAAGTATGTCGTCTTCCGTCATCTAATGCTGTTTGTCGTACTGTCCTCTGATGTAGTAGTTTGTCGTTCTCAGTCATCTGATGAAGTATGTCGTACTCCGTCATCTGATGTAGTAGTTTATCGTACTCCGTCATCTGATGTAGTAGTTTGTCGTACTCCGTCATCTGATGTAGTAGTTTGTCATACTCCGTCATCTGATGAAGTAGTTTGTCGTACTCCGTCATCTGATGTAGTAGTTTATCGTACTCCGTCATCTGATGAAGTAGTTTGTCGTACTCCGTCATCTGATGTAGTAGTTTGTCGTACTCCGTCATCTGATGAAGTAGTTTGTCGTACTCCGTCATCTGATGAAGTAGTTTGTCGTACTCCGTCATCTGATGTAGTAGTTTATCGTACTCCGTCATCTGATGAAGTAGTTTGTCGTTCTCCGTCATCTGATGAAGTTTGTCGTCTTCCGTCATCTGATGAAGTTTGTCGTACTCCGTCATCTGATGTAGTAGTTTGTCGTACTCCGTCATCTGATGAAGTAGTTTGTCGTACTCCGTCATCTGATGTAGTAGTTTGTCATACTCAGTCATCTGATGAAGTATGTCGTACTCAGTCATCTGATGAAGTATGTCGTACCGTCCTCTGATGTATTATTTTGTCGTACTCCGATACAAGATCATAAATTTAATAGGGGTGGGTTTTTTTTTTCGTAATTTACGCTAAGGTTAAAGATTGTTTTTTTAATGTCCTTGTTATAAAAAAAATACGTCGCTACCAATGGACACCAGCGAGTTGACGAGATTCCTTCCATAATGTTGTTGACATGGAATAAAAACGTGCTTTTTAGATTTAGACCGTATAAAAAAAATAAAAAATAAAAACTTAAGCCTAAAATTAATATAGAAATTTTATATTTTTAGAATAAATGCTATAATCAGACAAATTGAAAATAATTTGTTGAGCTTAACTTAAGGCTACATTTCTATTTATTTTCATCAAGCCTAAGTTATAACCGGATGTTTCACTTTCGTACGACAAATATTGATTGGCTGTACAGTAACTTAGTGATCGATAACTATTTGTTTACAAAACTTTGCAGATCAAGTTTTCAAATAACAATGCAAATTTAAAACCCATGACCTAGTTTTCTTTTTTTAGCTTACAATGTGTACAATAGAATTTATGGCGGCCTATCGAATAGCAGGATGCCATTGTTTATGTCGCCATTACACTTGAAAACCAAATTGTTTTTGCTTTTATTTTTATTTTTATTTAGTTACTGAAAATATTAAAAACATCAAATACATCCAATCTTTAGTAAAGTCCGAAAAAAAACCAGATAGGCCGGATTTTATAACCATATTAATTGTAACTACGCTGTGCATGATTTTTAAATTAATTTATGGACCTCTCAAATACCTTTGAGACTTTTCTCGCTGGCGTCCATTGAGACAGGTCATGAGTGGGCGGTAGTGGATAGTGTTTTATAACCTCATAACCTTTCACCTTTCAGCCTATTATTATACATTGCATAGCTTAGAAAAAATATTTTACAAAATATGAAATAAAAGAGTCTAATTTTTTCTATATGGCTGATATAGATACATAGATAAAGTGTGTGCTATTATTGACCTACCTTACACTACATACGTGGCCGATATTAGAAATATGAAAACAACATCTAATGATTTTAAACCAGAAGAATGTTAATGAACAATTAGCTGTAATTGTTGATTACCTTGCATTAGATAAACGTTAGTCCACTTCGGGCAAGAGCGTTCGTTTAGTGCATTAACTTTAGGAGATGTCAATAGGCTATGTGTCTCTTTGATTGGTCCCATCGATTTCTGATTTATAACGTCACCACATAACGTCACCACACATAACGTCACCACACATAACGTGACCATACATAACGTCACCACACATAACGTCACCACACATAACGTCACCACACATAAAGTCACCATACATAACGTCACCACACATAACGTCACCACAAATAATGTCACCCTACATAACGTCAATATATATATATATATATATATATATATATATATATATATATATATATATATATATATATATATGTGTGTGTGTGTGTGTGTGTATGTGTGTGTGTGTGTGCACAAGACGTGTAACATGTGTGTTGCTCTAACACGTTTGTACTCGACTTGATGCCAATGTTGTCATGGTCTTAAAATACTTTTCAATCGAACCATTGCTCAGCACACACCAACAACTATTGGAGATTATCCTGGTGTTCGTGGGAAGATGCAACTATTTTTTTTAAGATAGAGAGAGCAGAGTTTCTTCCATGCATCTCTTCGGGGGGGCGAAGCCCCCCCCCCCCCCCCCAAAAAAATTTTACCACCCCCCCCCCCCCCGAACGAAATGAAATTTATATAATTTATATAGAAAATATATACTTTTAACAGTGTCAGCCCCCCCGAAGAAAGTTTACCGCCCCCCCCCCCCGAAGATTTCAAGTGCCCCCCGGAGAAAAAAGTCTGGAAGAAACACTGAGAGAGAGGCAGTGAAAAGAGTAGCTGTCGTCTGTTTGTAGCGTGGTCAGACCATGTAGTTGGTGTCACTAGTGACTTGAGATGTTTGAAAACTCGGCAGTGTTTGGAAGTGGGTTCGGGGGGGGGGGGGGGTAGGTCTGTCCAGAAAAACAAAGACAGGTGTCACAAGAATCTAATTAACTGGATCTAATTATGCTGTTAAGGCCACACTAATTATGTAATTAAAACTTGATTAATTATCCAACGAAACCCCATATAACAGTATGTTGAGTGCTCCAGCTTAAAGAATTGAGCCATTCATGGGAGGAGCCGTACAGCTAGTTGATTAATTCAACCATCAACATCACGAGTTGTGAGATGCGATCACGTGTCATTAACGAGCCAATCAATCCATTCTTTTAACTTTGATGGACAGAAATCAACAAAGAGGTGATCATGCTTGCTAAATCGTGTCAATGCTGCACGGTATCTGAGTAGGGTTTGAGTAGTTGGCTAAGATTGCTGATCCCCAAATTTATGTTCTTGTACTTTTGTTGATACGATCAAACAGCTGGTGACGTCATTCAAGCCAACCCTCAAATGTTGTAATATTATAGTTTAAGCAACCCGCTGCTATAGATCTCCCGGAGTAACGGAGGTTGTGATAGGCGCAGTAGCCTTATAGACACACCCACTGGTCCCCGCCCCTCAATTCTTAGGTAGACACACCCACTAGTCCCCGCCCCTCAATTCTCATGTAGACACACCCACTAGTCCCCGCCCCTCAATTCTTATGTAGACACACCCGCTAGTCCCCGCCCCTCAATTCTCATGTAGACACACCCACTAGTCCCCGCCCCTCAATTCTCACGTAGACACACACACTAGTCCCCGTCCCTCAATTCTCATGTAGACACTCCCACTAGGTCCCGCCCCTCAATTCTCATGTAGAAACACCCACTAGTCCCCGCCCCTCAATTCTCATGTAGACACTCCCACTAGGTCATGCCCCTCAATTCTCATGTACACACACCCACTAGTCCCCGCCCCTCAATTATCATGTAGACACACCCACTGGTCCCCACCCCACCAACCGTCCACCAACCGTCCACCAAACGTCCACCAACCATCCACCAACCGCCCACCAATTATCCACCAACCGCCCACCAACCGTCCATGTATACCAACAGTGTGAGAAGCATCTAATCAACACCCCTTGACTTTCATTACTTATCACAAACTTGCCACCTTGATAGTACGTCAAGTTAATTGTGTGTGTGTGGGGGGGGGGGCGTACGGAAGGGTGGGGGAGGTGTTTGACAGGGGAAGGGTGTGTAGCAGAGGGAGGGGATGGGGTGTTTAACAGGGGTGTTTGATAGGGGAGGGGATGGGGATGGGGGGGTGTGACACTTTGTGTGAGACAAGACAGAAACACGTCAGACACAAGACATTATTTAACCAACCTGAGCTCGCCACACACTGACCACGTGACAACCATACGGAACCAAAAGTAATGCTCATACACATGTACCAACACAGATTCCCCATACACATGTACCAACACAGATTCCCCATACAAATGTACCAACACAGATTCCCCATACACATGTACCAACACAGATTCCCCATAAACCTGTACCAACAGAGATTCCCCATACACATGTACCAACACAGATTCCCCATACACATGTACCAACACAGATTCCCCATAAACCTGTACCAACACAGATTCCCCATACACATGTACCAACACAGATTCCCCATACACATGTACCAACACAGATTCCCCATACACATGTACCAACACAGATTCCCCATACACATGTACCAACACAGATTCCCCATAAACCTGTACCAACACAGATTCCCCATACACATGTACCAACACAGATTCCCCATACACATGTACCAACACAGATTCCCCATACACATGTACGTATTTTATACCTAGTCGTGTAATGTCATCGACCTAGATCTTCACAATTTACTAAAGCTAATTGTAAAAGCTAATAGCAACCAATCAATTATTTTGACGATCCAGTAGATATTTTTTGTTCGGTTGAAGGCTGTCAACGAATTATGTACATCAAGAAGTTTAATATAGTTGGTGAGTTGGGACAGGATTGTATAAAATTCTTTAAGTCCTTGTTGTATAATATTCCGTAAGCCCTTGTTGTATAACATTCTTTAAGCGCTTATTTTTATGTTGTGTAGCATCGTTGTTTGTTCCCTCTATCTTTTAATAGCTGACGCGTTCATTTACATTTTAAAACCCGAGATTTTTTATAACGTACGTTCGCACGTCTATTGTGTCTTTAACTTTGTAGACGTTAGCCTATGTATGTTTGGGGCTATGTGACGTCAGCCTATGTATGTTTGGGGCTATGGGACGTCAGCCTATGTATGTTTGGGGCTATGGGACGTCAGCCTATGTATGTTTGGGCACATGGGACGTCAGCCTATGTATGTTTGGGGCTATGTGACGTCAGCCTATGTATGTTTGGGGCTATGTGACGTCAGCCTATGTATGTTTGGGGCTATGGGACGTCAGCCTATGTATGTTTGGGGCTATGGGACGTCAGCCTATGTATGTTTGGGGCTATGGGACGTCAGCCTATGTATGTTTGGGACTATGTGACGTCAGCCTATGTATGTTTGGGACTATGGAACTTTAGCCTATGTATGTTTGGGGCTATGGGACTTTAGCCTATGTATGTTTGGGGCTATGGGACGTCAGCCTATGTATGTTTGGGGCTATGTGACGTCAGCCTATGTATGTTTGGGGCTATGGGACGTCAGCCTATGTATGTTTGGGGCTATGGGACGTCAGCCTATGTATGTTTGGGGCTATGTGACGTCAGCCTATGTATGTTTGGGGCTATGTGACGTCAGCCTATGTATGTTTGGGGCTATGTGACGTCAGCCTATGTATGTTTGGGGCTATGTGACGTCAGCCTATGTATGTTTGGGGCTATGTGACGTCAGCCTATGTATGTTTGGGGCTATGTGACGTCAGCCTATGTATGTTTGGGGCTATGTGACGTCAGCTTATGTATGTTTGGGGCTATGTGACGTCAGCTTATGTATGTTTGGGGCTATGTGACGTCAGCCTATGTATGTTTGGGGCTATGGAACTTTAGCCTATGTATGTTTGGGGCTATGGGACTTTAGCCTATGTATGTTTGGGGCTATGTGACGTCAGCCTATGTATGTTTGGGCACATGGGACGTCACCCTATGTATGTTTGGGGCTATGGGACTTTAGCCTATGTATGTTTGGGACTATGTGACGTCAGCCTATGTATGTTTGGGGCTATGGCACTTTAGCCTATGTATGTTTGGGGCTATGTGACGTCAGCCTATGTATGTTTGGGACTATGGGACTTTAGCCTATGTATGTTTGGGGCTATGGGACGTCAGCCTATGTATGTTTGGGACTATGTGACGTCAGCCTATGTATGTTTGGGGCTATGTGACGTCAGCCTATGTATGTTTGGGGCTATGGGACGTCAGCTTATGTATGTTTGGGACTATGTGACGACAGCCTATGTATGTTTGGGACTATGGAACTTAAGCCTTTGTATGTTTGGGGCTATGGGACGTCAGCCTATGTATGTTTGGGCACATGGGACGTCAGCTTATGTATGTTTGGGGCTATGTGACGTCAGCCTATGTATGTTTGGGGCTATGTGACGTCAGCCTATGTATGTTTGGGGCTATGGGACGTCAGCCTATGTATGTTTGGGGCTATGTGACGTCAGCCTATGTATGTTTGGGGCTATGTGACGTCAGCCTATGTATGTTTGGGGCTATGGGACTTTAGCCTATGTATGTTTGGGACTATGGGACGTCAGCCTATGTATGTTTGGGGCTATGTGACGTCAGCCTATGTATGTTTGGGACTATGTGACGTCAGCCTATGTATGTTTGGGACTATGGGACGTCAGCCTATGTATGTTTGGAGCTATGGGACGTCAGCTTATGAATGATTGGGACTATGTGACGTCAGCCTATGTATGTTTGGGACTATGGGACTTTAACCTATGTATGTTTGGGGCTATGGGACTTTAGCCTATGTATGTTTGGGGCTATGTGACGTCAGCCTATGTATGTTTGGGCACATGGGACGACACCCTATGTATGTTTGGGGCTATGGGACTTTAGCCTATGTATGTTTGGGGCTATGGGACGTCAGCCTATGTATGTTTGGGACTATGTGACGTCAGCCTATGTATGTTTGGGGCTATGTGACGTCAGCCTATGTATGTTTGGGGCTATGGGACGTCAGCCTATGTATGTTTGGGACTATGTGACGTCAGCCTATGTATGTTTGGAGCTATGGGACGTCAGCTTATGTATGATTGGGACTATGTGACGTCAGCCTATGTATGTTTGGGACTATGGGACTTTAGCCTATGTATGTTTGGGGCTATGGGACTTTAGCCTATGTATGTTTGGGGCTATGTGACGTCAGCCTATGTATGTTTGGGCACATGGGACGTCACCCTATGTATGTTTGGGGCTATGGGACTTTAGCCTATGTATGTTTGGGGCTATGGGACGTCAGCCTATGTATGTTTGGGACTATGTGACGTCAGCTTATGTATGTTTGGGACTATGTGACGTCAGCCTATGTATGTTTGGGGCTATGGGACGTCAGCTTATGTATGTTTGGGACTATGTGAAGTCAGCCTATGTATGTTTGGGGCTATGTGACGTCAGCCTATGTATGTTTGGGGCTATGGGACGTCAGCCTATGTATGTTTGGGACTATGGGACTTTAGCCTATGTATGTTTGGGGCTATGTGACGTCAGCCTATGTATGTTTGGGACTATGTGACGTCAGCCTATGTAGGTTTGGGGCTATGGGACGTCAGCCTATGTATGTTTGGGGCTATGTGACGTCAGCCTATGTATGTTTGGGACATGTGACGTCAGCTTATGTATGTTTGGGGCTATAAGACTTTAGCCTATGTATGTTTGGGGCTATGGGACGTCAGCCTAGGCATCAATTATACACATTTATCCTTCAACATTTCAAACATATTTCAGGAACAAATATTTTAATGTAAATACTGTTATATTTTTCAAACTAAAATATTTCAGAAACAAATGTTCTAATGTAAATACTGTTATATTTTTCAAACTAAAAAATATTTCAGGAACAAATATTTTAATGTAAATACTGGTATATTTTTCAAACTAAAATATTTCAGAAACAAATATTCTAATGTAAATACTGTTATATTTTTCAAACTAAAATATTTCAGGAACAAATATTTTAATGTAAATACTGTTATATTTTTCAAACTAAAATATTTCAGGAACAAATATTTTAATGTAAATACTGTTATATTTTTCAAACTAAAATATTTCAGGAACAAATATTTTAATGTAAATACTGTTATATTTTTCAAACTAAAATATTTCAGGAACAAATATTTTAATGTAAATACTGTTATATTTTTCAAACTAAAATATTTCAGGAACAAATATTTTAATGTAAATACTGTTATATTTTTCAAACTAAAATATTTCAGGAACAAATATTTTAATGTAAATACTGTTATATTTTTCAAACTAAAATATTTCAGGAACAAATATTTTGATGTAAATACTGTTATATTTTTCAAACTAAAATATTTCAGGAACAAATATTTTAATGTAAATACTGTTATATTTTTCAAACTAAAATATTTCAGGAACAAATATTTTAATGTAAATACTGTTATATTTTTCAAACTAAAATATTTCAGGAACAAATATTTTAATGTAAATACTGTTATATTTTTCAAACTAAAATATTTCAGGAACAAATATTTTAATGTAAATATTGTTATATTTTTCAAACTAAAATATTTCAGGAACAAATATTTTAATGTAAATACTGTTATATTTTTCAAACTAAAATATTTCAGGAACAAATATTTTAATGTAAATATTGTTATATTTTTCAAACTAAAATATTTCAGGAACAAATATTTTAATGTAAATACTGTTATATTTTTCAAACTAAAATATTTCAGGAACAAATATTTTAATGTAAATACTGTTATATTTTTCAAACTAAAATATTTCAGGAACAAATATTTTAATGTAAATACTGTTATATTTTTCAAACTAAAATATTTCAGGAACAAATATTTTAATGTAAATATTGTTATATTTTTCAAACTAAAATATTTCAGGAACAAATATTTTAATGTAAATACTGTTATATTTTTCAAACTAAAATATTTCAGGAACAAATATTTTAATGTAAATACTGTTATATTTTTCAAACTAAAATATTTCAGGAACAAATATTTTAATGTAAATACTGTTATATTTTTCAAACTAAAATATTTCAGGAACAAATATTTTAATGTAAATACTGTTATATTTTTCAAACTAAAATATTTCAGGAACAAATATTTTAATGTAAATATTGTTATATTTTTACTCTCGCAGCCACCAAAATTAACACCTACAAAATATTAATTAACCACAATTTTAATGAAGACACAAAACAGATTCTGACCATTCATTTATTGGTTTATTTACATTCATCCAATGGTCTAAGAAATTTTGACGATTTCACCAGTCATGCCCAGGGGCTGCTCTCGTCAGCCAGCGTGGGCAGAAGTGTAGCAGACGTCACTTCAAGGACACACTAAGTCCAGCAGACTGGTCAGCTCGGGGGGCGGGGTAGACCCGGCGCAGTTACCAACGATGGACGTGACGTCAGCGCATACTACAGCATCGTTGCAAACATAATCGACAACTCTGTAAACGAGAGTTAAGTGCCCTTGTCACAATCAATTCGGCTCTAACCATCAAGGGAAATAACTGATGAAATATTATTTTAAAATTGAGACGTGTGGAGTTACCTCCCAGCTGAGCTGTACATTTTTATGAGCCCAAGTTAGACAGCTTCAGCAAATGGTCAGTTCTAGACAGGCCTGGTCAACTTTTGGTCTAGAAATATTCGGACAGGCCTGGTCAACTTTTGGTGTAGAAATATTCGGACAGGCCTTGCCAACTTTCGGTCTAGAAATATTCGAACAGGCCTGATCAACTTTTGGTCTAGAAATATTCGGACAGGCCTAATCAACTTTTGGTCTAGAAATATTCGGACAGGCCTAACCAACTTTTGGTCTAGAAATATTCGGACAGGCCTGATCAACTTTTGGTCTAGAAATATTCGGACAGGCCTGGTCAACTTTTGGTCTAGAAATATTCGGACAGGCCTGGTCAACTTTTGGTCTAGAAATATTCGGACAGGCCTGATCACCTTTTGGTCTAGAAATATTTTAGTGCGGGTTTGTGCCTGAATGGGACCTGTACTTAATGTTGTCTCAACCTCAGTTAACTGAAGGTTAGGGTTAGAGTTTCACCAGACTTGCTTCAGTTAGTTCAAATTAGCTTCATGTTTAGTTACTATTAGAGCTAGCTAAATTAGCTTCATGTTTAGTTAGGATTAAAGCTAGCTAAATTAGCTTCATGTTTAGTTAGGATTAAAGCTAGCTAAATTTGCTTCATGTTTAGTTAGAATTAAAGCTAGCTAAATTTGCTTCATGTTTAGTTAAGATTAAAGCTAGCTAAATTTGTTTCATGTTTAGTTAAGATTAAAGCTAGCTAAATTAGCTTCATGTTTAGTTAGGATTAAAGCTAGTCAACTTGGCTTATAGTGCATGTATCTTCAGCCTACTATTGATTTAGCTCAGAGTTAAATTCTTAATTTGAGTTAGCTCCGAGTTAAAGTGAGCTTACAGCTGGAAGAGCTTAAGGATGTAGCTGCAGGTGGTGGAGCCAGCAGAGATGCAGCGGATGAGGGGCGGGTACTTGCTGAACAACCAGGAGGCCTTGCTGTAGACGGTAGCCAGTTGGGTGGGGCTGCAGGACCCCAGGGAGTGGGGCACGGCCAGGCACTTGATGCTGGCGTCTGGCCTGGAGGTCAGAGGTCAAGTCAGTGGCATTTCATGTAGAATAATGTAGAGAGATCAGTGGCATTTCATGTAGAATAATGTAGAGAGATCAGTGGCATTTCATGTAGAATAATGTAGAGAGATCAGTGGCATTTCATGTAGAATAATGTAGAGAGATCAGTGGCATTTCATGTAGAATAATGTAGAGAGATCAGTGGCATTTCATGTAGAATAATGTAGAGAGATCAGTGGCATTTCATGTAGAATAATGTAGAGAGATCAGTGGCATTTCATGTAGAATAATGTAGATAGTAACTTCTGGCAAAACTAACGAATAATATAGAGAGTAACTTCTGGCTAAACTAACGAATAATGTAGAGAGTAACTTCTGGCTAAACTAAAGAATAAAGCTATAACAAATACACTAAACAAACATTTCATCCTAATATATAAAACGCCATGTGCGCTCTTCTCTCTCTCTCTCTCTGTCTGTCCGCAAAATATTTTCGCCGGACATCACGTCAGAAACGGCAGCGATATATGGAGAACTTTATACGGTCTTTTGTTGAAAATAATATGTTAGATGTTTTAAATGTATAACCACAATTTTATTTAAAGAAGAAAAATAAAAAATAAAGGCGTATTCGAATGTAGAGAAACAGTATTATTTATGCAACCGGAAAAGGATATATGGTTGTGAATAACAACGCATAAAACTGTGACGTCACTAATGTTTATGACGTCATCTGCCGTGTTTAGAATAAAAAAAAACACCACCAATCAAACAGCCACAACAAATAAAGCAATCACACTTAATTTAATTAACACGACTAGACAAAGAACAGAAGACGAAAACAGACTAGTAGCAATGGCTATTTATAGATCGACTATATGGCAAATTAGGAATAAAGTCAGATATTTTTTCACAAAATACACGGACATCGAGTTAAAAGAAATATTTCAAGCAAAGCTAAGACATAGACTGGGAACTCTCACTTAACTGAGAAAAAAAAAAGAAATATACAGGAAATAAATAAATAAAGTATTAATTTTAATTTAGACAGTCTCAAGCCAAACATCACTCGATCAGCCCCCAAGTAAATTAACATTAGAACAGTCTTCTGTTTCCCGGGTTTTAAAATGCACAACCTGTATGGTAGAGATACCCACTTCAACCCCCCCCCCCTTAACACACACACTTGGTGCTAAAAAAATGGGATAAATTGATGAAATGGTGGATGAATCATGAACTAAGGTGGACCTATTGGACTGGTACATCTAGAACTAAGGTGGACCTATTGGACTGGTACATCTAGAACTAAGGTGGACCTAATAGACAGTTACATCTAGAACTAAGGTGGACCTATTAGACAGTTACATCTAGAACTAAGGTGGACCTATTAGACAGTTACATGTAGAACTAAGGTGGACCTTAGGTACATCTAGAACTAAGGTGGACCTATTGGACTGGTACATCTAGAACTAAGGTGGACCTTAGGTACATCTAGAAGACCTACTGGTTCTGGGTGACGTTACGTGTGAATGCACGATGCAACATGGCGTCGGCTCGACTCAGCCCTGGGTAGCTGGCCTGCACCCCTGAAATCAGCTGACCACCGCCCGAGGGTGGGGCTAGGGCCATCACCTGGTCGTTTGATCGCCACTGTGGTTCTGTCAAATACAGGATTAGCCACACACTGACCACACACTGACCACACACTGACCACACACTGACCACACACTGACCACACATTGATCACACACTGACCACACACTGACCACACACTGACCACGCACTGACCACACACTGACCACACACTGACCACACACTGACCACACACTGACCACACACTGACCACACACTGACCACACACTGACCACACACTGACCACACACTGACCACACACTGACCTGTACAGCCACGATGACCACACACTGACCACACACTTATCACACACTGACCACACACTGACCACACACTGACCACACACTGACCACACACTGACCACACACTGATCACACACTGACCACACACTGACCACACACTGACCACACACTGACCACACACTGACCACACACTGACCACACACTGACCACACAATTACCTATACAGCACACTGACCTGTACAGCCACACTGACCTGTACAGCCATACTGACTTGTCTATCCACACTGACCACACACTGACCACACACTGACCTGTACAGCCACACTGACCACACACTGACCTGGACATCCACACTGACCACACATCTTCCTGTACAGCCACACTGACCACACAATGACCTGTACAGCCACACTGACCACAAACTGACCTGTACAGCCACACTGACCACACACTGACCTGTACAGCCACACTGACCTGTACAGCCACACTGACCACACACTGACCTGTACAGCCACACTGACCTGTACAACCACACTGACCTGTACAGCCACACTGACCTGTACAGCCACACTGACCTGTACAGCCACACTGACCTGTACAGCCACATTGACCACACACTTACCTGTACAGCCACACTGACCTGTACAGCCACACTGACCTGTACAGCCACACTGACCTGTACAGCCACACTGACCTGTACAGCCACACTGACCTGTACAGCCACACTGACCACACACTGACCTGTACAACCACACTGACCTGTACAACCACACTGACCTGTACAGCCACACTGACCTGTACAGCCACACTGACCTGTACAGCCACACTGACCTGTACAACCACACTGACCTGTACAGCCACACTGACCTGTACAACCACACTGACCTGTACAGCCACACTGACCTGTACAGCCACACTGACCTGTACAGCCACACTGACCTGTACAGCCACACTGACCTGTACAGCCACACTGACCTGTACAACCACACTGACCTGTACAGCCACACTGACCTGTACAGCCACACTGACCTGTACAGCCACACTGACCACACACTGACCTGTACAACCACACAGACCTGTACAGCCACACTGACCTGTACAGCCACACTGACCTGTACAACCACACTGACCTGTACAACCACACTGACCTGTACAGCCACACAGACCTGTACAGCCACACTGACCTGTACAGCCACACTGACCTGTACAGCCACACTGACCTGTACAACCACACTGACCTGTACAGCCACACAGACCTGTACAGCCACACTGACCTGTACAACCACACTGACCTGTACAGCCACACTGACCTGTACAGCCACACTTACCTGTACAGCCACACAGACCTGTACAGCCACACTGACCTGTACAGTCACACTGACCTGTACAGCCACACTTACCTGTACAGCCACACTGACCACACACTTACCTGTACAGCCACACTGACCTGTACAGCCACACTGACCTGTACAACCACACTGACCTGTACAACCACACTGACCTTTACAACCACACAGACCTGTACAACCACACAGACCTGTACAGCCACACTGACCTGTACAACCACACTGACCTGTACAGCCACACTGACCTGTACAACCACACTGACCTGTACAGCCACACTGACCTGTACAGCCACACTGACCTGTACAGCCACACTGACCTGTACAACCACACTGACCTGTACAGCCACACTGACCTGTACAGCCACACTGACCACACTGACCTGTACAGCCACACTGACCTGTACAGCCACACTGACCACACACTGACCTGTTCAGCCACACTGACCTGTACAGCCACACTGACCTGTACAGCCACACTGACCACACACTGACCTGTACAGCCACACTGACCTGTACAGCCACACTGACCTGTATAGCCACACTGACCTGTACTGCCACACTCACCTGTACAGCCACACTGACCTGTACAGCCGCACATACCTGTACAGCCACACTGACCACACACTGACCTGTACAGCCACACTGACCACACACTGACCACACACTGGCCTGTACAGCCACACTGACCTGTACAGCCACACTGACCTGTACAGCCACACTAATGCTGTTCCATATGACCTACCAAAGCCACAGTCGACAACCAGAGAAACACCAGGGACCAAGGGGGAGTTGATCCTGAGGTTCTTGTTGTAGGGTACAAAGGTCAACTTGGTGCCACAGGCGTCAACCTACGGGGATAGGGTACAAAGGTCAACTTGGTGCCACAGGCGTCAACCTACGGGGATAGGGTACAAAGGTCAACTTGGTACCACAGGCATCAACCTATGGAGATAGGGTACAAAGGTCAACACCCACCACACCATTTCACCCTCCAACACCACACCATCTCACCCTCCAACACCACACCCTCCAACACCACAGCATCTCCTCACCTTGACCACGAGTCCTTGAGCATCCGTGTAGCGCATGATTTTCACGTTGTTTGGGGCCGTGAGTACCACAGGCCCGGGGTTTTCTGGCAGGGGGTAGGGACCGTCAGGGCTGTAGCTGTTGGCGTCATTGGTTTGTATCTGTGGACATTAGCAATTTATTTTTACCTAGACTCATCTAGTCAACTACCGTAGTGCTAGCCTCAACTAGTCAATTACATACATTGTGTAACACTCCCCATGATTACATACATTGTGCAACACCCCCCATGATTACATACATTGTGTAACACCCCCCATGATTACATACATTGGGTGACACCCCTATGATTACATACATTGTGTAACACCCCCATGGTTAATACATTGGGTACAACCCCCATGTTTACATACATTGGGCGACACCCCCCATGTGATGAAAGAGAATCCCTTGTCCAGACCGTAGTTGTAGTGGATCTTGATGGCCGCCTCAAATCCCTTGACGTAGAACTTGCCGAGGTCTCGGTCGTTGAATAGGTGGATCTGTGAGAAAACATGGGAGTCATAGAACATTTATCTGCATTCATTTACTGTCACAAGTGACAACGTTCCCATCCAACTCCGAAACATGCATGTACCAACTTTGAAACCTCCCTAGGTGAAAACAAAAACCGTCGCACTCTAGTGTAAACTCTACACCAACCAACTCCAAACCTTCCCTGAGTACCCGAATAAAAATAACTCACCCAGCCCCTTAATCAATCATAATTATTGATTTGTACTTTAGAGTGATTTGATTGAATGATATGTATGCTAACGTCATATCATATTTAGTTTTTACGTCATTATTTTGGTGAAATTTAAATGTAGACATTTTAAACGGTGTGTCATTTGACACGACGTACTATAACGTTGTTGTTTTTTAAAACTTGAAGTTTATAATCTAAAGTAAATTTTTACTAAGGTGATCAAAAATTAAGATGACAATGCAAGATATAGAAAAACAAAATACATTGAGTGGTAAAAATAAAAATTTTAATTAGACGTATTGTATTATGTATAAGTAAACCTTCTTAAATTAAAGAAGTTCAAGTCAAAAAAATTCATAAAAAACGTTTTAATAACAAGCTTTTATGTAATGATGCACTAAAAAGTAGAAAATAAATTATAGACTACTATTTAAATAACTATAAAGAAAAGCGTGGGTCACTTTAGTATCTATTGGATACCTTTACTAATGTTAAGGAAGACACCCACGCTTTTCTTTATAGTTATTTAAATAGTAGTCTATAATTTATTTTCTACTTTTTAGTGCATCATTACATAAAAGCTTGTTATTAAAACGTTTTTTATGAATTTTTTTTCAGTACTTTACATGTTTTATCTACAATAGAGTTACATGACTAAAAACCATTGCGCGCCTACTGAATATCACGTTCAGTAGGCGCGCAATGGTTTTTGAACGCAGCCATTACGTGGTCGTGATGGCGCAGCTATTGATGACGCGTGTGGTGTGGTTGGCTAGACATGCCTACTAATTCGGTCCAAATTTTAATTAATTCATAAAAAATCAATTAGGCATCCAATTAAGTCAAATTTAGTTTCAGATTGCATTGTCTTCATGTCTTGCCCCACGTGCCAACTGTGAATCGTATCGGTCAAGTAGAACTGTCCGAATTTTCACTCCTGCGTTTCCGTCTAGACTGACGACTGACGAGGAAGTGAGTTAAATAAAAGCTTGTAAAAAAATTCGTAAAAAACGTTTTAATAACAAGCTTTTATGTGGGTCACTTTAGTACTTTACTACCTATTGGATACCTTTACTAATATTTGAGAAGAGACCCACGCTTCTCTTTATAGTAATTTAAATAGTAGTGTATAATTTATTTTCTACTTTTTAGTGCATAAAAAAAACGTTTTAATAACAAGCTTTTATGTAATGATGCACTAAAAAGTAGAAAATAAATTATAGACTACTATTTAAATAACTATAAAGAAAAGCGTGGGTCACTTTAGTATCTATTGGATACCTTTACTAATGTTAAGGAAGACACCCACGCTTTTCTTTATAGTTATTTAAATAGTAGTCTATAATTTATTTTCTACTTTTTAGTGCATCATTACATAAAAGCTTGTTATTAAAACGTTTTTTATGAATTTTTTTTCAGTACTTTACATGTTTTATCTACAATAGAGTTACATGACTAAAAACCATTGCGCGCCTACTGAATATCACGTTCAGTAGGCGCGCAATGGTTTTTGAACGCAGCCATTACGTGGTCGTGATGGCGCAGCTATTGATGACGCGTGTGGTGTGGTTGGCTAGACATGCCTACTAATTCGGTCCAAATTTTAATTAATTCATAAAAAATCAATTAGGCATCCAATTAAGTCAAATTTAGTTTCAGATTGCATTGTCTTCATGTCTTGCCCCACGTGCCAACTGTGAATCGTATCGGTCAAGTAGAACTGTCCGAATTTTCACTCCTGCGTTTCCGTCTAGACTGACGACTGACGAGGAAGTGAGTTAAATAAAAGCTTGTAAAAAAATTCGTAAAAAACGTTTTAATAACAAGCTTTTATGTGGGTCACTTTAGTACTTTACTACCTATTGGATACCTTTACTAATATTTGAGAAGAGACCCACGCTTCTCTTTATAGTAATTTAAATAGTAGTGTATAATTTATTTTCTACTTTTTAGTGCATAAGTACATAAAAGCTTGTTATTAAAACGTTTTTTATGAATTTTTTTTCAGTACTTTACATGTTTTATTCACAATAGAGTTACATGACTAAAAACCATTGCGCCTATTGAACGTGATGGCGCGCCTACTAAACTTGATGGCGCAGCTATGGAACGTGATGACGCGTGTGGTGCGGTCGGCATAGACATGCCTATTGATTCGGTCCAAATTTTAATTAATTAATAAAAAATTAATTAGGCATCCAATTAAGTCAAATTTAGATTCAGATTGCATTGTCTTCATGTCTTGACCCACGTGCCAACTGTGAATCGTATCGGTCAAGTAGAACTGTCCGAATTTTCACTCCTGCGTTTCCGTCTAGACTGACGACTGACGACTTACGACAGACAGAGGAAGTGAGTTAAATAAAAGCTTGTAAAAAGAAGTTTGATGAAAACTGTAATACTAAAGCGAACATGGGAAGGTAATCTGCTGCAAGACTAAGATATATATTCGTCTTCCTTCTAGTTTCATTGTCTTTTTTGGTTGAGGTTAAACATCGCCATGTTTTCAAATATCGCGATGCAAACCACGTTCTTTCCCTTCTTACTTAGTAATCGCCTCGTCTACCCTTTGTTTACAACACGCTTACAAAGAAAAAATATCCCACCCCTCTACTTGAGACATAAAATACAAAAGTGTATTGTGCCTTGTCGTCACAGAAAACAAAAAGGGAGGCGTCTTAATGTTGTTAAGCATTGTCTTCCTAAATTATTTTTTAACTTGTTAAAGAAATTGAATGTTTAGTTAAGGATTCTGACGAGAGTTTTTTTGTCACAAGGGACGTTACTCGTGACTGTAAACAAGGTTGTTCTAATTTTAGAACAGTTGTCTCTCCTCTCGTTTCTCTATTAGGGAAGACACGTTGGGACGACACGCGACACGTCTTTTTAAATGTAAACAAGAGCGCACGGGGTGCAGTTAAAATAAACCTAGCTGCGAAAATGACAACGGAATGGTGACACTTTTTGGAAAACACTATTTCATGTAAATAAAATAAGGGTCGCTTTCGTTGTCACCATGATAATGTATACCTATGAGTTCTCTCCGCCTTTACCGACCTAGTGTGAATTTCGTGTGTGTGTGTGTGTGTATGTGTGTGTGTGTGTGTGTGCGTGTGTGAATGTGTATACGTGTAACTCAAAAAGGTGTAGATTGCTCGTACCAGAAAACCTTAAAACAAGGTAATGAAAAAACCCTAGAGCCTGTCTCGGGCTAACCGGGCATGGTAAAGCCATTCGTTTACCCGACAAAGAGAATCTACGATCATAAAAACTTAATTACTTTTCCAGACTTGTAAAAACACGTCTACCCGCATACATCTCGTACCAACGCACCGGGTGACCCTTTACCTGCGGCCACCACAACCACCACCACCACTCCCCCTCTACTCCTCAGAAAAGCCATAAATCTCCGGGCGGTCCCTGTCTACCAGGGACCCAGGGAAAACTTCGCTGGCGGATTGATGCGTGCCAGGTATCGTTAATGGTTGTTGGAAGTCGAGACAAACAAAGAACTTTCTATTTTTGTACACGTTCGTTGTGGTGGGGAATTTAAAAATTAAAAATTAAAAAACATACAAACAAATAAAATGAATTAAACAATCAAATAAACAACAAACAAACAACAAATAAACAAATATAAAAATTAAAATCAAATTAATTAAAATCAACCTAATTAAAAATCAAATTTTAATTAAAAAATAATAATTAAACTATTTGAAAAATAAACAAACAAAATATAAACAAAGTAATTAAATTAAAATTAAAAATTAAAATAAAATTAATTAAAATCAAACAAATAATCAAATTACGTAATATCTTAATAAAAATTACAAAATTAAAAATTAAGACAAAATAATTAAAAACAAACTCATTAAAAAACTCATTAAAAACTCATTAAAAAAACAAGTTACGTAACTAGGTCACCTGTGGTGATTACGTAACTAGGTCACCTGCGGTGATTACGTCACAAGGTCACCCCCCCCCCCTCACCTGACCTACTGACCTACTTCCCCTCCGCCTCCCCCACCTGCTCCCCCACAAACAGGTGGGGGAGTATTTTACTGTATCTCATTGTTCCTGCGGCTCCCTCACCCTCCCCATCCTGCTCCCCCATGTGGGGGGAGTATTTTACTACATAACATGTCTATCCCTCCACCTCCGCCTCCCCCACCTTCACCCAGGTGGGGGAGTATTTTACTATATGTCGTTGTACCAGGCACCACCTCCGCATCCCCCACCTTATCCAGGTGGAGGAGTATTTTACTATATAACCTTTGCTCCTGCCCCTGCTCCTGCTCCGCATCCGCATCCTGCTCCACCTCCCCCCCCCCCATACTACCCAAAAGTGACCTTATATACTACTGTCATAGAACATTTGTCACACGGGAGTCATAGAACAAATGTCATTTGTCACATTTATGTCACAACATGTGTTACTTCTGAGTCATAGAACATTTTTCATAGTCAAACACACACACACACACATTCACACACACACACACACACATTCACACACACACACATTCACACACACACACACACACCCCACCTGAAACTCGCAGTAGCCAATGACTGTCTGGCCATTCTTTAGATCCTGTCTGAAGTGGGTCAGCAGGTAGCGACAAGGGTAGGGGAAGTTGACCGTCTCGCCATTGAAGGTCGTCAAGGTCGGGTCGTTCCTCACCTCGGCACTCACAGTGTCTGTAGAGGTCAAGGACATTGCTAGTCGTTACATGTGTGTACATTCAAACTTTAAATATTACCTTAAGTTACCTTTAAGCAGGCTCTAGTCTATAGGATTCTAACATACACAATAAGGGGACATAAATATACCTTGTACTAACACAAGAAGGGGACATAACTTTACCTTGTACTAACACAAGAAAGGGACATAACTACACTTTGTACACAAGAAGGGACGTAACAATACGTTATACAAGCACAAGAAGGGACGTAACTATAAAATCCTTACTAGGTCTGTAGCAACCAAAGCGTCCATCCCCACGGTCGTAGGGCGGGTTGGGGCAGGTGCAGGTGTTGTTGACACACTGAGCCACGGGAACACAGGCATACCCGCCACAAGGTCCAGCTGTGGAGGTGACGTCATGGGGGTCAAAGGTCAACTGGGAATTACCTCATACTGGTACACACGTCCTACTTGTACACACTTGTCATACTTGTACACACGTCATACTTGTACACACGTTATACTGCTGGTAGCCACTCTATGAGAGAACACACTTCCCCCGTGTGAGCGAGGTCAACCGAACACACGTGTGAACTTACTGAGGTCAACCAAACACACGTGTGAACTTACTGAGGTCAACCAAACACACGTGTGAACTTAATGAAGTCAACCAAACACACGTGTGAACTTACTGAGGTCAACCAAACACACGTGTGAACTTACTGAGGTCAACCAAACACACGTGTGAACTTACTGAGGTCAACCAAACACACGTGTGAACTTACTGAGGTCAACCAAACACACGTGTGAACTTACTGAGGTCAACCAAACACACGTGTGAACTTACTGAGGTCAACCAAACACACGTGTGAACTTACTGAGGTCAACCAAACACACGTGTGAACTTACTGAGGTCAACCGAACACACGTGTGAACTTACTGAGGTCAACCAAACACACGTGTGAACTTACTGAGGTCAACCGAACACACGTGTGAACTTACTGAGGTCAACCAAACACACGTGTGAACTTACTGAGGTCAACCAAACACACGTGTGAACTTACTGAGGTCAACCAAACACACGTGTGAACTTACTGAGGTCAACCGAACACACGTGTGAACTTACTGAGGTCAACCAAACACACGTGTGAACTTACTGAGGTCAACCGAACACACGTGTGAACCGTGCGGCGTCAATTCGGCCAATGACGAAACGGCCCCGTCAAAACGACCCCGACAAAACGACCCCGTCAAAACGACCCCGTCAGATCGGCCCCGTCAAAAGGGCCAGCGACATATGGACCCCGTCATATAGGCTCCCGACAAATAGGCTCCCGTCATTTAGGCTACCGACAAATAGGCTCCCGTTATATAGGCTCCCGACAAAAGGGCTCCAGTCAATAAGGCTCCTGACAAATAGGCTCCCGTCATTTTGGCTCCCGACATATAGTCTCCCGTCATTTAGTTTTTTCCACAAAACGGCCCCCGTCATTACGACTCCCGACAAATAGGCTAGCGTCATTTTGGCTCCTGACAAAAAGGCTCCTGTCAATTTGGCTCCAGACAAAAGGACCACTGACACAGTGGCGTAGCTACCGTAAAGCTAGCGTAAGCAAGGCATGGGGGCCCAAGGCACATAGGGGCCTTTTTCCCTCATAAAAAATTAAAACTTTTACAATGGAATTTTAATATTTGTTACATATAAATAATTTTAAAAAAGAAAAAGGTTAAAAGTTCCCAGTGGGGGGGGGGGGGGTGTTTCGGCAGTGGGATTTAGTGTTTGTGGGTCAAACAGAGCCCAATCGTTATAATAACACTACAGGCTATATCACTTTGTCGTGCAAGACATTGAGAGAATCAGCCTATAAGTAAACTTTTTAGCAGTAGTAGGCAAGCATAATAATATAGTATAAATACAAAATCAGGACATAAAATACAAAATGTTGCCTTCAGAATATTTATATATTAAAAAATATCCATCGTAAGTAGAAGTTGATCTCTTCGTTTAACTCCTCTGTAGCCTAACGCAGAGGCGTAGCGAAGGCGAGGCGGGGGGTGCGGACCGCAACGGGTGACACCATTTAGGGGGGGGGGTGACACCAAAGGCAAAAAAATGTAACATTTATAGAATGAAATGCCATTTTCCAGATCCATTAGTTAAAGTTAAATAGTCTTCTAAGAACAAATCGAAAATTTTATCAAGAGGGGGGAGGGGGGGGGGGGTGTTACACCACGACGTAAACGTAAACTATAAAGAAAACAATGCTACATCCAACTGTATTATAAACAGACTGTAGATAAACATCGTAACTATTAAGTCTGCAGTGATTAAAGCTTATACACGTACGTGTACCAGTATGTGGCATATATATAAATTTTAGGCCTATGTAGGCCGACACACACACACACACACACACACACACACATATATATATATATATATATAGATATATACACACACACACACACACACATATATATATATATATATATATATATATATATATATATATATATATATATATATATATATATATATACTTTGTTTCCTGGGAGGGGGTGACAATACGAAGTGCCGCACCGGGTGAGACCCGACCTAGCGACGCCACTGGCCTAACGGCTGACGAAGGGGCCCACTGATAATTTTTGCATAGGGGCCCAAAAATCCTAGCTACGCCACTGCACTGACAATACCGTTTCTGTAGAGACTAAGTCTCCCGGCAAAGCGGTCTCATTGAATATGACATCTGCCAGTGGGACCCCTTCATCAATATTCTTTAGAGTTAGCTTATCCAACACTCTTATGTAATACAACGTATGCATCTCTTGTTCGGCAGGCCTTATTTTTATATTAGTTTATCTATTATAAAATATAGTATGTTTTAATTTAAGGGTCATCTATCTATGACATCCATAATTGAGTCGGTTATAGGCTGTTCCAACTCATTGTGTGGGAAGAAGGGTCCACGCTGTACCTTCCTAACTGCAATATGCTTGTACAGGGGCGTAGCGAGGGGGGGGGGGGGGGGCGGGGGGTGCGGACCGCACCGGGTGACACCATTTAGGGGGGTGACACAAAGGCAAAAAATAGCAAAATATATAGAGAAAAAGTTGAGGGGGTGGGGGTGCAAATCGAAAGTTGGGGGGGGGGGGGGGTGCAAATCGAAAACTTGAAAGTTTGTCCCCGGGAAGGGTCGCAACGCCTCTGGGGGGGGGGGGGTGACACCATTAAGTGCCGCACCGGGTGACACCCGACCTCGCTACGCCACTGTGCTTGTAGGTTATCAAAACAAAATGCTGTTATCATGTTAACATCATGTATATCATACATTTACACTTCTGTGCTCGCTTTTAAGCAACAGATCTTTTCTGTTGTAAATTAAACATTATCAAAACTTTAGAATTGGTAGAATTTAGCTGTTAAGGGCTCGATTTGTTTGTGAATTAATGTTGGTTCATGAAAAAATAATTTCATTCGGGCATTTAAAAGAGGTTATGGTGGTATTGGAGGTAGGACACAATGGTTACTTTTATGCCAATAGTGGTCATATCATTCATTTTTCTGGAGCCAATATGTCGGGAGTCATTTTGTCAAAAGCCTATATGTCGGGAGCCCAATTGCCGGGAGCCAATATGTCGGGAGCCCATTTGTCGGTAGCCAAAATGTCGTGAGCCCATTTGCCGCGAGCCCATTTGTCTTTAGCCCTTATGTCGGGAGCCGCTTTGTCGGGAGCCGCTTTGTCGGGAGCCAATATGTCCTGAGCCTATTTGTCAGGGGTTAATATGTCGGGAGTCCATTTGTCGGGAGCCTAAATATCGGGAGCCCATTTGTGGGGAGCCTATATGTCGCAAGTCAATATGACGGGAGCCCATTTGACGGGAGCCAATAAGTCGGGGCCCTTTTGACGGGGCTATTTTGACGGGGTCGGTTTGTCGGGAGTCGATTTGACGGGGTCGTATTAACGGGGCCGTTTTGACGGGGCCGATTTGTCCCGGGCCGTTTTGACAGGGCACCGTGTGAACTTACTGAGGTCAACCAAACACACGTGTGAACTTACTGAGGTCAACCAAACACACGTGTGAACTTACTGAGGTCAACCAAACACACGTGTGAACTTACTGAGGTCAACCAAACACACGTGTGAACTTACTGAGGTCAACCAAACACACGTGTGAACTTACTGAGGTCAACCAAACACACGTGTGAACTTACTGAGGTCAACCAAACACACGTGTGAACTTACTGAGGTCAACCGAACACACGTGTGAACTTACTGAGGTCAACCAAACACACGTGTGAACTTACTGAGGTCAACCGAACACACGTGTGAACTTACTGAGGTCAACCAAACACACGTGTGAACTTACTGAGGTCAACCAAACACACGTGTGAACTTACTGAGGTCAACCGAACACACGTGTGAACTTACTGAGGTCAACCAAACACACGTGTGAACTTACTGAGGTCAACCGAACACACGTGTGAACTTACTGAGGTCAACCAAACACACGTGTGAACTTACTGAGGTCAACCGAACACACGTGTGAACTTACTGAGGTCAACCAAACACACGTGTGAACTTACTGAGGTCAACCAAACACACGTGTGAACTTACTGAGGTCAACCAAACACACGTGTGAACTTACTGAGGTCAACCAAACACACGTGTGAACTTACTGAGGTCAACCAAACACACGTGTGAACTTACTGAGGTCAACCAAACACACGTGTGAACTTACTGAGGTCAACCAAACACACGTGTGAACTTACTGAGGTCAACCAAACACACGTGTGAACTTACTTCTAGCTGCAGCAGAGTGGACGCTGACCGCCACAAGTAAGTACAGAACCACAGCCACAGACATCTGGTCAACAGAAGGTTAGGTCAGTGTTAGTTCAATGTTAATTCATTAGTTCAATGTTAGTTCATTAGTTCAATGCTAGTTCATTAGTTCAATGTTAGTTCATTAGTTCAATGTAAGTTCAATGTTAGTTAATTAGTTCAGTGTTAGTTCAATGTTAGTTCATTAGTTCAATGTTAGCTCATTAGTTCAATGTTAGTTCATTAGTTCAATGTTAGTTCATTAGTTCAATGTTAGTTCATTAGTTCAATGCTAGTTCATTAGTTCAATGTTAGTTCATTAGTTCAATGTTAGTTCATTAGTTCAATGTTAGTTTATTTGTTCAGTGTTAGTTCATTAGTTCAATGCTCGTTCATTAGTTCAATGTTAGTTCATTAGTTCAATGTTAGTTCAATGCTAGTTCATTAGTTCAATGTTAGTTCATTAGTTCAATGTTAGTTCAATGTTAGTTCAATGTTAGTTCATTAGTTTCAATATCATTTAAAGAGTACAGTGTCAATTAAAGAGTACAGTGTCAGAGGGGGGACCTGTAGTCAAAGCACATTCACATTTTGCTACAAGCTATACAATACATGCTTTTTTGGAATTGTATTAACTTTAAAATACTTCAAACAATATAATAATGTATTTTTTGGGGGACAATTTATACAATTTTTGCCAAATTTGGTGTCAAATTGAACATTTTCTAAGTACAAGTAGAATGAAAATAACTAAAAATATAATTGAAAACAATGCAAAGTAACCTTGTATATTCATAGTAGACATGACAATTGACTATCTGATAGAAGGAAACTTTGATATCTTACAAAATGAATTTTTTGTTAAATTTTTAAAAAGTAAAATTTCTTTTTCATATAATTTTCTATGAAAGCAATTCTAAAAACTTTCACAGTTTAAAAAAAATTAAAGTTCAGCCAAACCCTTCTACTACTTTATAGATACATATGTTAGCAACATACAGTGGCAGTTTGAAGTATTTCTGATAGGCGCTTTTTGAGTTAAATTCATTCCCGCGAGATCTATATAGTAAAATTGACAAAACTGAGAAAACTCAAAATTAAGCATTATTGACTAAATATTTTGTCATATAAGGGTATGCATTAGCAAAATAATGAATAACTTTGACAAATAATTACTTTTTCCGATAACATTATTGGGGAAAACAACAATTTACTCAATTTACAAAAAAAAATTTAAAAAATCGATGCCAATCTTCACTCGATATCAAAATCCCCAAAATATGATACACACAAAACTGATTTTAGACCAGAAAATTAAAATTTTTCAAGAAAGTTGACTACAGGTCCCCCCTTAAAAAGTTCAACATTAGTTTCTCGTTTTTTTTTTTCCTGATATGTGTCAGACACCTGCTTGGCTATACCGACATTCTAACCAGTTTCTTCAGATCAGTGCTACTCGCTAGATGGCTGATCTGTGCTACTCGCTAGATGGCTGATCTGTGCTACTCGCTAGATGGCTGATCTGTGCTACTCGCTAGATGGCTGATCTGTGCTACTCGCTAGATGGCAGATCTGTGCTACTCGCTAGATGGCTGATCTGTGCTACTCGCTAGATGGCTGATCTGTGCTACTCGCTAGATGGCTGATCTGTGCTACTCGCTAGATGGCTGATCTGTGCTACTCGCTAGATGGCTGATCTGTGCTACTCGCTAGATGGCTGATCTGTGCTACTCGCTAGATGGCTGATCTGTGCTACTCGCTAGATGGCTGATCTGTGCTACTCGCTAGATGGCTGATCTGTGCTACTCGCTAGATGGCAGATCTGTGCTACTAGCTAGATGGCTGATCTGTGCTACTCGCTAGATGGCTGATCTGTGCTACTCGCTAGATGGCTGATCTGTGCTACTCGCTAGATGGCTGATCTGTGCTACTCGCTAGATGGCTGATCTGTGCTACTCGCTAGATGGCTGATCTGTGCTACTCGCTAGATGGCTGATCTGTGCTACTAGCTAGATGGCTGATCTGTGCTACTCGCTAGCTGGCTGATCTGTGCTACTCGCTAGATGGCTGATCTGTGCTACTCGCTAGCTGGCTGATCTGTGCTACTCGCTAGCTGCCTGATCTGTGCTACTCGCTAGCTAGCTGATCTGTGCTACTCGCTAGATGGCTGATCTGTGCTACTAGCTAGATGGCTGATCTGTGCTACTCGCTAGCTGCCTGATCTGTGCTACTCGCTAGCTAGCTGATCTGTGCTACTCGCTAGATGGCTGATCTGTGCTACTCGCTAGATGGCTGATCTGTGCTACTCGCTAGCTGGCTGATCTGTGCTACTCGCTAGCTGCCTGATCTGTGCTACTCGCTAGCTAGCTGATCTGTGCTACTCGCTAGCTGGCTGATCTGTGCTACTAGCTAGCTAGCTGATCTGTGCTACTAGCTAGCTAGCTGATCTGTGCTACTCGCTAGATGGCTGATTTAAATATCACCCTGCCAAACCTGCAGATATCACCCTGCCAAACCTGCAAATATCACCCTGCCAAACCTGCAGATATCACCTGATTTAAAGTTGATGATTATTGTCTTACCAAAAGATCCACTAGAGGACACAGAAGATCATTCAAAAAGATCTACCAACTGGATCATAAAAACTAGACAAAACTTGCTACTCACCTTTTGTGAAGAATAGGCAAAACCTGCTATAAAATTCCCCACTTCTAATAAAAAAAACGTAGCTACCGCAAATCAATGGACAATAGCCCAGTGAATTTGCCGCTGCAATAGCAAATATGGTGCTACAACATTTAATCGTTCTTACCTTGCTAATATGGTGACTGTTAGCTCTATCAAAGATGGTGCTACAATATTTAATCGTGCTTACCTTGCTAATATGCTCACTCTTAGCTCTATCAAAGATGGTGCTACAATAAATGTAAGTCTGAATGTATCAAACGGCGGTTATAAACATCAGCAACTTGAAGGCTCGTGGTACTTGACATGTGATAAATATGGTACGTCAATATCTGCCATCGACGACCCTCATCAATTGACCAGCTAACTGCGGGCGGGGTGGGGGTTGGGGTGGGGGTGGGGGTGGGGGGTGCATACGGCCACACAGCGCTTGATTACCAAAAGAAAGTTAATGGCCGGAGCTGTGGTTTTAATTTTGGACAAGTAGGTTCATTAAATCTCGGACGTTTAGTTTCATTAAAACTTGGACACTTAGTTTAATTTAAACTCGGGCGTTTAGTTTAATTAAAACTCGGACATTTTGTTTCATTAAAACTAGGACATTTAGTTTAATTTAAACTCGGACATTTAACTTATATAAAACTCGGACATTTTGTTTAATTAAAACTAGGACATTTAGCTAAATTAAAACAAGGACATTTAGTTTCAATTAAACTAGAACATTTAGCTAAATTAAAACTAGGATATTAAAGTAGGCTCATCACTAGCTGCTGATAACGTAGCGAACCTTTCCAACACCATGGCATTTTCGATGGTCCGCCATCTTGGAAGGGGCGCCATCTTGGAAGGGGCGCCATCTTGGAAGGTGCACCATCTAGGAAGGGGCGCCATCTTGGAAGGTGCACCATCTTGGAGGGTGCAGCTTTTTGGAAGATGTGCCATCTTCGATGGTGCGCCTTCTTGGAGGTCTGCTATCTTGAAAAAAAAATGTTTGTTTATATAAAACATTTTTTTTGTTTCTTTCAGTCGTCATTATTATAGACAATACCGTCTAAATCTTAATCCCCACACAACACCTAGTCTAAATCTTAATCCCCACACAACACTTTGTATAAATCTTAATCCCCACACAACACTTTGTATAAATCTTAATCCCCACACAACACCTTGTCTAAATCTTAATCCCCCACACACTACCTCGCCCTCGAGAAACCTTGACCAAACCTCTCCCACGAAAAACTTTGCCTACAAGAAATTTTGCCTACATGAAACCGGGCCTACACAATACCTTGTCCACAAAAAACCTTGCACAAGAAAAAACTTGCCCACAAGAAACTTAGCCAACAAGAAACTTTGCCAACATGAAATTAAATGTTAGCTAAATCAGTGCTACTCGCTAGCTAGATCTCTGCTACTCGCTAGCAAGCTAGATGTATGGTACTCGCTAGCTATCTGTATCTGTGCTACTCGCTAGTTAGAGCTGTGCTACTCCTTAGCTACCTAGCTATATATGTGGTACTCGCTAGCTAGCTAGATGTGTGCTACTCGTTAGCTAGCTAGCTGTATCTGTGCTACTCGCTAGCTAGATCTCTGCTACTCGCTAGCTAGCTAGCTAGATGTGTGCTACTCGTTAGCTAGCTAGCTGTATCTGTGCTACTCGCTAAGAGCTGTGCTACTCGCTAGCTAGATATGTGCTACTCGCTAGCTAGATCTCTGCTACTCGCTAACTAGAGCTGTGCTACTCCTTATCTAGCTAGCTATATCTGTGCTACTCGCTAGCTAGCTAGATGTATCTGTGCTACTCGCTAGCTAGAGCTGTGCTACTCGCTAGCTAGCAATATCTGTGCTACTCGCTAGCTAGATATGTGCTACTCGCTAGCTAGATATGTGCTACTCGCTAGCTAGCTAGATGTGTGCTACCTACTAGATGTGTGCTACCTGCTAGATGTGTGCTACCTGCTAGATGTGTGCTACCTGCTAGATGTGTGCTACCTGCTAGATGTGTGCTACCTGCTAGATGTGTGCTACCTGCTAGATGTGTGCTACCTGCTAGATTCGTGTGTTCACATGTACCTTGTGACCATCACATCACATCGACGACAGGATGTGACGTGGGGCCTGGACGTTAACGCCCCCACACACAATAGTCAGACATTGACAGCCTCTCACGTCACGTGCATCAGATGGTAGGCTGAACTAGCGGGTAGCAGCTCTCCGTGGATGGGGGAGGGGGCGGGAGGGAAGGAGACATCAAAGAAACCACCTGACGTTTACAGCCGACACCACGTGATTGATTTGTACCTCGTTCTAAACATTTTTGTTTTGTCTTTAGAGTGCAGGTCTTGTTTTCCAGTTGTAGAAAGGGGGAAGAAAACTTTGTCAGATTTTGGTTAAATTCTGCCTCCATGTTAGTGGTCTCCACCTTTCTCCCCCCCCCCCCCCCCACTAGAGGCGTAGCGAGGGGGTGGGGGCGGGGGGGGGACATATGTACCCGGGCGCCGACCTTAGGGGGGGGAGGGCGCCAAAATGGGTTAGAAAAAGAAATTGAAAGTTTGAGGGGGGGGGGTGCAAATCGAAAGTTTGAGGGGGGGGTGCAAATCAAAAGTTCGAGGGGGGTGCAAATCGAAAGTTTGAGGGGGTGGGTGCAAATCGAAAGTTTGTCCCCGGGCGCCCGGAAGGGTCGCTACGCCTCTGCCCCCCCCCCCCCCCATGTTAGCCCTCTCCCCTCATGTTAGCCCTCTCTACCATCCCCCCCCCCCCCCCATGTTAGGCCACCGTCCACAACAGTGTGACATATAGAACTAGATGTCACTAGAGAGCGTGTTGTCAGTACTCACTGACACAAGTATTCAAACTCTCGACAGAATGACATTGTGTGGATTCTTTTGAATTGAAAATTAAAAGAGCAAGCTAAAATTGTTTATGTTTATTATTTCGATGTCTTGATGTGTCTATTTGATGTCATGGTATACATCTTTGATGTCACGATGTCTGATTCTATGATGTCTATCTGATTCCACGATGTCTTTGGTTTGACAATGTCTATCTTTGAGCGATGTCTCTCATCAATGACTTCCAATCAACATGTGGATTTCCAGACGGTCCGCCTGAGGAAATAAACGTTGACGTCACAGTACACAGACGTCCACCCTGTCACAACTTCACCTGTATAGTGACATGTACAACCGCGTGTTGGAGTCATATGTTGAGTCAGGTGTTGGACAATAGTCAGATGTAGAGTCACAATATGTAGAGTCAGGTGTAGAGTCAGGTGTAGAGTCAGGTGTAGAGTCAGGTGTACGGTGTAAACAGTGCTTACCTGTTGGTTCGATGGTTCAACAAATACAAATACGCCAGCCGCCATCTTGGCCACCAACCGAGCGACACGTTGTCATGACAACCGTTTCAAGGGAGGTAAGGAGGGTACCTCGCTATACCGATTTCTGTCCCTGTATGTAAAGATGTGAGGGTTAGATATCAGCCTGAAGGTTCGCCACAGAGGTAGCTAAAGGACAATTCTATCAGCCTGAAGGTTCGCCACAGAGGTAGCTAAAGGACAATTCTATCAGCCTGAAGGTTCGCCACAGAGGTAGCTAAAGGACAATTCTATCAGCCTGAAGGTTCGCCACAGAGGTAGCTAAAGGACAATTCTATCAGCCTGAAGGTTCGCCACAGAGGTAGCTAAAGGACAATTCTATCAGCCTGAAGGTTCGCCACAGAGGTAGCTAAAGGACAATTCTATCAGCCTGAAGGTTCGCCACAGAGGTAGCTAAAGGACAATTCTATCAGCCTGAAGGTTCGCCACAGAGGTAGCTAAAGGACAATTCTATCAGCCGATGAATGTCTTCTCTATGTCCCAGCTTACGTCACCGTATAAAGAGTTGGTATGGTCAGTTCTATGTCCAGCCAGTTACTTTACCCAACTTGATTCAGGTACCCATTATAGCTGGGTGGACTCAGGGACGCCATGCTATCAGGTACTTATATAAACTGAGTGGACTAAGGGAAGTGCCACTTTCTAAACTAAGGGTAAAATCACATCGAGGTTAACTAGACTAAAAATTCCAGAACGCCAACAGTTGTTGGAAATGCAGACTCTGCTAGGATGCGCTATTTATATCAACTAATTAGTTTCATCTCACAACAATAATAAATGACCAGTCTACATTGTGTACGGTAGGATGAGCTGATTATATCAACTAACTAGTTTCATCTCATAATAATAAGTATTCTACATTGTGAACGGTAAAAAGTTGTTTATTGTAGCGAGTTTTTTTAACAGATGATGATGGGAATGTTGCTGTTTGTGTCGTAGAGACACCACTACATACAACTGTAGCAGGCGACAGCTACATTTCGTGTCGTCATTTTTCAAACACAGTATTTACAGTTGGGGGGGGCGAAAGTGGAAATCAAATAAAGAATTTAAAACAGTGAAATAGATGAAGAATTGTGCAAAATGTGTAAGAGAAAATTAATACTAATAGTTTCGCTGTCTATCTATCTATCTATCTATCTATCTATCTATCTATCTATCTATCTATCTATCTATCTATCTGTCTGACAAGAACGCTCTAGAGAAAACACAAGGAAAATAAAAACATGCATAGTAATTCGAAAAACGAAGTATGACGTCGACACATTTAGCGCACAGAGTAGAAAATAATCTCAAGCCGGATAGTGCACACATTGATATGACGTCATTGATTATCGAGTAAACATTCAATACAAAGGCAATTTGGTCTAATCTAAGTGGTTTGCGTGAAGAGTTTCTTTCATACAATTCTTCGGGTAGGGGCTTCTTACCCCCGCGTAAGAACGTCTGAGCCCCCCCCCCCCCCCCCTCCCAAACTCAAAAAAAATTTCCTCATCGATACTCTATAATAAAATTACCGCCTAATTAATGTGTCTAATCTAAAAAGTGGTTTTCTTGCAATGGGACGGTAGACATGTTTTTTTTTGGGGGAGGGGGGGGTGTGTGGGGGGTGTGTGGGGGTGGGGGGGTGGTGTGTGGGGGGTGGGTTGGTTTCAGTGTTTCTTTCAGACTTTTTCCTCCCCGGAGAGGGGTGGGGGTACTTGAAATTTTCGGGGGCGGAGGTAGAATTTTCTGGGAGGGGGCGGACACTGGAAAAAGTATATAGTTATATTTCGTTGAATGGGACGGTAGACATGATTTTTTTTGGGGGGGGGGGGGGGGGTGGAGGGGTGGGGTGGGTGGTGTGTGTGGGGGGGGTGGTGTGTGGGGGTGGGGGGGGTGGTGTGTGGGGGTGGGTTGGTTTTAGTTTAGAGAAAAGAGACAGCACTATCAGCCTAGCGCCCGTTGTACCCTTCCTCAACGGGCCATTTTTCTCGTATTGTAATAAACAATAGGGGGGGTGGAGGGGTGGGGGGTGGTGTGTGTGTGGGGGGGGGTGGTGTGTGTGGGGGGGGGGTGGGGGTGGTGTGTGGGGGGGTGGGTTGGTTTCAGTGTTTCTTTCAGACTTTTTCCTCCCCGGAGAGGGGTGGGGGTACTTGAAATTTTCGGGGGCGGGGGTAGAATTTTCTGGGAGGGGGCGGACACCGGAAAAAGTATATAATTATATTTCGTTGAATGGGACGGTAGACATGTTTTTTTTTTTGGGGGGGGGTGGAGGGGGGTGGAGGGGTGGGGGGTGGGGGGGCGGTGTGTGGAGGGGGTGGTGTGTGTGGGGGGTGGGGGTGGGGTGGGGGGTGTAGGTGCGGGGGTGGGGGTGGGGGTGGGGGTGGTGTGTGGGGGGGGGGGGGGTGGGTTGGTTTTAGTTTAGAGAAAAGAGACAGCACTATCAGCCTAGCGCCCGTTGTACTCTTCCTCAACGGGCCATTTTTCTCGTATTGTAATAAACAACTTCAGAGGAAAAAATTAACGAAAAAAATTTAAAGATTTGAATAAACTTTAAAAATATGTTTTATTTAGAAAAAAAAAACATTGGGTTGAAATATGTCGACTGTCTATTTGTCCAGATTCATCTGCAGATGTGATACATGATATTTAAACATATGATAAATGACATTCAAACATGTGATACTTGACATTTAAACATGTCATACATGACATTTAAACATGTGATACTGACTCAATCCTTTCTACAACTTTCTTTCACACTACACAATCAATGTTAAAACAGTGCTTCATTGTTCACTAACTACACAACTACAAAGTTGATTACACACAGCTTACAGTTCTCTGAGGGTTGCTTACATGGATACATTTTTTCTTAATCCGACTCCTCGAAAACGCTAGCATAATGCTTACATTGTGCTTACAGACGGAACATTGTGCTTACAGACGGAACATTGTGCTTACAGACCAAACATTGTGCTTACAGACCAAACATTTTGCTTACAGACGGAACATTGTGCTTACAAACATTGTGCTTACAGACCAAACATTTTGCTTACAGACGGAACGTTGTGCTTACAGACGGAACATTGTGCTTACAGACGGAACATTGTGCTTACAGACGGAACATTGTGCTTACAGACGGAACATTGTGCTTACAGACGGAACATTGTGCTTACAGACGGAACATTGTGCTTACAGACATTGTGCTTACAGACGGAACATTGTGCTTACAGACGGAACATTGTGCTTACAAACATTGTGCTTACAGACGGAACATTGTGCTTACAGACATTATGCTTACAGACGGAACATTGTGCTTACAGACGGAACATTGTGCTTACAGACATTGTGCTTACAGACGAAACATTGTGCTTACAGACGGAACATTGTGCTTACAGACATTGAGCTTACAGACGAAACATTGTGCTTACAGACGGAACATTGTGCTTACAGACGGAACATTGTGCTTACAGACGGAACATTGTGCTTACAGACGGAACATTGTGCTTATAGAGGGAACATTGTGCTTACAGACATTGTGCTTACAGACCAAACATTGTGCTTACAGACATTGTGCTTACAGACCAAACATTGTGCTTACAGACATTGTGCTTACAGACGGAACATTGTGCTTACAGACATTGTGCTTACAGACCAAACATTGTGCTTACAGACATTGTGCTTACAGACGGAACATTGTGCTTACAGACATTGTGCTTACAGACCAAACATTGTGCTTACAGACATTGTGCTTACAGACGGAACATTGTGCTTACAGACGGAACATTGTGCTTACAGACGGAACATTGTGCTTACAGACGGAACATTGTGCTTACAGACGGAACATTGTGCTTACAGACGGAACATTGTGCTTACAGACGGAACATTTAGCTTACAGACGGAACATTGTGCTTACAGACATTGTGCTTACAGACGGAACATTGTGCTTACAGACATTGTGCTTACAGACCAAACATTGTGCTTACAGACATTGTGCTTACAGACGGAACATTGTGCTTACAGACGGAACATTGTGCTTACAGACGGAACATTGTGCTTACAGACGGAACATTTAGCTTACAGACTGCCCAGCCTGTCCTGCTCTAGTGGCCCCAGGATGCTGCACGGGATGGGGTCGGCGTGGCCGAAGCTCCACTTGGTGGCCCGGGCCTGATCCACGGCACACTCGTCGTCCTTCTCCACCTCCTGCTTGGCCTCGGGCAGCTCTAGGATACTGTAGGCGAACATCCGCTCCACCCGGATCTCGTTGACACGTTCCTGGCGGGCACACGTCAACATCAACATTCAACATCCAACATCCAACACCTACATCCAACACCTACATCTAGCACCTACATCCAACATCAACATCCAACATCCAACACCTACATCCAACACCTGCATCCAACATCTACACCTACATCTAACATAAACATCCAACACCAACACCTACACCCACATCCAACACCAACATCTACCTACATCCAACACCAACATCTACCTACATCCAACTTCTCCCTCTCGTAATAGTTGATGTCCAGACCCTGGACAATCTCCCACTCCCCCTGTGACGTCACTTGCACTGGGAAACTGTAGGCCAGACCTGGGGGGAGCAAGGTCAAAGTCGGACAGGTGCTCAACATTTTGTAGGACAGGTGCTCAACATTTTGTAGGACAGGTGCTCAACATTTTGTAGGACAGGTGCTCAACATTTTGTAGGACAGGTGCTCAACATTTTGTAGGACAGGTGCTCAACATTTTGTAGGACAGGTGCTCAACATTTTGTAGGACAGGTGCTCAACATTTTGTAGGACAGGTGCTCAACATTTTGTAGGACAGGTGCTCAACATTTTGTAGGACAGGTGCTCAACATTTTGGTTCTAGAACTCTTCTCTGACTGTTCTAGAATTTTTCTCTGACTGTTCTAGAACTTTTCTATGTTCTAGAACTTTTCTCTGTTCTAGAACTTTTCTCTGACTGTTCTAGAACTTTTCTCTGACTGTTCTAGAACTTTTCTCTGACTGTTCTAGAACTTTTCTCTGACTGTTCTAGAACTTTTCTCTGTTCTAGAACTTTTCTCTGACTGTTCTAGAACTTTTCTCTGACTGTTCTAGAACTTTTCTCTGACTGTTCTAGAACTTTTCTCTGACTGTTCTAGAACTTTTCTCTGACTGTTCTAGAACTTTTCTCTGTTCTAGAACTTTTCTCTGACTGTTCTAGAACTTTTCTCTGACTGTTCTAGAACTTTTCTCTGACTGTTCTAGAACTTTTCTCTGACTGTTCTAGAACTTTTCTCTGACTGTTCTAGAACTTTTCTCTGACTGTTCTAGAACTTTTCTCTGACTGTTCTAGAACTTTTCTCTGTTCTAGAACTTTTCTCTGACTGTTCTAGAACTTTTCTCTGACTGTTCTAGAACTTTTCTCTGACTGTTCTAGAACTTTTCTCTGTTCTAGAACTTTTCTCTGACTGTTCTAGAACTTTTCTCTGACTGTTCTAGAACTTTTCTCTGACTGTTCTAGAACTTTTCTCTGACTGTTCTAGAACTTTTCTCTGACTGTTCTAGAACTTTTCTCTGACTGTTCTAGAACTTTTCTCTGACTGTTCTAGAACTTTTCTCTGTTCTAGAACTTTTCTCTGACTGTTCTAGAACTTTTCTCTGACTGTTCTAGAACTTTTCTCTGACTGTTCTAGAACTTTTCTATGTTCTAGAACTTTTCTCTGTTCTAGAACTTTTCTCTGACTGTTCTAGAACTTTTCTCTGACTGTTCTAGAACTTTTCTCTGACTGTTCTAGAACTTTTCTCTGACTGTTCTAGAACTTTTCTCTGACTGTTCTAGAACTTTTCTCTGACTGTTCTAGAACTTTTCTCTGACTGTTCTAGAACTTTTCTCTGACTGTTCTAGAACTTTTCTCTGTTCTAGAACTTTTCTCTGACTGTTCTAGAACTTTTCTCTGACTGTTCTAGAACTTTTCTCTGACTGTTCTAGAACTTTTCTCTGACTGTTCTAGAACTTTTCTCTGACTGTTCTAGAACTTTTCTCTGACTGTTCTTGAACTTTTTCTAATCTAGAACCTTTCATTAGATGTTCTAGAACTTTTCTCACTGTTCTAGAACTTTTCTCTGACTGTTCTAGAAGTTTTCTCTGACTGTTCTAGAACTTTTCTCTGACTGTTCTAGAACTTTTCTCTGACTGTTCTAGAACTTTTCTCTGACTGTTCTAGAACTTTTCTCTGACTGTTCTAGAACTTTTCTCTGACTGTTCTAGAACTTTTCTCTGACTGTTCTAGAACTTTTCTCTGACTGTTCTAGAACTTTTCTCTGACTGTTCTAGAACTTTTCTCTGACTGTTCTAGAACTTTTCTCTGACTGTTCTAGAACTTTTCTCTGTTCTAGAACTTTTCTCTGACTGTTCTAGAACTTTTCTCTGACTGTTCTAGAACTTTTTTCTGACTGTTCTAGAACTTTTCTCTGACTGTTCTAGAACTTTTCTCTGACTGTTCTAGAACTTTTCTCTGACTGTTCTAGAACTTTTCTCTGACTGTTCTAGAACTTTTCTCTGTTCTAGAACTTTTCTCTGACTGTTCTAGAACTTTTCTCTGACTGTTCTAGAACTTTTCTCTGACTGTTCTAGAACTTTTCTCTGACTGTTCTAGAACTTTTCTCTGACTGTTCTAGAACTTTTCTCTGACTGTTCTAGAACTTTTCTCTGACTGTTCTAGAACTTTTCTCTGTTCTAGAACTTTTCTCTGACTGTTCTAGAACTTTTCTCTGACTGTTCTAGAACTTTTCTCTGACTGTTCTAGAACTTTTCTCTGTTCTAGAACTTTTCTCTGACTGTTCTAGAACTTTTCTCTGACTGTTCTAGAACTTTTCTCTGACTGTTCTAGAACTTTTCTCTGACTGTTCTAGAACTTTTCTCTGACTGTTCTAGAACTTTTCTCTGACTGTTCTAGAACTTTTCTCTGACTGTTCTAGAACTTTTCTCTGTTCTAGAACTTTTCTCTGACTGTTCTAGAACTTTTCTCTGACTGTTCTAGAACTTTTCTCTGACTGTTCTAGAACTTTTCTATGTTCTAGAACTTTTCTCTGTTCTAGAACTTTTCTCTGACTGTTCTAGAACTTTTCTCTGACTGTTCTAGAACTTTTCTCTGACTGTTCTAGAACTTTTCTCTGACTGTTCTAGAACTTTTCTCTGACTGTTCTAGAACTTTTCTCTGACTGTTCTAGAACTTTTCTCTGACTGTTCTAGAACTTTTCTCTGACTGTTCTAGAACTTTTCTCTGTTCTAGAACTTTTCTCTGACTGTTCTAGAACTTTTCTCTGACTGTTCTAGAACTTTTCTCTGACTGTTCTAGAACTTTTCTCTGACTGTTCTAGAACTTTTCTCTGACTGTTCTAGAACTTTTCTCTGACTGTTCTTGAACTTTTTCTAATCTAGAACCTTTCATTAGATGTTCTAGAACTTTTCTCACTGTTCTAGAACTTTTCTCTGACTGTTCTAGAAGTTTTCTCTGACTGTTCTAGAACTTTTCTCTGACTGTTCTAGAACTTTTCTCTGACTGTTCTAGAACTTTTCTCTGACTGTTCTAGAACTTTTCTCTGACTGTTCTAGAACTTTTCTCTGACTGTTCTAGAACTTTTCTCTGACTGTTCTAGAACTTTTCTCTGACTGTTCTAGAACTTTTCTCTGACTGTTCTAGAACTTTTCTCTGACTGTTCTAGAACTTTTCTCTGACTGTTCTAGAACTTTTCTCTGTTCTAGAACTTTTCTCTGACTGTTCTAGAACTTTTCTCTGACTGTTCTAGAACTTTTCTCTGACTGTTCTAGAACTTTTCTCTGACTGTTCTAGAACTTTTCTCTGACTGTTCTAGAACTTTTCTCTGACTGTTCTAGAACTTTTCTCTGACTGTTCTTGAACTTTTTCTAATCTAGAACCTTTCATTAGATGTTCTAGAACTTTTCTCACTGTTCTAGAACTTTTCTCTGACTGTTCTAGAACTTTTCTCTGACTGTTCTAGAACTTTTCTCTGACTGTTCTTGAACTTTTTCTAATCTAGAACCTTTCATTAGATGTTCTAGAACTTTTCTCACTGTTCTAGAACTTTTCTCTGACTGTTCTAGAACTTTTCTCTGACTGTTCTAGAACTTGTCTCTGACCTTTATCGATGCCGTAGCTGCCGTCAGAGAGGACTATCATGGAGGTCCAGTCGTCCTTCTTGGTGCCCAGCGTCCAGTCCCGCAGGTGCTGCACAGCTGCTGTGGCCACAGTCATGGAACAGTAGGTCGTCTTGCGCTTCTGGGGGATAGGGGGGACAGGATGAAGGGTGCTGTCGCCACAGTCATGGAACAGTAGGTCGTCTTGCGTTTCTTGTGGATAGGGGGGGGGGGGACAGGTTGAAGGCTGCTGTGGCCACAGTCATGGAACAGTAGGTCGTCTTGTGCTTCTGGTGGACAGGGGGGACAGCAGTGGACAGGTTGAAGGGTAGGTTTAAGGGCAGGTTTAAGGGCAGGTTTAAGGGGAGGTTTAACGGCAGGTAGGTAAGTCAATACGTGACAATCTTTTTCAGGAACAGAGTGTTAAATGCCTTAAATGTTGTAGGACAATACTATCCAGAAGATGTAGGCAGAGGCGTCGCGAGGCGGGGACGGGGGTGCGGACCGCAACGGGTGACACCATTTAGGGGGTGACAACACGGTAAAAAAATTGCAAAATATATAGAAAAAAAATATTTTTGAATAACAGATAATCAACGACAGTAGAGGGGGTGATACCAAAATCTAATGACTTGCGATGAAAACGATGCTTTTTCCACATGAATTAATATGTGGATTAAGCTTACAAATTAACGCCATTAGTCAAAATGGGATGGGGTTGTCACCAATTGCAACTATATATAAATATATATATATATATATATATATATATATTTACAGTTTTTTTCGGAGGAGGGGTGACACCATAAGTCCCCCACCGGGTGTCACCATCCCTCGCGACGCCACTGGATGTAGGACAAAGCTACCTCTATGATGTCATGACAATGCTACCTCTATGATGTCATGACAATGCTACCTCTATGATGTCATGACAGTGCTACCTCTATGATGTCATGACAATGCTACCTGTATGATATCATGACAATGCTACCTCTATGATGTCATGACAGTGCTACCTCTATGATGTCATGACAGTGCTACCTCTATGATGTCATGACAGTGCTACCTCTATGATGTCATGACAGTGCTACCTCTATGATGTCATGACAATGGTACCTTGATAATGTCAGCCTCCCTGTTCTGAAGCAGCTCTGTAAACTTGTACTTGAGAAAAAAATCATCCTTGATGGCCTCGTAGGCCGGAAGTACCCGCCCACACACCTCGACCACAGCATGGCGGATGTCGGGGAATATCTTGAGGGACCTGTTCCCCCACATGGTCAGGTGAGACACCTGGAGAAACACACACACAGTGAAGGACCTGTTCCCCCACATAGTCAGGTGAGACACCTGGAGAAACACACACACACACAGTGATGGACCTGTTTCCCCACATGGTCAGGTGAGACACCTGGAGAAACACACACAGACACATTTGGTGGTGTCTTATGGGTAGGTCAGGTCTACTGGTGCCAGGCAGAACTGAGACAGGTGAAGACATGTGTACAGGTGACAGGCAGAACTGAGACAGGTAAAGACAGGTGACAGGCAGAACTGAGACAGGTAAAGACAGGTGACAGGCAGAACTGAGACAGGTGAAGACATGTCTACAGGTGACCTTGTATGGCAGGTAGAGGGAAGGTCAAGGTTGTGGTGGAACTGACCTTGTCCACTGAGATGTTCAACATCCGGGCAATCATAGACTGGGCTCTGTTGTGGTCAACCCGCGACAACCCGGTCAGGTTGGCGGGTTTTATGCTTGGGGCAAAATAGCTGAAAGAAGGGGGGGATATGTTAGTGTGGGGATGTGGGTTGGCAGAGAAATGTTAGCGTGGGGATGTGGGTTGGCAGAGAAATGTTAGTGTGGGGATGTGGGTTGGCAGGAAAATGTTAGTGTGGGGATGTGGGTTGACAGGAAAATGTTAGTGTGGGGATGTGGGTTGGCAGGAAAATGTTAGTGTGGGGATGTGGGTTGGCAGGAAAATGTTAGTGTGGGGATGTGGGTTGGCAGGGAAATGTTAGTGTGGGGATGTGGGTTGGCAGGAAAATGTTAGTGTGGGGATGTGGGTTGGCAGGAAAATGTTAGTGTGGGGATGTGGGTTGGCAGGGAAATGTTAGTGTGGGGATGTGGGTTGGCAGGGAAATGTTAGTGTGGGGATGTGGGTTGGCAGGAAAATGTTAGTGTGGGGATGTGGGTTGGCAGGAAAATGTTAGTGTGGGGATGTGGGTTGGCAGGAAAATGTTAGTGTGGGGATGTGGGTTGGCAGGAAAATGTTAGTGTGGGGATGTGGGTTGGCAGGAAAATGTTAGTGTGGGGATGTGGGTTGGCAGGAAAATGTTAGTGTGGGGATGTGGGTTGGCAGGAAAATGTTAGTGTGGGGATGTGGGTTGGCAGGGAAATGTTAGTGTGGGGATGTGGGTTGGCAGGGAAATGTTAGTGTGGGGATGTGGGTTGGCAGGAAAATATTAGTGTGGGGATGTGGGTTGGCAGAGAAATGTTAGTGTGGGGATGTGGGTTGGCAGAAAAATGTTAGTGTGGGGATGTGGGTTGGCAGGGAAATGTTAGTGTGGGGATGTGGGTTGGCAGGAAAATATTAGTGTGGGGATGTGGGTTGGCAGAGAAATGTTAGTGTGGGGATGTGGGTTGGCAGAAAAATGTTAGTGTGGGGATGTGGGTTGGCAGGAAAATGTTAGTGTGGGGATGTGGGTTGGCAGGAAAATGTTAGTGTGGGGATGTGGGTTGGAAGGAAAATGTTAGTGTAGGGATGTGGGTTTACACCTCTACCCTGCTGTCCTGTAACTATAGCTTACCTCACCACCACAACATTACCTCACCACAACACCACATTAGCTCAGCACAACACCACATTACCTCACCACAACACCACATTAGCTCAGCACAACACCACATTACCTCACCACAACACCACATTAGCTCAGCACAACACCACATTACCTCACCACAACACCACATTAGCTCAGCACAACACCACATTACCTCACCACAACACCACATTAGCTCACCACAACACCACATTAGCTCACCACAACACCACATTACCTCAGCACCATCAAGTTGATATTCTGCGGCTCCACCACCATTAAGATCTTTACGCTGTCCTTGGCCACTTTTGACAGGACCAGACCAACCTCCTAAAAAATCATGTCAATATAAACACAGATTTTCTTCAATATGGTCACACGGTATGTTCTTTTGAATTTCTGATAATGTCAATATTTGAAATTTAAGTTTAATCTAATAATGCGGGAGTGATCTCCCCTAAACTTTCGTGAATATGCTTATATAACATTATGGGGGATGGCAACTCCGGATATCCGGTCAACGGTCAACTTAAAATTTAACAGAAGGCAGATAGTTAGATCTTTTATTTATATGTGAAATTTTGTTGATCCATCTGAAACACTACTCAAGTTATATGCTTTTGGAAAAATTGAAAGTAGATTAAGTTTCACTTCCGGTTATCGGAAATTGCTGAAAAGTTGACACAGAACTACAAATTTGATATGATACGTATATGAAATTTCATTAACCTAGCTGTAACGGTACTCAAGTTATCGTGTTCACAGACACGCATACACACACACGGACAGAATTGCAACGCCCAGTTTTTCCGACTCAATTACTCATAGAACGCTGAAATTTTGATAAATCTTGATTTATAATTTTTGCCCGATTAAAATAAGTCCCCTATACTCCATACATTATGAAGTAATGATAAGTAAAACGATGAAAACTGTCAAAATTGCATGTGATTTGTATACACGATTATAATACTTCCTCTATACTCTGTATACAAGAAAGTAAAAAGTAAACGCTGTACATCAGACTACACAATACTAAATAGAAATGTTACCGTCCTTCACCTTGAACTCTAACGCGTTCACACCGATGACGTCATTGCGCGTGTAGCCAGGCGCCGCGTACAGCCCGCCCGACAAGATGATGACGTCAGCGTCTGTAAAAGCCTGGTGGAGATTGTCTGTGGATACGAAGTTCCTCACCAGCCTCAGGTCGCTCATCCCTAGCTGTAGGACATCAAGGGAGGGGTCAATTGTAGGGTCAAGGTAACTCATGGGTCATTAGTAGTGTCAAGGTAATTCAGGGTCAATAGTAGGGTCAAGGTAATTCAGGGTCAATTGTAGGGTCAAGGTAAATCCAGGGGCAATAATAGGGTCAATGTAACCCAGGGTCAGTAGTAGGGTCAAAGTAATTCAGCGTCAATAGTAGGGTCAAGGTAAATTCAGGGGCAATAATTGGGTCAAGTTAAATCCAGGGTAGGGTCAAGGTAAGCCACGGGTCAGTAGTAGGGTCAATGTAACCCAGGGTCATTAGTCTGGTCAAGGTAACTCAAGCTTGCGAAGCAGTACCACAATACCCGACAACCTCTTATTACTAAGAACCTACCTTAGTACTAAGAAAACCTACCTGAGACAACCTCCCTTAGAAAACCTCCCTGAGAAAACCTCCCTGAGACAACCTCCCTGAGACAACCTACCTTAGTACTGAGAAAACCTACCTTAGTACTGAGAAAACCTACCTGAGACAACCTCCCTGAGACAACCTACCTGAGACAACCTCCCTGAGACAACCTACCTGAGACAACCTCCCTGAGACAACCTACCTCGCTGAGCGCGCCCCGAAGCTGCTTCATCCTTGACCTGTTCTCCACGAGCACGAGGTCCATCATCTGTGTCAGGCCGTACACGTCACCTTTGGCCAGCAGGTAGCAGATGGTCAAGCCGATCTCACTGCTGGCACCAGTCACCACGACCTTCAGGATCTTGCTCGACATTTCTGTACAAAGGTACGCTACATTACTAGGGGGCCCCGCAAGTAAGCTACATTACTAGGGGCCCCCTCGAGTAGGCTACATTACTAGGGGCCCCGCAAGTAGGCTACATTACTAGGGCCCCCCCTCGAGTAGGCTACATTACTAGGGGCCCTCTCAAGTAGGCTACATTACTAGGGGCCACCTCGAGTAGGCTACATTACTAGGGGCCCCCCTCGAGTAGGCTACATTACTAGGGCCCCCCTCGAGTAGGCTGCATTACTAGGGGCCACCTCGAGTAGGCTACATTACTAGGGGCCACCTCGAGTAGGCTACATTACTAGGGGCCCCCTCGAGTAGGCTACATTACTAGGGGCCCCCTCGAGTAGGCTACATTACTAGGGGCCCCCTCGAGTAGGCTACATTACTAGGGCCCCCCTCGAGTACGCTACATTACTAATGGGCCCCCTCGAGTAGGCTACATTACTAGGGGCGCCTCGAGTAGGCTACATTACTAGGGGCCACCTCGAGTAGGCTACATTACTAGGGGCGCCTCGAGTAGGCTACATTACTAGGGGCCACCTCGAGTAGGCTACATTACTAGGGGCCCCATCGAGTAGGCTGCATTACTAGGGGCCATCTGCAAGTAGGCTACATTACTGTGGAACCCGCAAGTAGGCTACTTTACTAGGGCCCCCCGCATGTATGCTACAGTACTGGGGCCCCGCGTGTATGCTACAGTACTAGGGACCCCGTACGAAGGGACCCAAAAGTAAAGTAACGCATGTTTTATAATATTTATTGTTCATTATTAACTGTGATATATATATATATATATATATATATATATATATATATATATATATATATATATATATATATATATATATATATATATATATATATATATATATATATATATATATATATACATATCATGACTGATCCAACAAAGGTCACTGCCATCCGAAGTTACAGACACACCAAATCACAGACTTCAAGTCCATGTAATTTATTCTAGACCATTATTGATGATAGGAACCCTTTGAGGTCATCGACCTTATTCTAGAGACAACAGACCCGTAGGTTAGACACACGCTCCCACTTAGTACTTTGTTTATTAAGAGAGGACTTAATGAGTTTAAAAGCTGCTAATTAAATGTACATCAATCTGCAATTAATCTTAAGCCTAACAAAAGGGCTGGTACTAACTTGTATTTAACCAAGGCGGTATTTATTTATGTTGTCTTTGGCGGGAGCGTTCAACAGTCGTCTGTCTTGGTGCTAGAATGGCATGTTTCACATCTTGGTGTGCACTAGGCTCAACTGTAGCGGTGCCAGACCACGATCTATCAGATGTCCGTTATAAACTTGGAGCTGTGAGCTCAGCTAACTCTGACCAAGTATATCTTAGAGAAGGGTTTATTGTGATGGAAACTGGAATGTCACTACAAACCCCTGTAAAGTCACTACAAACCCCTGTAAAGTCACTACAAACCCCTGTAAAGTCACTACAAACCCCTGTAAAGTCACTACGAAACCCTGTAAAGTCACTACGAAACCCTGGAATGTCACTAAGAACCCCTAGAATGTCATTACGAGCCCCTGTAAAGTCACTACGAAACCCTGTAAAGTCACTACGAAACCCTGTAAAGTCACTACGAAACCCTGGAATGTCAGTAAGAACCCCTAGAATGTCATTACGAGCCCCTGTAAAGTCACTACGAAACCCTGTAAAGTCACTACGAAACCCTGTAAAGTCACTACGAAACCCTGGAAAGTCACTACTAACCACTGACTGTGTACTTATAAGTGCTAACAGCTTTCTGTTTATCGAATAAATACATTGTCGTTAAATATCAAACATGTTTTAAATCAAAATCGGAGAAATTGAGATCCAGGGCAAAAAAATATGTTTGAAAAGTAATTAGCAGACCTCAGTGAAACTTAAACAAGGTCCATAGGTCGATATTTCATTCTTTGGTCGACATCAATACCGTTATTTGGAAACGTTTAGGATAATATCCAGTCAAATTCGACAACATCAAAGGCGGAACTAAACGGGGTGAAACGTCTAATTCATAGAGCCTTTTTTATTGGAACACTACTTCAGTAGGACGTGTGTTTCATTGAACCATTGGACCCCTGTTTCAATGGGTGCACTGTTTCATTGAACCATTGGACCCTGTTTCAATGGGTGCACTGTTTCATTGAACCATTGGACCCTGTTTCAATGGGTGCACTGTTTCATTGATTGAACCATTGGACCCCTGTTTCAATGGGTGCACTCTTTCATTGAACCATTGGACCCATGTTTCAATGGGTGCACTGTTTCATTGAACCATTGGACCCCTGTTTCAATGGGTGCACTGTTTCATTGAACCATTGGACCCCTGTTTCAATGGGTGCACTGTTTCATTGAACCATTGGACCCCTGTTTCAATGGGTGCACTCTTTCATTGAAGCATTGGACCCCTGTTTCAATGGGTGCACTGTTTCATTGAACCATTGGACCCCTGTTTCAATGGGTGCACTGTTTCATTGAACCATTGGACCCCTGTTTCAATGGGTGCACTCTTTCATTGAGCCATTGGACCCCTGTTTCAATGGGTGCACTGTTTCATTGAGCCCTTTTGTATTGGACCCATGTTTCATTGAGCCCTTTTGTATTGGGCCCATGTTTCATTGAGCCCTTTTGTATTGGGCCCATGTTTCATTGAGCCCTTTTGTATTGGACCCATGTTTCATTGAGCCCTTTTGTATTGGGCCCATGTTTCATTGAGCCCTTTTGTATTGGGCCCCTGTTTCATTAGGCCCGCTGTTGTATAGAGCCCTTTTATTGGACCCCTAATTCATTGGGACCCCTGTTTCATTGGGTTCGCTGTTTCATTTAATCAGATGCAATGTAAATTAATTCCATCGGTGTAGCTGGGAAGGGGGGGGGGCGTTGGACCGTTGAACATGAAGGTGTCGCTACGCCTCTGGTTTATATTCTGCTAACATTTCAATTTTTGTGTTAAGTTTCATCTTTATTTGCACACGTCCACCCTTTGCGTGCCGAGGTAAAATGGCGGTCAGTGCCATTAAGTTCCATCACGCTGTTGTTTGGGTGATTTAAAGTTCAAAGAATTTAACTCAATGACCCACCAGACTGCCAAAGCTCTGAGGTAAATGTTTGTAATAAGCTCCAATACGAGAATCTTTGATATAAGTGGATGATATTAGTTCAACACAATGTAAACACAGCGCTAGAGTTCATGTTTGGCTTTGTGCATCATCCACGTGGGCTAACTTTTATCTGGCAACTTTGATTCCATTGTGATGGCGCTGATTGCCCAATGTTTGGGCGGGCTAGAGAAGGGAGATAACACGGTACAAAGCAGCGGTTGCTATACAACATTGGTTTCTATTGGTTGACGGGGTAACTAAACAATGTGAGTGATCTCCCCTTGACGTGTCAACTCTATAACACTTCACCCACAAGGTTGGATTCTGTATGGGTGGTGCCTGGGTAGAATGTAGAGGCATGTGAAGAACTAGGGTTTAAAATTTATTGTAAGTCAAAGAACAGAATTTTATTCCACGGAAATTTCAAACGTTACATACTAAAATCACGTGATTAATCTTACTCTGTCTACAGTTCAGTCTCCCGTTCAAGTCTTGGATTATGCGTGTGAAGATGTGTCTTTTCAAATGTCTTCTCCCTGTGGCTCCTGCGTTGGTACTCACTCTAAGTATGCTATCGGTGCGATCCAGCGAGGGTCAGTCGGACACACCAGACACACCAGACACACCAGACAGGTGCAGCAGACAGCTGTTCTGCTCAGATGAGTTCAGCACCAACAGCCCTGAGCCATGGGTCTGCACGGCTGACCGCGCGCAGGGGAGGGTTTGTTCCTGCGACATGGACTGTATAGCTTATGGCGACTGCTGCGCCGACACGTTTGGCAAGTGTTTTAACATGACTCACACCTGGGAGACTGTCGCGCTGATAGAGGACAAGCTCGGTCAGGTGGCCAATGTGAAGGACGGTGTGGGTTTCATGGCCAGGTACGTCGAGTGTGTGCGCCTGGTGCCGCAGGAGCCCCAGAGTCTCTGGGTAGTCTCGCGATGTCCCGAGACTGTCCGAGATCTCAGCACCAAACACCTCTGCGAACAACCGGCCATTTTGCCCGTGAGTGGTCACGTGGGTGAGATGACGGTCGTGTTTCTCAACGTTCACTGCGCCTCGTGTCACGGTGTGGGCGAGACAGTCACGTGGACGGTAGACATGGGCGTGGCGGGGTGCCGGCTGTTGGTAGCACAACTCGGCGATTCCAGTCAGTGCTACATCACCTTCAAGCCCCCCAAACACCTCCCCCCTCCCCGGGCCTGCCTCCCGGACACCCAGCTGACTGAGGTCGAGCTGACCCAGCTTGAGACCAGTTCTTGCAGCAGGGAGGAGAAACTCCTGTGCCAGAGCTACTTCTTCCCCACCCTCGGCTTTAAAAACCACCACTGCCAGAACTGCCTGTCCCCGGACATCTATCGCCGGTCCGGTGTCTTGCGAGACGAGTGCTTGTCTTCCAACATACCCGTCCAGCTGTGGGGTGGGATTCTCAACATGTTCGGCACCGACTCCAACGACCCGTCGAAGACACTTGGGTGTAGAGACTCCCAGGTGTTAGACCCAGCATCAGGCCGGTGCCAGGATCTAGTCTGCAGCTACGGGGAGCAGCCACGTCACGGCGTCTGTTTGCTGCATACAGCACCTGTCGTCATCGCCGGCACGACTCAGCTCTTCCCCAGTACCTGGCAAACGCTCCACCTTTTCATGAATCTTTCTCGCCCCCAGTTGTGTGAGGACCTGGAATATGAGTTAGGTCCTAGTGAGTCTGGCTGGATCTTGTCCAATGTCACCATAAACGTCCACACCAACCACACGACCACGGGGACAGCTGGCACAGCGACACCTGTGGTGGCCAACCACACGACCACGGGGACAGCTGGCACAGCGACACCTGTGTTGGCCAACCCAAACACGGGCACAGCGACACCTGTGGTGGCCAACCCAAACACGGGCACAGCGACACCTGCGGTGGCCAACCCAAACACGGGCACAGCGACACCTGTGGTGGCCAACCAGACTAAATTCCCGTGCACCGAGGACTCCGCGGAGAAACCCACGCTAACCGGGTCAGTCGTGTGTGTCGGCCAGTGTAAGCTGACCGTAGACTTTTTTAGGGAGATACGGAAATACGTCAACCAGTTTCTGAAGTTAAACTTAAATGCTTTCTCCTCGCGACTCTTCCTAACCAACATGGCGGACGACAAACATGGCGAGTGCCAAGATGGCGGTGTGCTGATGAGCTACACAGACGTGAAGCTGCTGGACAAGGACGGCGTCGTGTACACGATGGTCAACACATCGACACACACCCTGCTGTACCCCCTGCGTCATGTTGGTCTGGAAATAATGATCAACTCAGCCTCCGCCATCTTTAGCTTCGTCATCCACGTCTGCCAACAGCCCGAGGAACTGTTCGATAAAAACTGCTCCGTCGTGGCCTACCCGCTGAACGAAACAAAACTCAACGGCACGGAGCTGTACCACGTGCTCTCAGACAAATCCTACTCGCGACAGTTCTACAAGCTTCTCAAAGACCGTGTTTTGGTGTGCACAGACTTCCGGTTCGCCGGATGGGAGTCGGACGATGACCCGCTGATGACCATCCATCTAGCCGTAGGGGGCGTGTCCACTCTGCTGCTCGTCTCCCTCCTGCTGGTCTACTGCAGGTTCCCACAGTTACGTAACCTGCCAGGTAAGCTGACGGCAAGCCTGGCGGCGACCATGGCCTTGACCTTTCTCTTCCAGATGCTCAGCACTACTGGTATCCACGGGGAGATGCTGTGTCGCGTGTTGGCTGTCCTGGACCACGTGATAGTTCTGGCGCAGTTCGGTTGGACGTCGGCGTTTGCTTTGAACATGGCCTTGACCTTCGGGTCCAGTAAACTGTTTGTAATTATGTCTGATCACGTGACCTATTTAAGATACAGCTGTGTTGTGTGGGGCAGCTCGACCTTCATAGTCAGCACGGCACTCGTCCTTGACCTAACTCACACGGAAGCAGACGACGCGCAGGGTGACGTCAGTACCCAAGACGTGCACATTTCTGCAGCAACTTCCAAGGACCCGAGCTACCCCCGCTACGGTCAGAAAGACTGCATCTGGTTTGCCGGCCCACCCTGGTCGGTCATCGTCTTCTCTATCACACCCTTCGCCGTCTCCTACGTCATCAATATCGTCTGCTTCTTCGCGACGGTCGCCGGCATACACAGATCTGCGCAGCGAGCAAAAACTCTGGGCAAGAAAAAATCTGGGCTGCCTACCTACGTCATAGCGGTCAAGCTGTCTACAGCCATGGGCTTCTTCTGGCTCTTGAATCTCCTCAACTCTTTTATTCACGAAGCAGTCCTGAAATATATCTTCGTGGTGTTTTGTTTACTGCAAGGCTCTTTCTTGTTTTTGGCCTTCGTGCTCAATGGGCGTGTCTTCGATCTTCTCTTCAGAAAAGTTGAGGGAACGAACTCATCGGCTGTGTCAAGGGAAGTCACTACCGCTACTTTTAAAAAAATTTAAAACCACAAACTAATTTTCGTTAAAATTTAATGTAAATTCCACAGTAAAATCTAAATCAGGGGTCTCAAAACTTTTCAGTCCGAGGGCCGCATTGACTATTAAATTTCAGTTCGGGGGCCAGTTTCTTCCAGGCATGTCTTTGATTTTTCTGGGCAAAGTTCCTCAGCCATCACGAACAAACGTTTTTTCCTTGGACAAAAAGATCTCCGCGGGCCGGATGAGAGAATATCGCGGGCCGCATCCGGCCCGCGGGCCGTAGTTTGGAGACCCCTGATCTAAATGCACGTTTTTATTTCGTAATTATTTTTACTACAGCTAGCATCTAGTCGAAATCATTCGATTTATTAAATTTTAATTATTAAAATTTTAATTAGACCTATATCCATGTGTTATGTTAAGTTCTGTTTTGCTTAGGGGTCGTCCATAAATGACGTAACACTCGTAGGGGGGAGGGGGGTCGCTAATTTTGTGACGATGTGTGATGAGGGGGAGGGGGGTTCAGATGGTGCGACGTCACACTTTTGCTTTATAGATAAGAAATGCTAGAAAACGAATTTTAGACGTTATTTAGCGTTTTAGAAAACAGTTTTAATAAATTATAATAGGAATTGATTAAAATACTCTATTTTGACATATTTCAGTCAAGATTTTGGAAAAATATCGATGTTTAAAAAAAAAATTCAACTGCAATTTTGAGGGGGGGGGGGGAGGTTGTAGGCTGAGGTGTGACGTCATTTTAGGGGGGGGGGTCTGGCTTTTTGTGACGACGTGTGACGGAGGGGAGGTAAAAAACGTCAAAAAAAGCGTGATGTCATTTATGGATGACCCCTTATCCAATATTCCGTTTAGCATTATTTATTTAGATTGTCGTCAGCGTTTCTGTCAGACTTCGCCGGGGAGGGGGTGGGCACTGTAAAAAATATATATTTCCTATATAAATTCCACTATGTTCGGGAAACCGCCCCCCCCCCCCCCCAGAAGCAAGGAAACTGATTGTAGATCTACAACTAAATCTAGTAGTTGATTATTTTAAAGCTGCTAATTTTTTATTTTTTTTAATCAATAGAACCATAAATTTGGCAGAAACTAGTAATATGAATCTACAATGGCTTTGATATTAGTATATTTTCGTATATTTTTATAAAATCAAGATAATTTAATAATTAAAAAAACCATAAGGGCTAAATCAATAAAAATGTAATGAAATTAACTTTTAACGATGTCTGAGATATGATTATGGATTTATTTTCACGAAGCCTAAATTATAACCAGTAGTTTCACTTTTGTAAGACAAGCACTGATTGGCTGTACAGAAATGCCATGATCTTCTCTAAACTTCACTTTGTGTAATTTATATACAAAACTTTGCCAAAAAACAAAATTGTTTCAGAGTTTTTTTTTTTAAATTTTGTTCTGTTACTAAAAATTAGAAAAACATCCAAAATCTTTAGTAAAGTCTGACAAAACCTCACAGTAAGTTTTTATAATTACATTGTTTTTAATAAGAACGCACACAATTTAAAAATATTCAATGAACGCAAGACTATTCTCATTGGACATTTAACACCAGACTAGATCTTATTAGTCCTAATTACATACCTTAATTATTATTTAATGAATTGTTATTAATATTAAAAACCATACATTTATTATCAGACTTACAAAAAAAATTTTTAGCAAACACCTACAACAGAAAAAAGTTCTAAAGTTCTAGATTATTTGTGCCTGGGCATAGTGATAACCAGGGGTGTAGCGAGGGGAGGGGGCGGGGATGCGGACCGCACCGGGTGACACCCGACCTCGCTACGCCACTGGTAATAACCTTACTGTCCCTTCTATCCTAACTACTACAGGTACAATTGGTACACACTAGGTAAGGGCTACCTTCAAAACAAACAAATATTTCAAGAAATGGAGAAATCAATTTATTGTAATTTGCAAATAAGAAAATCCTTCAACATAAGAATCAAATTGCATTCCCACTCACACATCCAATACACCAGCAAACACAAGCAGACCTTCAGAAAAATGCAAACATACACACTGAAATGGAGAAATGTTAAATACAACACCTCAATGTATTTACAGAACATATCCTAAGTGATACAAAAATTTTAAATGTAAAATTTTCTACTTTCATTCTCTTGAAGAGACTTCAGTCAAAGAATTATTGACTTTTTGCAGCCAGAACTTCGGTAGCCAGAAAGGCAACCTTTATTCTAGGCATAAAAATGTACAGGTGGTGTTAAGTGTTTGGTTTGTTAATAGAGAAAAATAATGGTAGGCTAATCTTATTTCACTTTACAGAGCAGGAACTCAGTGTTGTGATTGTAAAGTACATTTCTAGCTCTGTTTTTCCACTTTGTATTCTTGATAAAAACCAATATAAAATATGACTTTGTTATTATATCTCAGTCATCAAGTCAGGTTTAGCCCACCTAGTGTGACAGTGACTGAAACAATTACCCTCAAGAGGGCCAAGTATTAGAGCCTGCTCGACCAAAAGTTGACCATTGTATTAGCAGAGGGTCCAACTTTTGAATCAAAAACTTTAAAAACACACATAATTCTTCAGGATGGCAAGTACACAAATGCCAACACTAGCTGTAATTTAACCAAAAATGCCTACATTAGCCAACCTTCAACCAATCTAAATACTGCCTAAGAGATCCAGCAAAACAGAAAAAACGTCAACTACACACATTAATTATAGTGTGTCTGAACTACACACATTAATATTAGTGCGTCAGTTATGGTGTAATTCAAAGTGCACTATACACTCATTCTGGTAAGACTATTTAGCTGGATTTAATTTAAAGGAACTTGTTGGACCATTCATAAATTAATCTGTTGATTGAACTGACATGTTGTGAGGTGCACAGTACAGGGAGGCTGCACTAGTCACAAATAAATGACTTTCAGTTAGAGGTAAAAATAAACAACTGTTACAAAATAAATATTTTATGTACAAGTGAAGGTTTACAGTAGTGGTGGCCATAGAAATGGATGGTTTACAGCACTTCTGGCTATCCTGTGTCTAAATGTCCTCTATGGTCCCTTCAGAGATGTTGATCATGTGAGGAAATGGTACCTGAGACAGACATTAGCAACAATAAATTATGTGGTACCTGAGACAGACATTAGCAACAATAAATTATGTGGTACCTGAGACAGACATTAGCAACAATAAATTATGTGGTACCTGAGACAGACATTAGCAACAATAAATTATGTGGTACCTGAGACAGACATTAGCAACAATAAATTATGTGGTACCTGAGACAGACATTAGCAACAATAAATTATGTGGTACCTGAGACAGACATTAGCAACAATAAATTATGTGGTACCTGAGACAGACATTAGCAACAATAAATTATGTGGTACCTGAGACAGACATTAGCAACAATAAATTATGTGGTACCTGAGACAGACATTAGCAACAATAAATTATGTGGTACCTGAGACAGACATTAGCAACAATAAATTATGTGGTACCTGAGACAGACATTAGCAACAATAAATTATGTGGTATCTGAGACAGACATTAGCAACAATAAATTATGTGGGCAAATGGTACCTGAGACAGACATTAGCAACAATAAATTATGTGGTACCTGAGACAGACATTAGCAACAATAAATTATGTGGTACCTGAGACAGACATTAGCAACAATAAATTATGTGGTACCTGAGACAGACATTAGCAACAATAAATTATGTGGTACCTGAGACAGACATTAGCAACAATAAATTATGTGGTACCTGAGACAGACATTAGCAACAATAAATTATGTGGTACCTGAGACAGACATTAGCAACAATAAATTATGTGGTACCTGAGACAGACATTAGCAACAATAAATTATGTGGTACCTGAGACAGACATTAGCAACAATAAATTATGTGGTACCTGAGACAGACATTAGCAACAATAAATTATGTGGTACCTGAGACAGACATTAGCAACAATAAATTATGTGGTACCTGAGACAGACATTAGCAACAATAAATTATGTGGTACCTGAGACAGACATTAGCAACAATAAATTATGTGGTACCTGAGACAGACAATAGACACAATAAATTATGTGGTACCTGAGACAGACATTAGACACAATAAATTATGTGGTACCTGAGACAGACATTAGACACAATAAATTATGTGGTACCTGAGACAGACATTGGCAACAATAAATTATGTGGTACCTGAGACAGACATTAGACACAATAAATTATGTGGTACCTGAGACAGACATTACACAATAAATTATGTGGTACCTGAGACAGACATTGGCAACAATAAATTATGTGGTACCTGAGACAGACATTGGCAACAATAAATTATGTGGTACCTGAGACAGACATTGGCAACAATAAATTATGTGGTACCTGAGACAGACATTAGACACAATAAATTATGTGGTACCTGAGACAGACATTGGCAACAATAAATTATGTGGTACCTGAGACAGACATTGGCAACAATAAATTATGTGGTACCTGAGACAGACATTGGCAACAATAAATTATGTGGTACCTGAGACAGACATTAGCAACAATAAATTATGTGGTACCTGAGACAGACATTAGACACAATAAATTATGTGGACGAATTGTACCAGACAGACATTAGACACAATTTATTTATATACAAGTTATATATTACTAAAATAAATGGCAACTTCACTACAACCAACATTATAATCTCAGTTAAAATACTGGACTGTATTGATTGTTAATGTATTCTACAACAGTGTAACTGCCAATGAAATGATGGTTAAATGTTGAAGTGCTATAAAACTATAACTGCCAATGTAACTATTAACTATTTAGGTGTTCTGAAACCAAGTCTAACCTTCCTTTTGTCCAGTTCTTCCTGAGCCCACAACAGCAGTTTAAGGAGATTAGCAAGACGTGGAGTTGCATCAGTTTCCAAGATGGCAGCATTCACTTCACTGGCCACCTAAGGTGTTCATTATAGTTAAAACAATGGCTGTAAAATTGAGCACAAACAGCCATGCCTAGATGTAATACACAGCTAGCTTATATTCTCATGATATACAACAACCTTTATACACTGGACTTCATTTAGTGATGGCCTATTTATGTTTTTTTTTTGTTGTAATAGTTTTCTCTCATTTATTACAGTACTTGGCCTAGCTAATTAGTTAATTGTCATTTATCTACCTGTAGATAGTGTATACTTTATTGATTTATCCTTTAACATAAATCAGTTCTGTCATACAAGTACTAAAAAGCCCTTAATTACTTTGACATCTCAATTAGTTTTAATGAAAATACTACAAAACTGTGGACATTTAGGACCATCACTTCTATGATGAAAATATATTTCTCCAGTTATGTCCCTTTCTATTAAAATAATATTATTGACCTTTTGCCTTTGTGAGGGGTGCAGCAGTTCACCAAATGGGGAATGTTCTGGGTTGTCAAATGCCAGTAGTGCTAATGTTTTTTCTAGCTCAGGCAAAACATTTGGGTTCTCCTCCACCCTCTCAGACAGCCTGCTCTGGGCGTAGTTCAAGGCCTTCTCCAGGTCTTTCTTCTTGATCAGCTCTATCAACTGCTGCTGCTGTTAAAGTGGGAAACAACATCAGTTACAGAAATTTAGGTCTAAAAACACTCACACACATCTAAGGACTAAAAAAAAAAAATTAAACCAAACTCTAGAAACTAACAAAATATGAATATATAATGGGGTTTTTGTAATAGTTCACATTATCATATTATAACATAAATTTTTTTCAGTTATGATGAAAACTATGCATCTATAGGCTACCTGGAGTCTGAAAAATAAATATCTGTCGTTGTCCAGAAGTTCTGGGTACAAGGAGTTTATGATAGCAATGGCTTCCATAACCCTGCCCTCAAGAATAGCTTGACGGATGCGGATTCTGTCATCCAAGCTATCCAGGTTAACAGTAGGTGTTACTCCAGACTCAGCACTGAATTTTTCAGCTGCCTCTTTGAAGCCCTCTGTAGGAGGAATAGAGAAGCAAGTTGATCAGTCTATGTACAGTTAAAATATTGGAAGTTGTGGAGGAATACAGAAGCAAGTTGATCAGTCTATGTACAGTTAAAATATTGGAAGTTGTGGAGGAATAGAGAAGCAAGTTGATCAGTCTATGTACAGTTAAAATATTGGAAGTTGTGGAGGAATAGAGAAGCAAGTTGATGAGTCTATGTACAGTTAAAATATTGGAAGTTGCGGAGGAATAGAGAAGTTGATCAGTCTATGTACAGTTAAAATATTGGAAGTTGTGGAGGAATAGAGAAGCAAGTTGATCAGTCTATGTACAGTTAAAATATTGGAAGTTGTGGAGGAATAGAGAAGCAAGTTGATCAGTCTATGTACAGTTAAAATATTGGAAGTTGTGGAGGAATAGAGAAGCAAGTTGATCAGTCTATGTACAGTTAAAATATTGGAAGTTGTGGAGGAATAGAGAATCAAGTTGATCAGTCTATGTACAGTTAAAATATTGGAAGTTGTGGAGGAGTATATTGTAGATACTTTTAATCTTTGTAATCAAAGAATTTTATAAATTACAGGGATCTAAAAGTTTTAAGATTAAAATAAAAATGTATTGAGATCATTGAGAAATATGAGGCTTTTCTAAGGTCTTCACAGTTTATTGATGGTGGGACAAAAAAGTTTTAATGCAGTTCTTACAGTAAAGCATATAATTAATTAGCATTCAGGAATTCACAATGTCATAAACAAATTAAATTTAAACAAAATTATTTTAACTACATACAGGGTGTGTGTATGAGTTAAAGAGGTGTGTTGGCAGTATATGGAATGTCAACATCAGAGGGGCAGCATTGTGGTGATAAGGATTGGGGATGCTAGTGGGATGGGCCAGCATCAATAGGGAAAGTTGAGGTGGTTAGACATGGAACTGACAACACTATCCCTTCATGAATATGAAACAGGTCAACTCTACCTCCCCAATCGAGTACAAAAGGATATCTAAAGAGTGGGGTATATTTTTTTTATAGGTGACAGGCTCCAATCTTTTTCCCTGTTTTTTATAACATAATGATGGATTAAGCTGATGAATTTTGGGGACAGCCAATAGAGCTGTAGAGGTCAAGTTTAAATCAATTTTAAGAAGTTGATATGGCACATGCAGCTCTGATAGTTCTTGACAATGATACAATTAGGGAAAATAAAGGCTCTTGGGCAAAGAACTAAATTTCATTTGAAATGGTCACAGAAATAAAGACAACATATTTGTTCTCAGGTAGATGAGGCAATATAAATAATGTTTATGCATCAACCAACCTGTAACCAGATAATTCATTATCAGCTTATTCATGTCTGCTCGTCCAACATGTTGACTCATTAACTGTTTCATCCAGCTGTCCCTAGTTAACTTTTCTTCTACTCTGTCAGAACTGCTACTCATCTTTGCTGGACAAGATTCAAACACTTGCCAGCTGGGGAAAATATACATAAGATAAAGATGCTGATGCTTTAAAATTTGGCAGATGCTAGCCGGAAAAAGATATGCATGCGCAATGGAGAGCAACTACGACTTTCCATCACAGCGATGTTTTCGATGGTACTGCGCATGTGTGTTTACAACCGCAGAACCCTAACCCTATCCCTCATCCTATCTCTAATCCTATCCCTAACCCTAGCTCTAACCCTATCCCTAACCCTAACCCTAGCCATAGGTCACTGCGCAAAAATCTTTTTCGGAGTAGTCACTTCGTTAAAATTTGTATTGGATAATTAAATTTAAAGATTTAGGCCTTGCCCTAAAGTATAATAAGTGCTCTTTGATTAGGCCTATGACTTATGACTATGGACTAGCTAGTCCTAACTAGTAACTAGACCTAGATCTAGTAACTAACTACTAACTTATTACTTAACTAACTACTAACTACTATTATTACGAAATGGCAAACTCCATAAATTCAAGACTGTCCTTAGTGTCCTAGAAAAAAATCTAGATTAGATCTGATTACTACTCACTCACTCAGAGACTACTCTTCTAGAAGAAGCTAGATTAGATCTAGTCTAACTCTAGATCTAGATTCTAGATCTAGTATCTAAATTTAGTAAAGACTGGTAAAGTAAGTTTTTAAAGTTAAGTATTAGAAAGATAGATCTAGACTAGTAGATTCTAGAATCTAGAATCTACTAGTCTAAGTCTAGATGATCCTAGACTAAGACTAGAGTAGATTTAGAAGAAAGATTTATATCTAAATTTATAATAATTAGGCCTAGGCCTATAAACTTACTAGAGATTCTATATATATTATATAAAGTATAATTAAATAATTAGTTAATTAGGCCTAATACTAATAATGTAATAATAAACTTTAAGTTAAGAGTTAAAAACTCAGTTAAGATACTTTTCTAGTTTCTAGATCTAGATCTAGATCTAGATCTAGATCTAGACCTAGAGATTCTAGATCTAAGTTACTGAGAAAAAGCCTAAAAATTAAAACAACTGACTAGATTTTTAGATTAGATCTAGATCTAGACCTAGAATTCTAGATCTCAACGATCAATCAATACAACTTATACAACAGTAATGAGAGTAAACTTATTCTTTACGCTGATCAGAAAACAAGTTACTTTTCTTGTTATTAAAATTTGCAATCAAATGACCAGACTATTTTAGTTACCATTTCGGCAAATTTGGTTAGCAAGAATGCCACATTGACGCATCATAAATAAACGACTCAGGTCAGATTTATCATCGTTTAACAGATCAGATTGAACCGTAATATATCTAAAACAGATAATGACCATATCGCCATAAGAAATTTTAGCTAAAGATAAATGAATTTCTAAAATTACAAACTTTTTCTAGGCCAATTTTATTTCTAAACCTAGCGAAGATCTATCTCAAATTAAACTTTCATTTTATGATATTTATCTGGCAGAAAATAACAATATTGTGAGAATTTCATGTGGTTTTGCGAAAAATTTGTTGATCTATTCTAGATCTAGAATCTAGATCTAAATAATCTAGATTAAAACTAAATGTATGTAGAAATAATCTATGTATATAATTCTCTTCTGGGAGACGCCAGAAAACAAGTTGTAAGCGCGCTCCCTACCTCCCCACCCCTACATACTAGACTACATGGTCTGGTGAGCTGTGTTCACGCTAACTAAATAAATGTTTACATTAATCGTAGAGCCGGGTTTAGTGACTATTAGGGGCAGATAATTTAGTTTGAAACGATTTTAAAGTATGGTGAGGTAACTAAGAGGAGGCTGCTTTCACGAGGGGGGGGGGGGTGTAGTAGGGGTTGGGGGGAAAGAGGGTGGGGGTAGTTTAGTATCATCCTTAACGACCTACTGATGATAGTGTTTTAAAGCAAATATTTTCAATGGCAGCACTGGTACTGTCAAATTCACAAATTATGAATTACTGAAAAGTAGAAAATAAAACAACTAAATAGCGGCGTATGATATGCCGCGGGTCGGCTCATTTAGTTTAATATCATAAGTATATGTCTAGAACTTAATATGATGTAAGCCTAGGCATACAATCTAAACTTTAAAATGATTGATATAATAATTTATTTAATTTATATTGGATCAACTGTAATAGTAATACTAACTTAATTTAAATTAATAGTAATGAGTAATGAATGATTGAGCTACCATTTTTATTTAATTCACTAACACTGATTCCAGGTTTTAAAAGAAAGAAACCTAGATCTAGGCCTAAACCTAATGTACAAGTACCATCATTAGTCTTTAAAAAATAATTAGGGCCAATAATTTTTTTAGGTATGAGCAAAAATGAGCATGAATCCAGTACAGCGAAAAGTTTCCTGCACCTATGTAATTGGTGTAACTGATGAAACTTCAACTAAAAGAAACAACCAGACTTATAAAGTCACTGCAACCAATGAGCTCAACCCTCAAGCTCTCATTGACAGAGTTGAAACTGCTTTGTCCACAGAGAAACTTGATGGAACATGCTGTTTAATACAAGAGTTCCAGGGTAAGTCTAGTGGATGTCACATGTATAATACAAGTTCCAGTGTAAGTTTAGTGGATGGCACATGTATAATACAAGAGGTACAGGGTAAGTTTAGTGGATGTCACATGTATAATACAAGTTCCAGTGTAAGTTTAGTGGATGTCACATGTATAATACAAGAGGTACAGGGTACGTTTAGTGGATGTAACATGTTTTATTATACAAGAGTTCCAGGGTAAGTTTAGTGGATGGCACATGTATAATACAAGAGGTACAGGGTAAGTTTAGTAGATGGCGCATGTATAATACAATTGTTCCAGGTTTAGTTTAGTGGATGGCACATGTATAATACAATTGTTCCAGGGTAAGTTTAGTGGATGTCACATATATAATACAAGAGGTCCAGGGTAAGTTTAGTTTTAAGTTGTTTACAAGCTTTAGGTTTTTTGGTTTTTCTTGATTAGCTCTATTTATAGCAGCTGTCAGTAATTTGTAAATAAATCCTATAACCGAGAGGATTAGGCTTTAGGTTAAATATCAACAATTATATAAGCTTTATGTTTAAAGCAATTTATAGTTCATGTTAATAGTTTAAATAATATTTGCTTTACACCAATTTGACTATAATTCAATATATTAATTACAGGTGTGCCATGGCTGTGGGCTCGACATGATCGTAAGCCGTGCAAGGCAGGGGAGCGAAGATTTGCACAGTTTCAGAAATTAAAACAGATTGCCAAGAAAAATGGGGAACACATAAACTCTGTTTTTAATTGGAATATGAATAAAGATTTCAAGGTTATTTCAGTTAGACAGTTTTTTAAAGCTAACTTTCACTGCTGTGTAACATAAGAAGTCTGTTGTCATAACTTTACAGCTAACTGCATACTTATGTCATATATATATATATATATATATATATATATATATATATATATATATATATATATATATATATACATATATATATATATATACATATATATATATATACATACATATATATATATATATATATATATATATATATATATATATATATATATATATATATATACATATATATATATATATATATATATATATATATATATATATATATATATATATATATATATATATATATATATACATATATATATATACATATATACATATATATATATACATATATATATATATATACATATATATATATATATATGTGTATATATATATATATATATATATATATATATATATATATATATATATATATATATATATATATATATATATATATATTTTTTTTTTTTTTTTTTTTTAATTTATTATACATGCACAAAACACATACATACACATTTATACCTAAACAGCTGTGATAAAAAAATTAAATGAAATACATTTTGATTCAGTGAGTGTCTCAATTCCCAGGATCCCCCAGTTGACTGGATTCCTGCTAGCCAGCTGGAGGTTAAAGATGGGGTCATAATGCCAGACAGCATAGGACACACCCCAGGTGGGTTCACACTAATACAAGAGGTCCATTTTTTATAGCCTTAGATTTTAACAAGAGATCCATTTTTTATAGCCTTAGATTTTAACAAGAGATCCATTTTTTATAGCCTTAGATTTTAACAAGAGGTCCATTTTTTATAGCCTTAGATTTTAACAAGAGATCCATTTTTTATAGCCTTAGATTTTAACAAGAGATCCATTTTTTATAGCCTTAGATTTTAACAAGAGATCCATTTTTTATAGCCTTAGATTTTAACAAGAGATCCATTTTTTATAGCCTTAGATTTTAACAAGATGTAAAACATAATATAAATTAATGGATTCAAAAGAATTTAAAATTGTCTAAACTTGATTTGTGCCAGGATGGATTCCAGTTCAGCACAACTCCAGGCAGCATTGTTGGCACCTATCTGCCATAGATCTCAACAAAGGATTAGCACTTGTCCTGAGGTAACTAGGAAAACTAAGCATTTGTTTTTCATGAAGAAGAAGAAAAAAAATTTTTACTTTATTTCATAGAGAGGACAAAGATAACTATTTTTTATAGAATCCCAAAAAAAAAAATGTTAACTTTATTTCCTAGAGAGGACAAAGATAACCCTGAGTATCTAGTGATAGAATCTCAAAAAAAAATTATTTAACTTGTTTTCCTAGAGAGGACAAAGAAAACCCTGAGTATCTAGTGATAGAATCCCAACCTCTATCAGCCTTGTGTGGCTTAACTTGTGAGCTCATTGGCACTAATATAAATGGGAATCCTTACAGTAAGTAAAGTTTTGCTGAACATTATCTTTTTCTTTGTGCCTGTTACATATCTAATTGTTACATAAACTTTTAGTAATATGGCTGTCAGAGTTTGATAGACTTTCAGTTTTGTTATAGGAAACAGAATGGGTTATGTCATTCCAGGTCTAGGCTCCAAAAAGTTCCCCGTCCACCTGCTGGTACCACATGGCAGTTTCTTGTTGTCCTGTCCATCACCTGCTGATTACAGCACCATGGTTGACTGGTTTAACAGTGAAGGGGCAGATGCCCAGGTAGAAGGCATAGTTTGGCACTGTTCAAATGGAGCATTGTACAAGGTACTTCATCATCTTCTTCTTTTAAACAAAACGAAAGGTGTGTGCAAAAAAAATGTTTTCAAATGGTGGAGAGAGAAATTGCATGGTTGTAGATAAAAAAAAAACGTGTTGACTCAACTCTCCAATGTTAGTTTTTGTTGTTACGACTCCTGTTGTTCTTTGTTGACAGCTGCACCGGCATCATTTGAATCTCCCATGGCCATTGGCGGAAACAAGACTGGGTCGTAAAAAGGTGAAAGTTCATGTAGAAGAAGGTGATCTAAACCAGGAGAAAAACCTTTTCACACAGCTGAGCAAACTGAACGGCCAAGTCCTGAGCTCACTGCTTGACCTTCACAAGATGTTTGACCCGGCTGCTCTGTCCTAGCATCCCATATCTTATACTGTTCTTTGTTGGACAGTCATTTCACAATTTGCCCAAGTTAATGTTTTCATAGTTTGAGAAAACTTTTGAAATTACCAGTGTTGAATTAGTATTGTAATTTGTTTCTTCGCAAAACAAACAAATTTAGGAATGTTTTCTGATTTTCTCATGATTTAAGTTTTTTTTTTTTTGTTACCATAGGACTACATTTCAGTTACTAACACATGACAATGGCACTTGTGATTTGACTGTTATTTTAGGGAGTAGTCTCCCCTGTTGTTGGTGTTGACATGTATATATTTTGAAGGGATCTCTTGATACGTCTAGTATAATCTCTACAACTTACAATTTGTTTTCTCACTGATACAGTAAATTACAACTTTGTGTTGTCACATATCTCAAGCCCAGCAGTAAAAAAATAAGTTCAGATTTCCTGCAGTGGTGCAGTTTTGTTATACATAAGGGTGAGCTCAGGGCACACACTAAACTAGTGTAAATTGTGCACTTCAAAACGGGGGGGGGGGGGGGGGGTGTAGGCCTGACATCCAGTTACTTACAAAGGTTAAGCTTGTCTCACTGTGACACCATGTTTGTTAGTTCCCAGACCAGAATGCATTCTAGATATTTATTTAAAGATTATTTATTTACTTTACTGTTTTAATATGCATACTTTATGAAGATGAGTATTCTTAAGCTGATGTTAAAAAGTATACCAGTAATTTTGTATTAAGTGTGCAATTGAGCTGTTAATGCAAAAAGATAGACTTCGTCTTTTTTTTTTTTAAATAATTGTCACAGATCACAAAGCATGTTGTTATGTAACTAAAAATACATACATCTTAAAACTTGAACAGTTATAACTGTATTTCACAACTATTGCCCTATTTTGTGATAAAACAATTCTTTCAAGTCATTTTAAAGAGATTTTTTATTGTAAAGTATATTGGAAGATGTGTATAGTATAATAAAAAATGCATATCAATGGTAGATTTATATATCAACCATTTGGTGTACATGTACAAAACTTTTACCATCTGATGTAACAAAACAAATGAGCTACAGCATATTTGTACCAGTCAAAAGATTTTTTTTTAAAAACCACACTAACAATTTTGCTTCTACTTGGTAGCTAGGGAGGTGGCGGTCAGGCTACTGTGGTCATCTAGCAACCTGATTCAGACCAGCCTTAAACAAAATGTCTAGTTTGGCATTGTGTAACCCACTTTCCTTCACATAGCTGCCATAAAATAACTACCACGTGTTTAAGCCAATAGCATCATTGAACTGTTAAACACTGCTGAATAGGCCAAGCAGTTCTTTAAATGTAAAATTGTAAAGGATAAACATAAGGAGATCACAGAAAAATGATATGTATAATAAGTAATTAGATCATTACATTGAGCAATATAAATTCATATTACATACTAAATTATTTTTCTGTTCAGAAAAACCAGTTATACATCTTAAATGGTTTCATTTAATGCTCCTTTACATTATGTACACTTCAAAAATATTTTCACGTAGATAAAAAATAAACTGTGGAATACATTATTACATAAACAATATTAAGTTCAAGGAACAGTATAGTATACATCAATGAACATAAATATAATTGTTGTGAGGGTCAGGCTAATGACCACCAGCTTGTCTAAAGTATACATCAATGAGTATAATTATTAAATATGTAAAAATATTTTATAGTATATATATGACAGATTGTAAAACCCAGTAAAGGTTAGGCTTTCAATTTTTGCAAGAGCTGGTCAGAGGTGGTTAAAATAACCAGAGAATCTTTGGCTCTGGTAACCAGGTTTAAGAGAAACTTATTCAGGTCAGCGTGATCTTCATTGGTGTGAGGGTCAAGGCCAATCACCACTGGCTTGTCCAGACCACTGAACTCTCTAACTGTGGACACTGTCAGCCTGGACTGTACAGGGCTTTCCCCCTGGGTCAGGCTACCAGACTCTCCACCCTGGGGGAGGCCGCCTCGACCAGCTACAGTGTTGGGTGCATTGAGGTTTGGCACAGGGCGCAACATGCAGCTTTCACTGACTGACTGCATGACCTCGTCTGCTTCACTCTTCTTGCTGACCAAGATGGCCATGTTGCTCAGGTCAATGCCCTGGTCAGTGAACTGCTTCAGGACCTTGTACAGCATGTCCTGCATGGAAGACTTCTCACACTTCACCACGCTGACATCATTACCTGAACTAAACTCATGGCCTAGCTGAGGAGAAACAGCCACGCCATTTTTGGAAGGAGACTCATTTGAATCTTCCATAAATTTTGTTGCATATTCGTAAATTTCCTTTGAGTTCCTGGATATTTCTCTCAGCATGAAATTGTTCTTCCCAATCAAACCAGGCAGCCCAGCTTCAAACTTGTGAACCTTTTGAGCATAATCCATGAAAAGCCAGAAATAGCCAGCAGTGATACACTTGGTGTCAGGCAGGTTTTGTTGTGAGAGTTTCTCCAACAGTGAGTACCAGTCTCCATCTCTGTCCTTGAAGTTTTGAGCCTCATCTACTACCACATTTCTCACTCTGCCATACCTGGAAGTCATGACCGTGCCATGCTGGGAGTCTGTCATCAGCTCCCGTCTGCTCACCACTAGACATTTGTCAAAGGAACTGTAAAATATTTTATGAAAGTTTTCAAAATTTATATCACTAGACATTTGTCAAAGGAACTGTAAAATATTTTATGAAAGTTTTCAAAATTTATATCACTAGACATTTGTCAAAGGAACTGTAAAATATTTTATGAAAGTTTTTATAATTTATATCACTAGACTATTGTTAAAGGATCTTTAAAAAGTTTTCAACTTTGTAGTTTAATTTAAATCACATACAATTCTAAATTAGATCTGGCTTTTAAAACAAAATTGTTCTGGCTTACCTGACCAAAGAGCACAGAAGTGAGTTCTCAGCAACATACAAGACCTCATCCTTCTGACAGCCCCTGCGACGGAACTCTTTAATCATTTCTAATGCTGCAACTGTTTTTCCTGAGCCAGGCGGGCCATGTATCCAGAGCTCTCTGGTAAACTGATGGCACCACAACAACTCTAGCTGGTCGCAGGTCAGCAAAAAGTAGTGGTCACTGTCAGCTTTATCGTCTACTCTAATAACATGGACAAATAGCCAACAATAATAAACCAAGTTAATTTTCTATAAACATTAATCATTAATAGAAAAGATATGCACTGGGCATTAAAATTAAGTCTAATTAGGAAACTTCTTTTTATATAATTTTTATATCAAGTGCTGGCCAGTAAATACTTGTAAGTAGATTGATGAGAAAAGGAATAATGTGCGACTTCTGACCTTTTCACGTTGGCAGGTAAACAGATATTCAAATGCACCAGACTTAATTTATTTGGTATCTTATAAAATAATTTATCTTATCAAATAACTAGATGGAGCTTACCCAAAATTTTTGTATGATGCTACTGCGATGGTTAGCGCTGTTACAATTTCACTCAGGCTGTCTTCTGTAAGTTTGTAGGTTTGTGGGTATATGTCGATGTCAATGGAGCCTTGAAAGTGTTCCAGCATTAGTGGAGCATTGATGTCAATAATGTGAACTTTGAACCCCAAGTGGCTGGTACACCCTCCATGCTGTACTAATACCTGGGGGAGGAAGGAGAAATTTGTACTTTACTCATAAACTCATGCTTTTAAAATTACAGTATTTATACAAATTATTCAACAAGTTAACAAAAAAATTTAATTTCTACTTTGTGGTCCCTATCCAAATATCTATATATATAATTCTCTTCTGGGAGATGCTAGAAAACAAGCTGTAAACGCGCTCCCTACCACCCCCACCCCTACATGGTCTGGTGAGCTGTGGTTCACTCTAAATGTTTACAAACAGAGCCGGGTTTAGTGACGACTTTTAGGGGCAGATAATTTAGTTTGAAACGATTTTAAACGTAGGGGGGGGAGGGGGTTAACTAAGTGGAGTTAACTTTAACGGAGGGGGGGGGGGGGTTATCGTCCTTAACGAGCTACTTATAGTGTTTTAAAGAAATATTTTCAGTGGCAGCGTTGGTAGTGTTGAATTCATAAATTATGAATAACTGAAAAGTAGAAAAAACAACAACTAAATAGCGGCGTATGATATGCCGCGGGTCGGCTCGTTTGTTATAATGATTTAAAGAGAATAAAATTGTAGGTTATATAACATTCAATATTTCAGTTGTGATGCTTAAAGCACAAATGTATAGAATTAGTATTAAATAAGAATAGTAAATCAGTAAAAAATTGTAAGTGACTGGGTTACATTATTTTATAATTATTTGTTCCCACCTTTTTGAGCCTTATAGCCAGTTGAGATGTGAAGGACCATAACTCTTGTTCATTGCTGGTGTCTGAGACAAGGGAGACAACATGCAAGCCATACAGGGAACTAAAGATTGCCAGACAAGCTTTCACATTTAAAGGTTTTTCTGGCAACTCTAGTTCTAATCCCCAGGATTCAAGTGAAATGATCAAGTGTGGCTCTTCACTAAATGTCCCCACTAGTTTAGTTATGGCTTTCTTAACATTTTCTTCACTGAACGACTGGAGGATGTTCTTAGGATGTAGGCTCAACCCTGTGGATACTGGAAAGGAATAGAACAATCTTACAGTTCAATCAGGTTGCAAAAACTCCTCAAATTTCTTTGATTACAACCTGTACTGACTGAGTGCATATTTTAGGTAAAAACTAATGGCATTCATAAAAGAAAAATCTGGAGTACAGGTATGTAGAGAGAAACAGAGAAAATATGTAATACTGAAAATATTAAACCATTTAAAAATCAAAAGCCCTCAACTCCAGAACTTCAAAAAACTGCAGCAACACCAACTTACATTTGATGACCTTCTCCCTAGCTGCCTGCAGTGTATGGGGTAGAGAAAACACTAGTCGAGACTGCGGTGTTCGCAGGGGTATTTTAATATATCTTGAATGTAGAGATTTCACATCTGAAAGTAAAAATCATGTCTGCTTTGATCATGGGAAATTAAAAGATTAAAAACTGTTTATAATGTCTACTATAAAAATGTGTTAACCTCTGTTTTGATTTAATAACTCCGTCTTCCATTCATCAAAGCTTAGTCTCCTAAGTCCATAGTGTGGCTCATTGGCTGTTGTTGTCGGAGTTTGTGTGATGAAGTAAGATTCAGGACAGCTTGTGAAGACACCACCGAACATTTTACACACAGATACCACTACCACCTTCCGCTGGTGCTGATTTTAAAAACAGGTGTCAATAAGGTGGAAACAATGTAAGCTAGGGAGTAACTGCTACATGAATGTAATAACAATTCTATCAAATCAAAGTAAATGAAAGAGAGACTACCTGGTTGGGGCATGAGGTAACTGGTACAAACTTGATATCCCAGTGAACTCCCTTTAGAGCAGCAAACCTCTCATCCCCCCAGATTATCACCTTCATCTTGGACTCAACAGCTTTGGCTGATAATTTTCAAATAAATAAATGTTAAAATCCACTGTTCACAATGAATTTTTTTTTCTAGAATTTTAACTCATAAATTTTAGTTCACTTTAAAACTATGACAAAAGCATTAATAGAATGCAATTAATCGTGTAAATGTACAAAATGTTGAGACAAATTAAAAATAAAGCAACTAACTGCATTTGAGCTCATCAATTTCTGTCATCTCCTCCCCTAAAACTGCTGATGTTGTGTCTTCAATACCGAAGTAAATGTGCCCTCCCTCATGGTTAGCAAATGCTGAAATATATCTAGTACAATAAAAACTGACTTTGTCAGCCAATGCCTTTTTTGTGTAATCTGATTCAGAAGTGAGGAATTTAAACTGGATCTGTTTGCCTTCTTGCTTCAATGTCTCATCTGTCTGACCATACACAAAGGAAGATGGAATTGTGGGGAGGGCTGACAAGGGTCTGCTTCCCCCTGTAGTTGAGCAGAGTTTAACAGCTGACTTATAAGTGACACAATGCGTGGCAGTGTCTGTAGGGAGACGACAGTTGTAGTCCACAGTGCAAAGATGTTCGGAGGATTTGACGAACAGGTACAAGAACTCGTCATCAAAGTTGCCAACAAAATCAAAATAATTGCAAATGTCATCACTAGATAAAATCCCAGCCAGGTTGTTCTCCATACCACTCCACCATGCATCTAATGATTTGGACTGTGTGTGTTGGTAGTCAATGTTTTTCATCTCTAAAACTCCACCTCCTGAGTTGAGCAAAGCACAGCTGTATTGGAGAACAAGTGCATTTTCTTTCTGTCGTATTCCCTTAGAGATATGGACTGGACATGAAACAACAATATCACCAAACTCATGGCTGTGCCGCAAACTGAAAATAAATGAAAGTTTTTAGTATAGCGGCAATCTATAATGGCAGAGAATGCAATATTGATGTAGGCCTATTTTTATAATTATATGCTAAAATATTATTTCTACTGGCCTAGATCTAGATCTACATCATATCTTTGGCTAATTAATAATATTATATTATTAGTTTGCAAAATTCATTAGCACAGGCCTAAGTGACAAAGTGTGGGCCCTCTGTCATAAATTATTGCCAGGCCTAGATCTAGATATAGGAGTACAAACCAGGTACATAAAAAGATTAAAATCTATGGATCTAAATATAATATAGATCTAATCCGTAGGCCTATAGCCTATACTATTAATTAATTTATATTTTCATTTTTTTACTTACAAATTTTCTGAACTGGACATGTATATGGCTGTGGTGGGGTTTACAAGATCTTGTAACTTTTGCAAAAGCTTTTGGCTTTGAGATTTGATGTGTAGATTCTATTTGTCAAATAAATTAATATTTTAATATTAGACCCCTACTTACTAACTTAGACTAGTTAGACCTACTATTTAGTCTAACTAATAACTTAAATAAATTATTAGGATTAGGCCTAGGCAGAGGCATAGCGAGGGGGGGGGGGCGGGGTGCGGATCCTTTGGGGGGGGGGGGGGTGACACCAAGGCAAAAAATAGCAAAATATATAGAGAAAAATGATAATTCCACTTAATTAAGTCATAAGTGATTAATTCGAGGGTTAAATCAAAGTTTTAAGAGTTGCAAATCGAAAGTTTGAGTGAGGGGGGGGGGGGGGCAAATAAAAAATTGAAAGTTTGTCCCCAGGAAGGGTCGCTACGCCTTTGGGGCGGTGACACCATTAAGTGCCGCACCGGGTGACACCCTACCTCGCTACGCCACTGGCCCACTATATAGTATTAGTATCAGTGTTTCTTCCAGACTTTTTTCTCCAGGGGGGGGGCACTTGAAATTTTCGGGGGGGGGGGGGCAGTAGACTTTCTTCGGGGGGGGGGGGGACACTGTTAAAAGTATATATTTTCTATATTATATACTATATAGGCCTAGATTATATAAATTTCATTTAGTTCGGGGGGGGGGGGCGGTAAAATTTTTTCGGGGGTGCGAAGAGATGCCTGGATGAAACTCTGATTAGTATATAGAATCTAGAGCGATCTATATAAATCTAGCTAGAATAGATCAATAGGCCCAGGGCAGGGCCTAGCTAGAGGCCTATAACTATAATATTTTTTTGGAAAGCAGACAAGTTCAAGTAGAATTAGTAGATCTTGTCTAGAATCTAATTTTAGACCTAGATTTATCTAGATTGAGATTAAGAAATTAAATACTTTGTAAAGTAATAAGTAAATATTAGTTAGATCTAGATCTAGATAATTAATAGGGCCTAGATCTAGATCTAGATCTATTTACTTTAAATAAAAATAGTAATTTAAGTTGCCTAATGGTTACATGCCAGGATGGCTGATCAAACTTTCAAAAATCGGCCAATCGTATTTACTAATTTATGGCTGGGCTAATAAAGAATGTTGTCTATGTCTAAATCTAGTGTGTTCACATCTATTTATTTAGTCTGGTATAGTCTAGCTCTAAACATCCAAAAGTATATGTATTTTTCATCAGAATGTCAATTTAGAGCTAGACATCTAGATCTAGAGATCTATTTTTAAAAACTGAATATCATCCTACTAATTTATTTTAATCTCAAAGTGGACGTAAGATAGGAGGACTACCGCGTTTATCAGACATTTTATTTTTCATTTTCAAATCTACAATAAAATTTCGATTTTTACAAAATTTGTAAGATATCGAATGGTCTACTCAGTAACACTCCTAATACACATATTTCTTGACACCTAAATTTCTAGATTCTAACAATGAATGTGGACATAAAAAAGCAGTGGCGAGCGCGCGTTTGTGTGTGTGTGCCTATATGTGTGTGTGTACAGATTTTGTATCTGGACTTTTAAACGATATAGGTTGTAAGCAGGTGTATACCTATGCAGTGGCTTGGCGAGGGGGGGGGGGGGGGCACGGACCGCACCGGGTGACACCAAGGCAAAAAATAGCAGAATATATAGAGAAAAATGATAATTCCACTTAATTAAGTGATTAATTCGAGTGTTAAATAGTGTTTAAAGAACAAATTTGACACATCCCGACAAGGGTGGAGAGGGGTGGTGCAAATCGAAAATTGAAAGGTTGACCCAGAGAGCGCGCCAAATTGAAAGTTTGTCCCGGGGCGCCGGGAAGGGTCGCTACGCCTCTGGGGGGGGGGGGGGGGGGTAACACCCAGAGCCGGCGTTAGGGGGTGGCGAACGGGGCGGTCGCCATAGGCCCCGCGCTTGAAGGGGCCCCGCGCTTCAGCAATGTCATTGTTATCTGAATTAGTTCGTAAACTTAAAAAAAAATTGTTGCTGAATTCAATTGGGAAAAACTAAATGGTCGAATGCCGACGTTGTTGATTGTTATAATTGAGGCCACGGTTGATGTTGGTGAGTCCCACCTGAACTGGGACAGGCCGTAATTCGATACAAAAATAGTGTCACACCTACCCTTTGTGTAGGGTACGGTCGCCTGGCATTTGACCTGAGCTGACTGGAGATGGCGGTCGAGAATTAGCCCACGACGTAAAGAGATATCCTATTGTATGCGGACCGATGAAGACGTCCTTTTAGTGAGCAGACGGGATGTCTATAGTAGACAGTTAGTGACCTGATGAACTCTAGTCCTGACTTTCTTGTTGTAGATGTCGTATAATGTCGTATATGTACAGTGTTTCTTCCAGAATTTTTTCTCCGGGGGGGGGGGGGGGAGGGGCACTTGAAATTTTCGGGGGGGGGGGGGGCGGTAGACTTTCTTCGGGGGGGGGGGGGTGGGGTGGTGGTGCGGACACTGTTAAAAGTATATATTTTCTCTATAAATTATATAAATTTCATTTCGTTTTCGGGGGGGGGGGGGGCTACTCTATATGTAGGCCTACTTGTCTTGGTATAACAAAATTAACATTCAGTTGCGTGCAGAGGGGTGGGAGGAGGGCGACGAGGAGGGGGGGGGCCTTAGGATCTATATCAGGCGGCATTAAACAGAGTGATTTATTATTATTTTTTGGAAGAAAGTTAAAACTCTTGTTATGTTGTGTCACCTTAAGGATTCACCCCTTCAATAATTAAGACAATAATGATTTTGGTTTTAAAATATTGTATGAATTCTAAACAAATTGTGAAGTCTATACTGGTTTGATACATCAGGCCGAGTTCGCTGTATTGTAAACTTTATTTTCCTAATTATTCGGCACGTGATTAAATTTTCTTAAGTGATTTGATATGAATTACATAACTGTTAAAAGTGATTTAATATCTTAGCAAAGGAAAAAAAAAACTAAGAACATTGGGTTAATACATGGGAGAGATAAAATTCTGTTATTATAGTGGAAAGTTTGACATTAGCTTATAAACTCCAAAACATTTGTGTTATTATGTGTACATCACATTATATAGGCCTTTATACACATATATATATATATATATATATATATATATATATATATATATATATATATATATATATATATATATATATATATATATAATGGAAAGGCCCCGCGCGGATGGTTGGCCCTAGGCCCCGCGTATTCCTAACGCCGGCTCTGGTAACACCATTAAGTACTGCACCGGGTGCCACCCGACCTCGCTACGCCACTGTTCCAATGTCACCCTATGCTTACATACTAATAAAACATAATGAGCTATTGAGTGGAGGAAGCAGACGTTCTCAATAAAACTATAGAGCACTTTTTTTGTGGTGCTCTCCCCTTGGATGTTACCCGGTGCGATCCGTCTACTGACGCACCAACTTGAAATAAAATTGAATGAAAGTTATTTTTAGTTTTATTTTCGAGTAAACCAACATTGACCTATCGAACCGTGAAGCCTACTGTAAACAAAACATCGATAAATGTACCGGTTGTACTGCAAGGATGATTGATAGAAACCTGAATACCTGAGTGAACTACCGATTATTTTGCTAAAATAAAATTAGATTTTGTGCAATGTATAAGAAATACTTAAACGGATTTTTTTTTTGTTAAACAAATGGGCCTAAATTCAATCGTTTGTAAAAATTATTTTTAGGTTTGTTTGCAAACGATTTGTAGTTTGAAATTCAACCTAAGAACTAAATTATTAATTTACTATTGAGGTAAACACAACTCACTGAACTCGATCGAACAACAATAATATTTTGTTTACGCTGGCACTGGAGAAACATACAATGGATGGAGGTATAAACACCTGGGTTTCCCGAGAAAGAAATATTCCTGAAACCAAAACACTATGGCGCTAAAGGCACCACAGCCTCATAAAGAAGCGAGTAAATAAAATGTTTGCCAGAGCCCACACAATATGTCTTTAAAAATGGTCTTTTAAAGAATTTTTTTTACAGGAATCTCTAAGCAGTGAACCATGAGATTTATTTGAAAGTCCTTTGTCTCATTCAAGGATAGTCAACACAAAGTTGTGTATAAAAGATGCAGTCTGCTAGTGGTCGTCATCCACCAGAGCAATCACCGGTCTAGGCACAGTTGACGTTTAATTCCAGGCGTGGAGCTGAGAGTGCCAAAGACTCAAGACACATTTGTATGAGACCTGTGTAAGGTAAGACACTATGACATTGTGAGATTGAGAGAGGATGTGTATGAGAGAGTAATTCAGTATGTGTGTGTGAGTGTGTGTGTGTGAGAGAGTGATAGAATGTGTGGATGCCAGAAAACGCGAGACAGTACGTGGGTGTGTGTGAAGTAGGTATGCGACACGTAATGTCGTATAATATGTCTCATACATGGTGTGTCCAGTCAAAGTACACACCAACATGTGAAAAGTTGTGTCAGGCTGACGTGACAACATTTGGCGACTAGCTTGTCAGCTTGAAGCTACGGCTGAGATTTACAGATGTTTCACATTTTTCGGCAGAGACGAAGATTACGAGACTGACACATCAGCAAATAAGCACTCAGAAAATTACCAAGTGGAACGTGTCTCTGTACAATTTTATGTAGGATATCACAAAAGTTGGCAATAATATTAATATAAGATGTAAACTAGTTTTGTGACAAATTTTGATAAATCATTTCTTTCATTAAAAGAAGTTCGTGGATATTTTAAATTTTAATTTCGTTACAGATTGCTTGTCCAGAATGTCAACTTTAAAATCTCGCTGGCTGGAGTTTGTAAGAAATCAAACCCAGAAGACTGCCAGGAACCCTAACTCTAAAGCCAAGGTCATGGCCGGCGTTGTGATCCTCATGTTGGTCTGGACACAGATGCCTAAAGCTGAGGCAGGTCCGGGTAGTTGTGCAGTTTGTATGCAGTGGGTGTTCAGTAGCTGCTCGCCTGTTATTGCCGCTGGAGGAGCCTGCGCCGCAGTCGCAGCAATTCCGCCACTTCTCTGCGCATGTCTGATAGGTTCTGGAGGTGCATTTTGTGCTTTAGCTGCTGGAACCTGCGCAGTTGTTTGCCTTGCTCCGTCCCCTTGAACTCCATATTCGCAATTTATTTTTACTTTATGATGAAGACTTTTTTTAGGGTTTTTTTTTTTTTAAAGCTTCAACTATGTAGAATACAGAGTATAGAGTATGGTTAGTTAAAAATAATAGTGCTTTATGAACTTATTTAATCTTATAGCAGAGGCGAACATATATGAAATCGCGTCTGGTTCATTAAAATGTAAACTTTTATTACGACACCGACTTGATTAGTCTACTGTTTTAATGTTTACAACCTCTTTTATTTGATGATATTGATGATATACTGAGTATGATAAACAAGTTTTCATCTTTACAAATGTGTTATTTACTGTATATCTGATCAAAATTTTGTTGTTTTTTTTGTTGTTGTTTTTTTTTGCACACTTTACTGTAATTGTATTTTAGTCAAATTATAACGTGTACAAGTTTTTTTTTAAATTTATTGAGTCCTTTGCATGATGTATAAAACTTGTCAGGTTTCTCTTGCAAGCCGAACGCAACTATCTTGTCGACACAATTTACTTGTCTAATTTAGATTATGGTAGACCATTAGGTAATAAAATGATTGTATGGCAACTGTAGGCAAATTTGTTGCGATTCTCAAGTTATGCTGATCGAATGGTAGGGCAGATATTGACAAGGATTTGAACCGTAGCTCGATGACTAAAATTTGTAAATATCTGGGACCAATAAATACATGCACTTGTATTACAATTTGTTTTTTTAACAATTTTAATGTAATAATTTTTTTTTCACTTGCTATTGTTTACTGTTAATATCACAGACAAATAACAAGTGTTGATATAACATTGACACAAATGTTTACACAGACAAATAACAAGTGTTGATATAACATTGACACAAATGTTTAC